GTGTTCTTCTTTGCTGTGGTCGTCGTGTGTGTTGTTCGTTTCGGTGCTGTGGTCAGTCTGTGTGTGGTTCGTCAGTTGCCGTGGTCGTCTCGGTGTGTTGTCGTCGGTGGGTGTTCGTCGTTGCTGTTGTCGTGTTTCTGTGGCTCGTCGGTGTGTGGTCGTCGGTTTGTGGTCGATCGGTTTAGGTGGTCGTCGTTGCTGTTGGTCGTCGGTGTGTGGGTCGTCGTGATGTTGGTCGTCGGTGCTGTGGTCGTCGGTGTGGGTCCTACGGTGCTGTGGTCGTCGGTGTGTGGTTTCGTCGTTGCTGTTGTCGTGTTGCTCGTGGTCGTCGGTGTGTGGTCGTCCGGTGTTGTGGTCGTCGGTGTGTTTCGTCGTTGCTGTGGTCGTCGGTGGTTGTGGTTCTCGGGGTGTGTGTAGTCGGTGCGGTTGGTGTGGGTCGTTTGGTGGTGCTGTATTTGTTAGTATTTTTGTCGGTATAGGTCGTTATTAGTGTGTCTGAAGCGTGTCATAACACACACAACACTTCAGAGGTCTTCACGTTACATCCCCACTTCAACCTTCCGCTGAGAGCACCATATAACTAATATGTATTGTGGACCTTATTCTCTAGACACATAATATTGCATGTTAAAGGACCAGTAGGTTAGAAGAAAAAAAGAAACAAAAAATATGTTTTTATTGTCACATACTCCAGATATGTGAAATGTGTTGTTTTACAGGGTCAGCCATAGAAGTACGGCATCCCTATAGCAAATTAGGGTTAAGTGCCTTGCTCAAGGTTACTCTTAACCGCTAGGCTACCTGTGATGGCCCCGCATGTACCACCTAGAGGGGGCTGAAGGAGGGCCTATCTTAAATCAATGCACATTTTCTCGAAATGTAGGGAAGAGTGGGGTATGTTGAGCCATTTTTTACATTCAGCATCACTATGTCAAGGGAAATATAGTATTCTTTCTGAACAAGGTATCTACATATATTTCAGGATGTTGTGTATCCCTGGAAATAAACAGAATTAATGTAAACATAACAGTTTTGAGAACATGGTTAGACTGTAAAGTATCCTTCCAGACTCACATTAAGCATCTCCAATCAAAAGTTAGATCTAGAATCGGCTTCCTATTTCACAACAAAGCCTCCTTCACTCATGCTGCCAAACATGCCCTCGTAAAACTGACTATCCTACCGATCCTTGACTTCGGCGATGTCATTTACAAAGTAGCCTCCAACACTCTACTCAGCAAATTGGATGTAGTCTATCACAGTGCCATCCGTTTTGTCACCAAAGCCCCATATACTACCCACCACTGTGACCTGTACGCTCTCGTTGGCTGGCCCTCACTACATATTCGTCGCCAAACCCACTGGCTCCAGGTAATCTATAAATCACTGCTAGGCAAATCCCTGTCTTATCTTAGCTCACTGGTCACCATAGCAACACCCACCCGTAGTCTGCGCTCCAGCAGGTATATCTCACTGGTCATCCCCAAAGCCAACATCTCCTTTGGCTGCCATTCCTTCCAGTTCTCTGCTGCCAATGACTGGAACGAATTGCAAAAATCTCTGAAGCTGGAGACTCTTATCTCCCTCACTAACTTTAAGCATCAGTTGTCAGAGCAGCTTACCGATCACTGCACCTGTACACAGCCATTCTGAAATTAGCCCACCCAACTACCTCATCCCCATATTGTTATTTATTTTGCTAATTTGCACCCCAGTATCTCTATTTGCACATCTATCATTCCAGTGTTAATATGAAATTGTAACTATTTTGCACTATGGCCTATTTATTGCCTTACCTCCATAACTTACTATATTCGCACACACTGTATATATATTTTCTGTTGTATTTTTGACTTTATGTTTTGTTTACCCCATATGTAACTCTGTGTTGTTGTTTTTATCGCACTGCTTTGCTTTATCTTGGCCAGGTCGCAGTTGTAAATGAGAACTTGTTCTCAATTGGCTTACCTGGTTAAATAAATGTGAATTTTTTAAAAAATAAAATAAAAGTGGTCTCTTGGCACAACTTACCCCGGGTATGGGGTAAGTTAAGCATAGGGACAGGGTAAGTTGAGCCGACTTGTGACAGTGTGTGATGGTGCTGGTACAGTCTCTTCAGAATGTATTCATACCCCATGACTTTTTCCACATTTTGCCGTGTTACAGCCTGAATTCAAAACCATCAAAACCATTCAAAACCAAGTATTTGACCTCTCAATCAGAAAGATTTCTGGCTCCCAGGTGTCTTTTATACAGGTAACGAGCTGAGATTAGGAGCACACTCTTAAAGGGAGTGCTCCTAATCTCAGTTTGTTACCTGTATAAAAGACACCTGTCCACAGAAGCAATCAATCAATCAGATTCCAAACTCTCCACCATGGCCAAGACCAAAGAGCTCTCCAAGGATGTCAGGGACAAGATTGTAGACCTACACAAGGCTGGAATGGGCTACAAGACCATCGCCAAGCAGCTTGGTGAGAAGGTGACAACAGTTGGTGCGATTATTCGCAAATGGAAGAAATACAAAATAACTGTCAATCTCCCTCGGCCTGGGGCTCCATGCAAGATCTCACCTTGTGGAGTTGCAATGATCATGAGAACGGTGAGGAATCAGCCCAGAACTACACGGGAGGATCTTGTCAATGATCTCAAGGCAGCTGGGACCATAGTCACCAAGAAAATAATTGGTAACACACTACGCCGTGAAGGACTGAAATCCTGCAGCGCCCGCAAGGTCCCCCTGCTCAAGAAAACACATATACAGGCCCGTCTGAAGTTTGCCAATGAACATCTGAATGATTCAGAGGGGAACTGGGTGAAAGTGTTGTGGTCAGATGAGACCAAAATCGAGCTCTTTGGCATCAACTCAACTCGCCGTGTTTGGAGGAGGAGGAATACTGCCTATGACCCCAAGAACACCATCCCCACCGTCAAACATGGAGGTGGAAACATTATGCTTTGGGGGTGTTTTTCTGCTAAGGGGACAGGACAACTTCACCGCATCAAAGGGACAATGGCCGGGGCCATGTACCGTCAAATCTTGGGTGAGAACCTCCTTCCCTCAGTCAGGGCATTGAAAATGGGTCGTGGATGGGTATTCCAGCATGACAATGACCCAAAACACACGGCCAAGGCAACAAAGGAGTGGCTCAAGAAGAAGCACATTAAGGTCCTGGAGTGGCCTAGCCAGTCTCCAGACCTTAATCCCATAGAAAATCTGTGGAGGGAGCTGAAGGTTCGAGTTGTCAAACGTCAGGCTCGAAACCTTAATGACTTGGAGAAGATCTGCAAAGAGGAGTGGGACGAAATCCCTCCTGCGACGTGTGCAAACCTGGTGGCCAACTACAAGAAACGTCTGACCTCTGTGATTGCCAACAAGGGTTTTGTCACCAAGTGTACTAAGTCATGTTTTGCAGAGGGGTCAAATACTTATTTCCCTCATTAAAATCAATTTATAACATTTTTGACATGCATTTTTCTGGATTTTTTTGTTTTTATTCTGTCTCTCACTGTTCAAATAAACCTACCATTAAAATTATAGACTGATCATGTCTTTGTCAGTGGGCAAAAGTACAAAATCAGCAGGGGATCAAATACTTTTTTCCCTCACTGTATCTGTGTTAGAAATGCATTGCTCGACTGAGGGATCTTACAGGTAATTGTATCTGTGGAGTAGAGAGATGAGGTAGTCACTCAAAAATCATGTTAAGCACTATTGTTGCACACAGAGTCCATACAACTTATGTGACTTGTTAAGCCCATTTTTACTCCTGAACTTATTTAGGCTTGCCATAACAAAGGGGTTGAATACTTATTGACTCAAGACATTTCAGCTTTTCATTTGTAATTAATTTGTCAACTTTTCGAAAAACATCATTATTGTGTGTAGGCCATTGTCAGCGTCTGGGTGAAGTGGTGAAACGGAATCAGGCGCAGGACACAGAACTGAGAAAAGTATGGCTTTACTAAACACAAAGTAAACCATAGCAAACCCTCCACACAGGGAAGAGCAAAACAACAGCTCAACAGACGACGTAACAACGAACAATCACGCACAAACCCAGGAGGGAAAACAGAGGTAATATAGGGAAACCAATAAGCCTAATGAGTAACAGGTGTGAATAATAAAGACAGGACTAGTGTGGCACAGAAACATCGATTGGTGGCAGCTAGTACTCCGGTGACGACGAACGCCGAAGCCTGCCCGAGCAAGGAGGAGGGGCAGCCTCGGCTGTATCCGTGACAGCCATTAACAAAACATCTCAATTTAATCCATTTTAAATTCAGGCTGTAACACAAGAAAATATGGAAAAGTTAAGGGGTGTGAATACTTTCTGAAGGCACTGTATCCTACGTACCTCAGCCCTTCTGAAAATACATAGTTGACAGAGTCTGCTGTCTGATCCGAATTACTAATGCAGTGACATACATACATTACAAAGTGTTAATTCATAGATGGGAAGAGTTCAATGTGTTAGAGAGCAACACACCACACATACACACACACACACACACACACACACACACACACACACACACACACATACTGACAAGTTAACTTGCAGGTCTATTCTCTGTCTCAGTCTCTCACACACACACTCTCACACAGACTCACACGCAACCCGACACTCTCAGGTTTGACGTCATTGTTGGCTATTTCTGTGAGCCGGTATCGATAATAATACAACATGAAGCACCGTCTTGTGACAGGTACCGTCATTCTCTCTGAGGTAAAACAATACGTGTGTAGACTCAGAGGTAATAGTGTATGTCTGTGTGACGGATTGATTATAGATTAAAATAATCATTATGACTGAGTCAGGTTTTTCCCAGCACTACATAGAAAGGCAATTTGATAATGCATAAATCATACTTCTTTTAACAGCCATGTGGCCCACCTGTCTTAACATAATGTCTCTCCCCCTCTCTCTATCCTTCTCTAACCCCCCTCTCTCTATCTCCTCCTCCCCCTCTCTCGCTCTCTCCAGGTGTGAGCAGCCATGACTAAGTCCTATGAGTTTAACTGGCAGAAGCACCTGCCTGGCTTCATGCAGGAAGGAGCTTCCTTCGACAGGTTTGACGAGGTGAGAAACAAACTGCCAACATTTTGGCAAACATACAGTAGTTTAAAAAAAGTATAATTGCCACAGAGTGCCAACTGTCAACCTGTCCTCCAACCAATCCTCCATGTTGACAAATTATTTACACACACTATCCTAACTACAATGTAATTGTCTCTGTACTTTGGGTGCTATCAGAATTAGTGCATCTCAAACAAGGTTAGCCTGAAACCCTATATCTATGGCCTGTAGCTCTGTGTGTCTGGGAAGCAGTGGTACACCCCACACTACACTAATGACAGTCCTCTCATGGGACATTAAGACACAAACACACACATGAGTAGGGCCATCTCCTTTATGGCATTTATAAATCAGTGTGTTAGGCCACACACACACACACACACACACACACACACACACACACACACACACACACGTAGGGCTATCCCCATTATGTCATAATAACTCATTGTGTTAGTAATCAGAGATACAGACAGTCACCACATTGATCCACCACATTAACCAACTTTGTCATGGCGACCAAAAGTCTGACAGCCTGCTGTGAGTGTGTGTGGTGTGTGTCGGCGTGTGTGTGTGTCCTCCCTCCCTGTGTCCTCCCTTCCACATTTCCCCTCTCTAACTCAATCAGGCCAGTTAGGTGGGGGATGGCAAATCTAGGACTGGGCGTGCCACACACACACACACACACACACACACACACACACACGGCGAGATAACGATCAGGAATCTCTTTAATGAAGTCTTCAGTGAAGAGGATCCCTCCATGGATAAACACAGAGGCAAAAAAACGTCATCACTAACATCAAAGGGCATATTTAACTGAGCCTTGGAAATAGGACAGCCTGGTTACTTTGGAATAAACTCCTCTGTGTATTAACTTAGTGTGTATTTCTGTGGTCCTACTAGCTAGGGGGCCTCTACCCTGCTAGGACTTTTGGGAGACTGGGTGGCTGGGTGGAGAGCTTTAGTGAATCTCTGCCAAGCTTCTGGTGAATCTAGTTCATAACCGACAAGCTGTTCATTCACACATTTTTAACATATTGATTAAAGTTTGCTAGGAGAGGATAAAAAGACGAGAACCCAGTTGTTTGATCTTGATATGTATCCTCCGTTACATTTAATACATTTTGGTTGATATTTGAGTTGAGTTGTCAACCAACTTATATCCAACTTGAAATAAACCACAGAGCTAGCTTAGCATGGCTAACTATGGGTATTTTCTGATAGGCTACAAGTGTAGAAAAGAAATAGAATGAATAACATTAGCTAGCAAGCAACGCTACTGATCTGTGTGTTTATGGGCAGTGTTATGAGATGTAGGTCATTTTGGAGGGGATTGCTTTATATCTCAGATAGAAAATAGTAGCAAGCAACTGACCATGGTTGGCCCTGTTTGACTTGCTTCTCTCTCTCTTTACATATCATATGTAGGGTCTAATCACAATCAACAAAAGTGATCATTAGCCAGCCTTTGAAAATGCCAAACCTCGACCCGATGCTCAGAAAACAGTGATGAACCTTATTATGATTAAAGAACAACATAATTATTAAAAGCTGGAAGTAGTCTACCTTGGAGTTATCTGAAAGTGTGTGTGTGTGTGTGTGTGTGTGTGTGTGTGTGTGTGTGTGTGTGTGTGTGTGATAATAGCTGTTGCTCAGGCTGGCTAATAGAAGGCCTGCAGGGGACGTCTGTGTTGATTAACATGGCAGACGCGCCTCGCCCACACACACAGACACACGCTTAAATATGCTAATCAGAAAGGATTCTTCCAGAGTCCGCTCTCAGCTCACTTAAACCCCACAGCGCAACAGACGGTGAAGACGGGGCAGTGCATACTAATCCCAACGTGAGAGCAATAGCCATTAACAGTTTGATACTCAGCATGGTCTCTGTATTGAAGTGATGTCTGTCTTTGTGGTATCCAACACAAACATATGACGCACATACAGACACTGAGTGGGAGAGATAGTCATTGATGTTGGACCATATTGTTGCCTAGCTTCTCTGCTTCTCTTCTCTGCCTCATTTGACTGGCAGTGATACTTTAAATAGCCCTTTCAAACTCTTGATCAATTGTATCTCCTGACCTGGTCGACTGTACTGTATCTCTCTATCTATCATCTACGTTCACCTCAGAAGAATTAAGAAGGTAAATAGGAGACTGTCAAGGTGACGTTGAGTCACCCCTCCGTCCTTAGGGACATGTGTGTCTGTGTGTGTATGTATGTGTGTGTGTGTGCGTGCATGTGTGTGTGTCCTTTGGGACTTCCCTTACCATTAGTTCTCAGTAATCAGTCAAAAGGTTTCCATGGGGACCAAGTAATCTGTGACGACATGATTACTGGGAATTGCCAGGGACCTCACGATATGATATTATCACAATACTTTTGTGCGGATAATATATGTATTGCGATTCTCACAATTCTCACGATTTTCCCATTCCTTTCCTTTCCTTTCTATATGTACATACTGGTGTAATATGCAGTGCCTTCAGAAAGTATTCAGACCAATTTAAATTTCCACATATTGTTACGTTACAGCCTTATTCTAAAATTGATTAAATAAATACAAATCCTCATCAATCTACACACAATACCCCATAATGACAAAGTGAAAACAGCTTTTTAGAAATGTATGTACAGTTATTAAACATAAAAAACAGAAATATACCTTATTTACATAAGTATTCAGACCCTTTGCTACGAGGTTCGAAATTGAGCTCAGGTGCATCCTGTTTCCATTGATCATCCTTGAGATGTTTCTACAACTTGATTGGTGTCCACCTGTGGTAAATTCAATTGATTGGACATGATTTGTAAAGGAACACACCTGTCTATATAAGGCCCCACAGTTGACAGTGCATGTCAGAGCAAAAACCAAGCCATGAGGTCGAAGGAATTGTCTGTAGAGCTCCGAGACATGATTGTGTCGAGGCACAGATCTGGGTAACGGTACCAAAACATTTCTGCATTATTGAAGGTCCTCAAGAACACATTGGCCTCCATAATTCTTAAATGGAAGAAGTTTGGAACCACCAAGACTCTTCTTAGAGCTGGCCGTCCGGCCAAACGGGCGATGCTGTGGGGATGTTTTTCAGCGGCAGGGACTGGGAGACTAGTCAGGATCGAGGGAAAGATGAACGGAGCAAAGTACAAAGAGATCCTTCTCCAGAGCGCTCAGGACCTCAGACTGGGGCGAAGGTTCACCTTCCAACAGGACAACGACCCTAAGCACACAGCCAAGACAATGCAGAAGTGGCTTCAGGACAAGTCTCTGAATGTCCTTGAGTGGCCCAGCCAGAGCCCGGACTTCAACCCGATCGAATATCTCTGGAGAGACCTGAAAATAGCTGTGCAGCGACGCTCCCCATCCAACCTGACCGAGCTTGAGAGGATCTGCAGAGAAGAATGGGACAAACTTCCCAAATACATGTGTGCCAAGCTTGTAGCGTCATACCCAAGAAGACTCGAGGCTGTAATCGCTGCAAAAGGTCCTTCAACAAAGTACTGAGTAAAGGGTCTGAATACTTATGTAAATTTGATATTTCAGTTTTATATTTTGAATACATTTGCAAAATAATCTATAAACCTGATTTTGCTTTGTCATTATGGGGTATTGTGTGTAGATTGGTGAGGGAAATGTAATCTATTTTAGAATAAGACTGTATCGTAAACAAAATGTGGAATAAGTCAAGGATTCTGAATACTTTCCGAATGATTTGTATTGTGATTCGATACTGGGATTTTATTGCGATTCGATGTTCCAAACATATTGCTCACCGTACGTTTGCAGAGGGACAAGACAGAGCCATGAGAAAACAAGTTTTGATCAGTCATGGAAATAAAAGTGCTGAAAACAAATTGGCTCCCTAACTAAAAAGAAGATGGAGAACAAGCTATGCAGGAAAAGTACTGGAGATTTGGTACAGGTAAAGCCAACTAGCGCAAAAATAATATTGCAATATTGTCAAAACAATACGATACGATATATAGTCAAAAATAATATCCTGATATGCAACTGTATCGATTTTTTACTGCATCACTAATGACTTCATTGAGAGAGAGTGAGAGAGAGAGAGAGAGAGAGAGAGAGAGAGACCATGTTGCCCAACAATGATCTATCTGCACTGACAAGATGATGATAAAAGTGTTAGAATGGAAATGAGACTGACATAAGCTGATGGTCAATGTTCGTTCACTAATACTAATGATGGCAGTAGAGGGAGATGGAATAATGTGCAGGGGAAACATTTCCTGGACCCATTGCCGGTCTGCTCCCTGACGATGCTCTAATTAGTTTAGGGACATCAGGGTGTGTGTGTGTAGGCTTACGTGTGTATGTGCATGCACTGTATGTGGTTTCAAAGACCAGTCATTTCCATCTCTCCATCTTCCATTCTCCCACTTTCCGTAGCAGAGGAAAGATGAGGAAGGGATGACAGTATTCCCCTTCTGTACCCTCCTCACTGATGGTTCACATCATCTTCCTCTGCCTCCCTCATTACTGAGTCCACACACACACATACACACACACACACACACACACACACTCACACACACATACAGACAGCTGCCAGTGACTCAGACAGCTAATGGAGAATAAAACGCCGAGCCACACTGACAATCAAAATGGCCGCAGCAACAGTCTGTCTGATGTCTACTGTGAGTGGACAGTATTCTAGATCCTCAGAGGTAGTGTGTATCAGGCCTTAAGTCTTAGTGAGGCACTAAGGCACTTCTAGGATTTGATTTGTTCTGTGTGTTAATGTTAGCTACTTACTCAGTCAATCATGTCAGAGACTAGCAGATAGTTGAGTCATTCCATAAGCATTAGTCTGTTTGGTTTGACAGATGTTTATAGTTGGTTTTATTTATAGTAGCTTTAATATATGCTAGCAATGGGCCATGACAAATTTGATAGAAACCCTGCTTGTTTCTCGCATTTACAGATTCTGGATGTCTCTGTCTCCTGTAGAGAACACGAACACTGTGGATCCCCAGGCCTGCTTTTTAACAGTCGTGTGTGTGTGTGTCGACGTGTGTGTGTGTCAGCGTGTGTGTCGGTGTGTGTGTTTAAAGAACTGGGTGATGGATTGGTAACTCTTAGAGGAGGGAACCATGCTGCAGTCAAAACACACGCACACACACACACTTAAGGGCTCGACATTAATACTTGTCCTCTTGTCCGGGACAAGTTTTTAAAAAATGTCGGACAAGAAGAATATATTTTATGTACATAAATACAAAAGCCTATATGTCAAAGTGTTGGTGATATGCATATTGGCTATAGCCTCATGTCCAAACCAATGTAGGCAAACTTTAATGAGACTTTTAATTAGGACAGTCATGTTTGGCAAATATAATGAAGGATCATTTACATTAACGTCTAAGGCTTGATTTTGTCGACATACTCGAGGCATGGTTCTTTCAGATCAAATGGTCACAAGACTGGAGTGTGGAGGACAGTGTCTGTTGTGCACCGAACATCATCACCCACCTTGAATCTGAGCTGAGACGGTCAGCATTTTAAACTATTTAACCATAAACGTAATTGTTTAAAACCTGGACGTTTCATGTCATTTTATGAAGCATGTCTTTACCTCGTTTCAAAGTAGCCTAGCCTAGCCAAAATACGACCATAGAATTGTTGAGGGAATTATTTTATCAACACTTAATATGCCATTGAAACCATCATTTTTCTCATGTTCTATTGGTTTTCAAATCAACGTTTATAAAACAAAAATGTCCAGCAGCCAAAGTCATAATCTTAATCATATAAATAACCCATGCTAGTAGATGCATCTTTAGATATCCCCTCTTTCTTAATTTATGGATATTTTCATCTCTGTCACATGAAACCACTCACGTGAGCTTTTTAGAATGGTGTTTTCCTGCTAATTGCATTTTGGAACATTCCCCCATAGCCTACAGCCATATGCGCATTGTTGAGCTTATAAAGAAATAAAACGTTATCAACATGTTAAGCTAAACCATCTGATCTCATTGCTTAAAAAAATATATATATGTGCAGTTGTATGCATTTTGGATCTGTAGTCCCAGAACAGAGTCTGTTTTGGACTTATTTTTTTATTGCCCTTAATTTTGAACCCTGGAGGGAATTATTTTATAAAGACATAAAAAGTATTTGGTTGTAATTTTGCTATATGTTTTTAGACCATCGCAGCCAGGTTACCTCTTAGAAGGAAGAAGAACCCAGCCTAATATTGTAGATACTAGCTATAACAGACGTCTTTACAAGGTGAATACAACATTTAAGGAAGTTGGAAACCGCAAGGTGAATACAACATTTACACCAAACAGCATTCTTGGTGGTTTCCAACATCCTTAAATGTCAGGACTGTTAGTTATAAGGCTGGGATCCGATAACAGTATATGCATTAACTAACAGCCATATTTTTGGTGTCGAGCAGCACATGAACTGGAGCCTGCTTCCTCTCTAGGTTTATTCCTAGGCTCCTGCCTTTCTAGGGAGTTTTTCCTAGCCACCATGCTTCTACATCTGCATTGCTTGCTCTTTGGGGTTTTAGGCTAGGTTTCTGAATAAGCACTTTGTTACAACTGCTGATGTAAAAATTGATTTATAAAATGTATTTGATTGATTGATTGATTGAACTGAAGGCTTACCATAATCTCGCTGAAACAACACATCCTGCAGTGTGTGTGTGTGTGTGTGTGTGTGTGTGTGTGTGTGTGTGTGTGTCACTCACTGTTTCCTTTATCTCTGCAACGACCCTCTACTCTATCTCTCTCTTACACACACATAGACACTCACTTAGAATGCGGCAGGCAAATGGATGGACTACGGGAATGTAATCCAAATGACTTTGCTATTACTCTGTTGCCAGCCCACCCGCTACTTACTCCCTCTCTGTCTCTCTCTCTTTCACACAACAAACATACACACGAGGCCTCCAGTCAGAGCCTGGGACTATATTTATCTCCCTCCCCGCCTTATGAGCTTCACCGTCTGGCCCGCTGACAGACTGCTGCCCCCACGCCTGAAGCAAACCTGGCTGTTTGACTAATAACCGCCTCATGGATTTGTAACTGGGTGGTTTACCACATTAAGTAGACTGTAAATAAAGCACAACTCTATCCTTTAAATTAGGGGATTGAATTAGTAGGTTAGGAACTATTTCTCTAAAGAAGTTATACTCTTGCTCTGACGCAATGGTTTATTAAAAAAGTCTCCAACGTCACAGTAAACATATAACAGGAAGTGGAAGACTAGATTTAGCCAGGATAATTTATATTTTATAATATATCCAGGAGGCCAGTGAGTGTTGCCTGCCACGTTAATCAGGTTATGTCCTGTCACCAAGGTAGCAGCTGGTTGGTGTGTATGGTACCAAGACACTGTTTGCATTCAACAGTTCATGACATTCACATTTATCTGTGTTTGTGTTAGTCCTAGCACAAGGTCCTCCTGTCCTGCACGCACAGGGTGTAGGTGTCTGTGTTCTCCTTGTGTGTGTGTGTGTTACATCTTTAAAAATGAATTATCGATGCTGCTGTTTATCTTGTTGCGTAAGCCGTGTGTGTGCTAGCTAGGTAATGGAGGGGATGCGTAATGTCCTCGCACATCAAATAAAACCTCAATTGGCTCTCTAATTAAAATGCTTCTGTCTTGTAGGATCCGTTTCTGTTTGAGCCCAACTGTCTGGTCAAAGTGGACGAGTTTGGCTTCTTCATCACGTGGAAGAGCGATGGAAAGGTACAGTCTGTCAACCATATCTGTGTATATAAAAGGCTTCGTTCTCATCCTCTTACTCAATGCAGTGCCCTGTCTTTGTGTTCTGAGTGTATTCAGAGAGAGAAAATAAAGACATCCATCTCCTCCACCTCACAACGTTACCATTCCAGCCACAGGGTCAAGTCATAATTGGGGTGACGGTAGCGTGACTAAGGGCAGCGGTACTTGAAGTGGCCAAGGCAACAGAACAGAGGAGAGGAGAGTTAGTCAGTTGTTTCATTGTTCCCACCACCGTTAATACACTATTGATTGAGTTTCAAGAGCTCTCTCTCTCTCTCTCTCTCTGGGGTACTGTATTTATCTCAGCTACATGGGGCCTGTAGTTAGATGTCATTTAAAACAGCCGTATCTGGCCACTAGCAGCATATTGTATGTCTATGGAGCTTCTGGAACTGACAGTCAGGTTGCTACAGTAATCCGACAAAGCTAGGTGAGGTTTGGGGAGTGGGGTGGAATGAGAGTATGTTTGTTTTGTTTGGCATTGACAATATCTATTTTCCTCTCTCTGTCTCTCCCTCTCTCTCTTCTTTCTCTCTCCTCTCTCCCTCCATCTTTCTCTCTCTATTCTCTCTCTCTCTCTTCTTTCTCTCTCCTCTCTCCCTCCATCTTTCTCTCTCTATCTCTCTTCTTTCTCTCTCCTCTCTCCCTCCATCTCTCTCTCTCTCTCTCTCTCTCTCTCTCTCTCTCTCTCTCTCTCTCTCTCTCTCTTTCTACAGGAGGGCCAGGTTCTAGAATGTTCTCTGATCAACAGTATTCGAGTCGGAGCCGTGCCAAGGGTGAGACCTTGGGAACACAGTTTCCTTCCTTAGTCCCTACCTTCCTCCCTCCCACTTTCAAATTATACCCACTCCTCTTCTTCCTCAATCCTCTCTACCTCTCCGACTCTCTCTCCATCCATCTCCTCGACCTCACGACCTTACCATTCCAGCCACAGGGTCAAGTCATAATTGGGGTGACGGTAGCGTGACTAAGGGCAGCGATACTTGAAGTGGCCAAGGCAACAGAACAGAGGAGAGGAGAGTTAGTCAGTTGTTCCATTGTTCCCACCACTGTTAATACACTATTGATTGAGTTTCAAGAGCTGGAGCTGTGAAAGCTGAGGGTAGTTGGGGAAATATAGCCTACTGCTTGCTGCTCGTTGCCCTTCATACAGTGAGGGAAAAAAGTATTTGATCCCCTGCTGATTTTGTACGTTTGCCCACTGACAAAGTGTCAAGGGGTGCTGAGGGGGGTGTGGTGCAGGAATCAAGCGCAGGACGCAGAAGCTTAGTCCAAAAGACTTTAGTGAGTTATTCACGTAGTACACGAGAACCATAAGCCCGGAGGCGAAATAAAGGCGTCAAACAAAAGGCGCACTAACATGTGCGAAAACCTCTCCAAACAACGGAGGGAAGATACGTAGCTCAGAACACCAAACAGAGGAGCAATCACACACAACACCCAACACACACAACGAGAACTAAATAGGACACTAACGAGGACTAACTAGACACAGGTGTACAACATCAAGACAAAACCAAACGAACATGAAACATAGATCGGTGGCAGCTAGTACTCCGGGGACGACGACCGCCGAAACCTGCCCGAACAAGGAGGAGGAGCAGCCTCGGCCGAAACCGTGACACAAAGAAATTATCAGTCTATAATTTTGCAAAACATGACTTAGTACTTGGTGGCAAAACCCTTGTTGGCAATCACAGATGTCAGACGTTTCTTGTAGTTGGCCACCAGGTTTGCACACATCTCAGGAGTGATTTTGTCCCACTCCTCTTTGCAGATCTTCTCCAAGTCATTAAGGTTTCGAAGGCTGACGTTTGGCAACTCGAACCTTCAGCTCCCTCCACAGATTTTCTATGGGATTAAGGTCTGGAGACTGGCTAGGCCACTCCAGGACCTTAATGTGCTTCTTCTTGACCCACTCCTTTGTTGCCTTGGCCGTGTGTTTTGGGTCATTGTCATGCTGGAATACCCATCCACGACCCATTTTCAATGCCCTGGCTGAGGGAAGGAGGTTCTCACCCAAGATTTGATGGTACATGGCCCCGTCCATCGTCCCTTTGATGCAGTGAAGTTGTCCTGTCCCCTTAGCAGAAAAACACCCCCAAAGCATAATGTTTCCACCTCCATGTTTGACGGTGGGGATGGTGTTCTTGGGGTCATAGGCAGCATTCCTCCTCCTCCAAACACGGCGAGTTGAGTTGATGCCAAAGAGCTCAATTTTGGTCTAATCTCACTTTCACCCAGTTCTCCTCTGAATCATTCAGATGTTCATTGCTTTCTTCAGCAGGGGGACCTTGCGGGCGCTGCAGGATTTCAGTCCTTCACGGCGTAGTGTGTTACCAATTGTTTTCTTGGTGACTATGGTCCCAGCTGCCTTGAGATCATTGACAAGATCCTCCCGTGTAGTTCTGGGCTGATTCCTCACCGTTCTAATGATCATTGCAACTCCACGAGGTGAGATCTTGCATGGAGCCCCAGGCCGAGGGAGATTGACAGTTATAATGTGTTTCTTCCATTTTCGAATAATCGCACCAACTGTTGTCACCTTCTCACCAAGCTGCTTGGCGATGGTCTTGTAGCCCGTTCCAGCCTTGTGTAGGTCTACAATCTTGTCCCTGACATCCTTGGAGAGCTCTTTGGTCTTGGCCATGGTGGAGAGTTTGGAATCTGATTGATTGATTGCTTCTGTGGACAGGTGTCTTTTATACAGGTAACAAACTGAGATTAGGAGCACTCCCTTTAAGAGTGTGCTCCTAATCTCAGCTCGTTACCTGTATAAAAGACACCTGGGAGCCAGAAATCTTTCTGATTGAGAGGGGGTCAAATACTTATTTCCCTCATTAAAATGCAAATCAATTTATAAAATTTTTGACATGCGTTTTTCTGGATTATTTTGTTGTTATTCTGTCTCTCACTGTTCAAATAAACCTACCATTAAAATTATAGACTGATCATTTCTTTGTCAGTGGGCAAACGTACAAAATCAGCAGGGGATCAAATACTTTTTTCCCTCACTGTATCTTAGACCAGGTACAGCTACAGGTAACTGCCAAAATAAAGGAAACCGCAACTTAATAAGGCCTTGGGCCACCACGACCCGCCAGAACAGCTTCAATGCGCCTTGGCATAGATTCTACAAGTGTCTGTGTCAAAAGAACCGATGTGGATGTGGTGGAGGAGTCAGGCGCAGGACACAGAGGATTCGTCCAAAAGACTTTACTAGTCCAAAGTGCAACAAAACAATACACGACCTCGAAAACAAACGGAGGCGAGGGAATTACGCAACATGCGTAAAACAATAAACAAAACTAACAGAGCGCAAACACGCAGCTCCGCACGACAGGCAAACAACAACACACAATCTAACTAATACAAAACAGGGAACTTATAAGACACGTAATCAGAACACAAACAGACACAGGTGTACAATACAGACTAAAGCAATCACACCACGAAACATACAACGGTGGCAGCTAGTACTCCGGGGACGGCGAACGCCGAAGCCTGCCCGAACCAGGAGGAGGAGCAGTCTCGGCCGAAACCGTGACAGTACCCCCCCCCTTGACGCGCGGCTCCAGCCGTGCGCCGACCCCGGCCTCGGGGACGGCCAGGAGGACGCGGACCCGGGCATGTGGGATGCCCACGGTGGAACTCAGTCAGGAGGGATGGATCGAGGATGTCCCTCCTAGGCACCCAGCACCGTTCCTCCGGACCGTACCCCTCCCACTCCACGAGATACTGGAGACCACTCATCCGGCGCCTCGAGTCCAAGATGGTCCGGACCCTGTACGCAGGGGCCCCCTCGATGTCCAAAGGGGGCGGAGGGGTCTCTCCTATCTCATCTTCTTGGAGTGGGCCAGCTACCACCGGCCTGAGAAGAGACACATGGAACGAGGGGTTAATATTTTTGTATTCAATAGGCAGTTGTAACCTGTAACACACCTCGTTCAATCTTCTCAGGACTTTGAAGGGCCCCACAAACCGCCGACCCAGCTTCCGGCAGGGCAGGCGGAGGGGCAGGTTTCGAGTCGAGAGCCAGACTCGATCTCCCGGTGCGTACACCGGTCCCTCACTGCGGTGGCGATCGGCGCTCGCCTTTTGTTGACGGATGGCCCGCTGCAGATGGACATGGGCAGCGTCCCACGTCTCCTCCGAGCGCCGAATCCACTCGTCCACCGCAGGGGCCTCGATCTGGCTCTCGTGCCACGGTGCCAGGACCGGCTGATACCCTAAAACACACTGGAAAGGTGTTAAACCGGTGGAGGAGTGGCGGAGAGAGTTCTGGGCCATCTCATCCCAGGGGATATACCTGGACCACTCCTCCGGCCGGTCCCGGCAATAGGACCTCAAAAACCTACCCACATCCTGGTTGACTCGTTCAACCTGCCCATTGCTCTCTGGGTGGTACCCCGAGGTAAGGCTCACAGAGACCCCCAAGCGTTCCATGAACGCCCCCCCAGACTCTGGAGGTAAACTGGGGACCTCGGTCAGACACAATATCCTCGGGGACCCCATAGTGCCGGAACACGTGGGTAAATAGGGCCTCGGCGGTCTGTAGGGCAGTAGGGAGACCCGGCATTGGGAGGAGACGACAGGCCTTGGAAAACCGATACACAACGACCAAAATGGTGGTATTCCCCTGGGAAGGAGGTAGGTCGGTCACAAAATCCACCGAGAGGTGGGACCATGGTCGTTGTGGAACGGGCAGGGGATGTAACTTACCCCTGGGCAAATGTCTAGGCGCCTTACACTGGGCGCACACCGAGCAGGAGGAGACATAAACCCTCACATCCTTAGCTAACGTTGGCCACCAGTATTTCACGCTAAGGCAGTGCACTGTCCGGCCAATACCTGGATGTCCAGAGGAGGGTGATGTATGAGCCCAATAAATAAGACGATCACGAACCTCGAGCGGAACGTACTTCCGCCCCACAGGACACTCGGGGGGAGTAGGGTCGGCACGCAGTGCCCGCTCGATTTCCGTATCGACCTCCCATACCACCGGAGCCACCAGACAAGACTCCGGCAGTATGGAAGTGGGCTCAATGGACCTCTCCTCTGTGTCATACCGCCGGGACAGGGCGTCTGCCTTACCGTTCTGGGACCCTGGGATGTATGTGATCTTAAAAACAAACCGGGTCAGGAACATGTTCCACCTAGCCTGACGAGGGTTCAATCTCCTAGCTGCCCGGATGTACTCCAGGTTACGGTGATCGGTCAGAATGAGGAAAGGGTGTTGAGCCCCCTCAAGCCAATGCCTCCACACCTTTAGGGCCTGGACTACAGCTAACAGCTCCCTGTCCCCAACGTCATAATTGCGCTCCGCCGAGCTGAGTTTCTTAGAGTAGAACGCACAGGGGCGGAGCTTAGGTGGCGTGCCGGACCGTTGTGACAGGACTGCCCCAATACCGGTCTCGGACGCGTCTACCTCTACTTGGAATGGTAAAGAGGGATCCGGATGCGCCAGCACCGGGGCTGAGGTGAACAGGTTCTTCAGTTTGACAAATGCCCTGTCCGCCTCAGCTGACCACTGCAGACGAACCGGACCCCCCTGTAACAGGGACGTAATGGGCGCTGCAACCTGTCCAAAGCCCCGAATAAACCTCCGGTAGTAATTAGCAAAACCCAAGAACTGCTGCACCTCTTTTACAGTGGTTGGAGTTTGCCAATTACGCACGGCCGACACACGGTCTACCTCTATCTCCACACCAGACGCGGACAACCGATAACCCAAAAAGGAGACGGACTCCTGGAAGAACAGGCATTTCTCTGCCTTGACATACAAGTCATGCTCCAACAGTCTTCTCAACACTCGGCGCACCAGGGCTACATGCTCGGCTCGTGTAGAAGAGTACACTAGGATGTCGTCGATGTACACTACCACACCCTGCCCATGCATGTCCCGGAAAATCTTGTCAACAAAGGATTGGAAAACTGAAGGAGCATTCATTAGCCCGTATGGCATGATGAGATACTCGTAATGACCCGAGGTGGTGCTAAATGCCGTTTTCCATTCATCCCCCTCCCTAATGCGCACCAGATTGTACGCGCTCCTGAGATCCAACTTTGTGAAGAACTGCGCTCCGCGTAATGACTCCGTCATAGTCGCAATCAGTGGAAGAGGGTAACTGTACTTAACCGTGATCTGATTGAGACTACGGTAATCAATACACGGGCGCAAACCCCCGTCCTTCTTCTTCACAAAGAAGAAACTCGAGGAAACCGGGGAAGTGGAGGACCGTATGTATCCCTGTTCCAAGGACTCGGCTATGTAAGTCTCCATAGCCGCTGTCTCCTCTTGAGACAGGGGATACACACGGCTCCGCGGAAGAGCCGCTCCTGTTTGGAGATTTATCGCACAGTCCCCCTGTCTATGAGGTGGTAGCCGTGTTGCCCTCGTCTTGCTGAACACGAGTGCTAAGTCCTCATACTCAGGGGGAATGCGCATTGCGGGCACTTGGTTCGGACTCTCAACCGAGGTCGCCCCTAAGGAAACACCTAGACATCTCCCTACACACTGGGCAGACCACTCCATAAGAGCCCTCTGTTGCCACGCAATGGTAGGATCATGGGTGCTTAACCAGGGAAGCCCCAACACCACGGGGTACGCAGGAGAGTCAATCAGATAAAACTGAATGATCTCCTCATGACCCCCCTGCGTCGTCATAGTAAGTGGTGTTGTGACTTCTCTGATCAGCCCCGACCCCAACGGCCGGCTGTCTAAGGCGTGGACAGGAAAGGGGGCTTCTACCGGCCGAAGGGGAATTCCAAACCTATAACAAAATGCCCGATCAATAAAATTCCCAGCTGCGCCTGAATCTACTAGCGCCTTATGCTGGGAATGAGGTGCCACCTGTGGAAAACTCACAGGAATACTCATGTGACCAACAGAAAGCTCTGGGTAAGTGGGGCGCCTACTCACCTGAAATGACTCCCCAGTCCGTGACCTGTTGTCCCCTCTCCCAGGAGACCCTCCCCAGCACCTGGCCGCGGTGTGTCCTCCACGGCCACAGTTGGTGCAGGGGGTGGCCCCCCTCGGGTTCTCTCTCCTCCTCTCTCTAGCGCCAGCACCCCCGAGCTCCATGGGAATCGGCTCGGAGGTGCTGGAGGGTGGAATGGTCGGCCCCCACTCGGGACGTCCGCGGGTAGCCAGCAGGGTGTCGAGACGTATGGAGATGTCCACCAACTGGTCGAATGATAGGTTGGTGTCCCTGCAGGCCAGCTCACGACGAACGTCCTCTCGTAGGCTGCACCGGTAATGGTCGATGAGGGCCCTCTCATTCCACCCCGCATCCGCCGCTAGCGTCCGGAACTCCAGTGCGAACTCCTGTGCGCTCCTCTTCCCCTGTCGGAGGTGGAACAGACGCTCCCCCCGCCGCTTTCCCTTCAGGTGGGTGATCGAAGACAGCCCTGAAGCGGCGGGAGAACTCCGCGTAGGTGATGGTAGCGGCGTCTATTCCCCTCCATTCGGCGTTGGCCCACTCCAACGCCTTGCCGGATAGACAGGAGATGAGGGCGGAGACGCTCTCGTATCCCGAGGGCGCTGGGTGTATGGTAGCCAGGTAGAGTTCCACCTGCAGGAGGAACCCCTGACACCCGGCTGCAGAACCGTCATATGCCCTCGGGAGCGAGAGCCGAATGCCACTGGGTTCCGGTGCTGAGAGAGGAGGACTGGCCGTTGGTGATGGGATGGAGTAAGAAGGCGTAGGCACCTCTCCAGTCACCAACCGGCGCAGAGAGTTGGACACCTCGTCCATGGCGGCCCCAAGTTGCCGGATCATGGTGTCTTGATAGCTGATCCGCTCTTCCAGCGACTTGGGTGCCGCCGCTGCTCCTGCTGACTCCATAGTTGGTGTGTTGTTCTGTCAAAAGAACCGATGTGGATGTGGTGGAGGAGTCAGGCGCAGGACACAGAGGATTCGTCCAAAAGACTTTACTAGTCCAAAGTGCAACAATACAATACACGACCTCGAAAACAAACGGAGGCGAGGGAATTACGCAACATGCGTAAAACAATAAACAAAACTAACAGAGCGCAAACACGCAGCTCCGCACGACAGGCAAACAACAACACACAATCTAACTAATACAAAACAGGGAACTTATAAGACACGTAATCAGAACACAAACAGACACAGGTGTACAAGACAGACTAAAGCAATCACACCACGAAACATACAACGGTGGCAGCTGGGACGGCGAACGCCGAAGCCTGCCCGAACCAGGAGGAGGAGCAGTCTCGGCCGAAACCGTGACAGTCTGGAACTCTATTGGAGGGATATGACACCATTCTTCCTAGAGAAATTCCATAATTTGGTGTTTTGTTGATGGTGGTGGAAAACGCTGTCTCGGGAACCGCTTCAGAATCTTCAGAATCTGACAGAAGTGTTCAATTTGGTCAAAGAGTTGAGCAGTCTTCGTTACTGAAGTTTCTGCCAAACGTGCCCCAACAATCACCCCTCTTTCAAAGCCGCTGAGATCTCTTCTTCTAGCCATGGTAGCCAAAATAATGGGCAACTGAGCCTGCCTATAATTTTTATAATGGGTTGTTAATTGCTTAATTAACTCAGGAACCACACCTGTGTGGAAGCACCTGCTTACTGTGTATCACTTTTTTTACTCAAGTGTTTATTTTATTTTGGCAATTACCTGCACATTCAACAACATGAAATATTTCATACTTTAATGTCTATAACCCCCTTGTAGCTGTATCTAAAGCGTGTTATTTAGCCTTGGATGATGGTTCTTATCTGCGAGGGATACTGTAACAATGCCTTTAGAATATAGTTAGTTAATTGCCTCAATAGAACAGTTAAAACAGACAGAAAGATATTGAGTACTCTTTCATGGAAACAAATGTATTTAGGTTGAATGGTTGTGGGAAATGCGCTTGTAAGCATGCATTCTTTGTCAATGTCTAGGCTGTTCTGTATCCCTGAACGTTTTTTCTGCTTTCTTTAACCACAGAGGATTCCTTTCATGAACATCAGGGCTGAACGCACACACACATGCCCACGCACGCACATGCGCACACACACAACACACACACACACACACTCACACACAAAAACACACAGCTATGTCTTACAATACTTGTGAATACTTTTTGGGGACCAACAATTGATTCCCATTCAAAATCCTATATTCCCTAACCCTAACCCTAACCTTCACCTTAAACCTAACTCCTAACCTTAAACCTAAGAGCTAACCCTAATTCTAACCCTAAACCTAACCTCTAAACCTAAAATAGCCTTTTTACAAGCGAGGACCGGCAAAATGTCCTCACTTCTCTGAATTTTTGTTGGTTTACTATTCTTGTGAAGACTTCTGGTACTCAAAAGTATAGTAAAATGTGTACACACACACACACACACACACACACACACACACACACACACACACACACACACACACACACACACACACACACACACACACACAGCTACTCCTTCCATTAAATGTAGACTCCCTCAGTAATTCCATGGTCGTGTCCTGCTGCAGTGTAATATTTGGCATCATGCGGGCAACATGAATTATGGAAGGCCCTGGGGTCCTGAGGGAGTGCCCATACAGATGCCTGACTATAATTAAGGTGTGCTTTCTCAAAAACGCCTGAGAATAAACCACTCGCTCAGCTCCGAACAAATACTCAAACATCTGAAAACACTCCTTGGCGTGTGTGCATGGATCACGAGGTAGTGTGTGTATTGTTGACAGAACGGGAGGTACTCTACGTTTGAGACAGTGTGCGTGACTGTGTCTGTGTATGGCGTACGTGTGGTGTGTGTGTAAGGCCGTGTCCCTCCCTGTCCGTGTTTGGTAAGGATACGTGCTCTTCTTGGTAAACAACAGACAAAGAGCAACTCATCTCATTGCTGATCTCTATTGGATTGCTAACTCGGTTACACAATCACACAGCTATTGCCGCTAACTCAATGAACAAAGAAAGAAGAATCACATTGATGATATTTGGCTGTATTCGCTTTAATAAACAGAGGCTGGCCTTGCAGAATGAAGCATCTGTTGCTATCCAGCTGATTCAATCACACAACAGATATTCTGGTTGCCCTAGATAGTTCAAAGGATAATGCAAAAAGGGGAATCCTCAACTAAATTTTTTTTTATTTTAGTCATTTAGAAAACACTCTTATCCAGAGCGACTTACAGATAGTGAGTGCATCAATTTTTTTCATACTGGCCGCCCGTGGGAATCGAACCCACAACCCTGGCGTTGCAAGCGCCATGCTCTACCAAAATTATATAACATTCTGTCTGAGTCTGTCTTAGACAGATAAAATGGTTAAACAATCTAATGAAAATGTTTTGTAATGATTTGATAAGGTTCTGTTTGTCTTATTCCATCTTTCTGTCTCTCTCTCTCTCTCTCTCTCTCTCTCTCTCTCTCCCCTCTTCCCCCCTCTCTCTCCTCTCTCTCTCTCTCTCTCTCTCTCTCTCTCTCTCTCTCTCTCTCTCTCTCTCTCTCTCTCTCTCCCTCTTCCCCCTCTCTCTAGGACCCTAAGATCCTGTCTTCGTTCGAGGCAGTGGGGAAGAAGGAGGAGGAGTTGGAGGGGTGTGTCATCTGCATCTGCAGCGGCACTGACCTCGTTAACCTCTCCTTCATGTACATGGTGGCTGACAGTCCAGATACTGCTAGGGTAAATACACAACATTAATATAATGTTATTACAGCATTATTACAACATTATTACAGCATTATTACAACATTAATACAACATTAATACAGCATTACACACTGTAACTGATCCGATTCAACCAGGAATGACTCAGCTAGGGTAAATACACAACATTAAAACCGGCACAACGTTCATACAACAATATTACAACATGAATATAACATTACTCAACTCTAACAGACCTAGTCAACCACTACTTTTGCACATGGTGGTAGTGAACCCAGACAATGCCAGGGTAATGCAATCACACAGCCAGGGTATCTCTCTGTCCCTCTCTCGCTCTCGCTCTCTCAGCTATCCCTTACAGGAGTCATCAGGTTAAACATTGCCTTCTGGTGGTGACAGGGAAAACTGTGGCTAGCCAGCCAGGAAGTTTTAGACGAGTGTTAGAAGTAATGGGTAGATTGGAGTTCTCAATCAACTGAGAGCAGAAGAGACCTTTATTTTCTGATTACTGAAGAAATGAACAGATGATATATCAGTGAACAGATGATGGTGAATTGTTTGATGTAGATGTTTTAGTTTGATTAATTATAAGAAATATAAGAGACAGAGAGAGAGAGAGAGAGAGAGAGAGAGTGAGGGGGGAAATGGTTAATGTGGTGTTTACACTGTAGAAGACAGAATGCGGAATGCCACAGGAATGACAATAAACTACTTAGAGTTGCCATCACCAGCTGAGCTTTAAGGTCACACACACACACACACACACACTAACACGCGCTCATTCATGCTACCTTGTTCTCTTGCTCTCTCATATACAGACACCAACACACACACACACACTAACACACCATCTCACACACTCAGCAGGTTAGTTGCAGCACCTGAAGCGCTGACACAGTTATTCACATCAACACAGCCTGTGAACAACACACACACACACAGACACACACACATAGCCCAGGAACAAACAGCACTCTGCTTCAAGTATTAAGGGTAATGTGTCAGGTAAAAGAGTTAGAAGCCAGACAAGATTTTTGTTAATCAACCCTGTTTACACACACACAGACAGGATAGCTGTGTGCATGCATCTGCATCTGCTGTTGAGTCGTTGCTACTTTGAAATTAAACAGAGAGAGGAAATTAAACAAACTCTGTGTGAGAGGAGAGAACACACACACAAAACACAGTGAAGCAGATACGCTGTGAGTAAACAAACGGCCAGAGCAGGCCGTACGTGTGTGTGTGTTGCGTAAGTTCACTACAAGACCAAAAGTATGTGGACACCTGCTCGTCGAACATTTCATTCCAAAATCATGGGTATGAATATGGAGTTGGTCCCCCCTTTGCTGCTATAACAGCCTCCACTCTTCTGGGAAGGCTTTTCACTAGATGTTGGAACATTGCTGCGGGGACTTGCCACATTCAGCCACAAGAGCATTAGTGAGGTTGGGCACTGATGTTGGGCGATAAGGCCTGGCTCGCAGTCGGCGTTCCAATTCATCCTAAATGTGTTTGATGGGGTTGAGGTCAGGGCTCTGTGCAGGCCAGTCAAGTTCTTCCAAAACCGATTTCGACAAACCATTTTTGTATGGACCACGCTTTGTGCACGGGGGCATTGTCATGCTGAAACAGGAAAAACCCTTCCCCAAACTGTTGCCACAAAGTTGGAAGCACAGAATCGTCTAGAATGTCATTGTATGCTGTAGCGTTAAGATTTCCCTTCACTGGAACTAAGGGGGCTAGCCCGAACCATGAAAAACAGCCCCAGACCATTATTCCTCCACCAAACTTTACAGTTGGCACTATGCATTGGGGCAGGTAGCGTTCTCCTGGCAACCCAGATTCATCCGTCGGACTGCCACATGGTGAAGGGGGATTCATCACGCCAGAGAACCCGTTTCCACTGCTCCAGAGTCCAATGGCGGCGAGCTTTACACCACTCCAGCCAACGCTTGGCATTGTGCATAGTGATCTTAGGCGTGTGTGTGGCTGCTCGGCCATGGAAACCCATTTCATGAAGCTCCCGACGAACAGTTCTTGTGCTGATGTTGCTTCCAGAGGCAGTTTGGAACTCGGTAGTGAGTGTTGCAAACGAGGACAGACGATTTTTACGTGCTACACGCTTCAGCACTCAGCGGTCTCGTTCTGTGAGCTTGTGTGGCCTACCACTTCGCGGCTGAGCCGTTGTTGCTCCTAGACATTTCCACTTCACAATAACAGCACTTACAGTTGACCGGGGCAGCTCTAGCAGGGCAGAAATATGAAGAACTGACTTGTTGGAAAGGTGGCATCCTATGACTGTGCCACGTTGAAAGTCACTGAGCTCTTCAGTAAGGCCATTCTACTGCCAATGTTTGTCTATGGAGATTTTATACACCTGTCAGCAACGGGTGTGGCTGAAATAGCCGAATCCACTAATTTTAAGGGGTGTCCACATAGTTTTGTATATATAGTGTATGTGTGTGTGAACACTTGTGTTTGTTTGTTTGTTTCTTTCTTTGTTTGCAGAAGTGGACGGAGGGTTTGAGGTCAGTGATCCACAATTTCAGAGCCAATAACGTCTGTCCTATGACCTGCCTCAAGAAACAGTGAGTAGACACCCATTCAAAAGCCTATTTTCCTTAGCCCCTAAACCTAACTCTAACCCTTAACCCCTAACGCTAACTCCTAAACCTAACCCCTAACCCTAATTGTAACCCTAAACCTAACCCCTAAGCCTAAAATTGCCTTTTTCCTTGTAGGGACCGGCTAAATGTCCCCACTTGTCCGAATTGTCCTTGTTTTACTATACTTCTGGTCCTCACAAGGACAGTAAAATCAAAAATACACACACACACACACTCACACTCACACACACACTCACACCTCAATATGTGTTGTCTCTCCTCTTTTTTAGTTGGATGAGGATGTGCTTTTTGACCAACGTGAACGGCAAAATCCCAGTGAGAACGTAAGAGAGACTTCAGTTAGTGATAACATTTATCAGTCATTTGAGTTAATCCAATGGACGTTGCGATGACAGCTGACTCTCCTCTCTGTTTCAGCATCACACGGACATTTGCATCTGGGAAAACCGAGAAAGGAATCTTTCAGGCTCTGAAGGAACTGGGACTGCCTAGTGGAAAGGTGTGTGTGTGTGTGTGTGTGTGTGTGTTCATGACATGTGTTTGTCTGATGTTGTGCATGGTCCCTTATTGTAATTCTGCCGTCGGAGCTACCTTCTATCTTCCGAATGATGACCGTAGTGTACACTGTATAGTACTATATTCTTCCCTTGTTTAGAACCTTTCATGTATCACCAAGTTCTGGCCCGGGTTTTGATCTTCCTTCTTCGGAAAGATATCAGTTTTCCCCCTGTGAATGGTCTGTCCCTCCGACAAAGCCACTGTCCTTTTTCGGTGTTCCCAATGTTCCGTTTTAGACCACTTTTGTTTCCCTATATATTTTACCTCTTGGGGATGTTATTCGAAAACATAATGTTAACTTTCACTGCTATGCGGATACACACAAACTGTACATTTCAATAAACATGGTGAAGCCCCAAAATTGCCCTCGCTAGAAGCCTGTGTTTCAGACATAAGGAAGTGGATGGCTGAAAACTTTTTAAATTTTAAACTCGGACAAAACAGAGATCTTGTTCTAGGTCCCAAGAAACAAAGAGATCTTCTGTTAAATCTGACAATTCATCTTGATGGTTGTAAAGTCGTCTCAATAAAACTGTGAAGGACCTTCGGCGTTACTCTTGACCCTGATCTCTCTTTTGACGAACATATCAAGACTGTTTCAAGGACAGCTTTTTTCCATCTACGTAACATTGCAAAAATCAGAAATTTTCTGTCCAAAAATGATGCAGAAAAATTAATCCATGCATTTGTTACTTCTAGGTTAGACTACTGCAATGCTCTATTTTCCGGCTACCCGGATAAAGCACTAAATAAACTTCAGTTAGTGCTAAATACGGCTGCTAGAATCCTGACTAGAACCAAGAAATTTGATCATATTACTCCAGTGCTAGCTTCCCTACACTGGCTTCCTGTTAAGGCAAGGGCTGATTTCAAGGTTTTACTGTTAACCTATAAAGCGTTACATGGGCTTGCTCCTACCTATCTTTCCGAGTTGGTCCTGCCGTACATACCAATACGTACGCTACGGTCACAAGACGCAGGCCTCCTAATTGTCCCTAGAATTTCTAAGCAAACAGCGGGAGGCAGGGCTTTCTCCTATAGATCTCCATTTTTATGGAACAGTCTGCCTACCCATGTGAGAGACGCAGACTCGGTCTCAACCTTTAAGTCTTTACTGAAGACTTATCTCTTCAGTAGGTCATATGATTGAGTGTAGTCTGGCCCAGGAGTGTGAAGGTGAACGGAAAGGCTCTGGAGCAACAAACAGCCCTTGCTGTCTCTGCCAGGCCGGTTCCCCTCTCCACTGGGGTTCTCTGCCTCTAACCCTGTTGCAGGGGCTGAGTCACTGGCTTGCTGGTGCTCTTTCATGCCGTCCCTGGGAGGGGTGCGTCACTTGAGTGGGTTGAGTTACTGACGTGATCTTCCTGTCTGGGTTGGCGCCCCCCCCTTGGTTTGTGCTGTGGTGGAGACCTCTGTGGGCTATACTCGGCCTTGTCTCAGGATTGTAAGTTGGTGGTTGAGGATATCCCTCTAGTGGTGCGGGGGCTGTGCTTTGGCAGAGTGGGTGGGGTTATATCCTTCCTGTTTGGCCCTGTCCGGGGGTTTCTTCGGATGGGGCCACAGTGTCTCCGGACCGCTCCTGTCTCAGCCTCCAGTATTTATGCTGCAGTAGTTTATGTGTCGGGGGGCTGGGGTTAGTTGGTTATACCTGGAGTACTTCTCCTGTCTTATCCAGTGTCCTGTGTGAATTTAAGTATGCTCTCTCTAATTCTCTCGTTCTCTCTTTCTCTCTGAGAACCTGAGCCCTAGGACCATACGTCAGGACTACCGGGCATGATGACACCTTGCTGTCCCCAGTCCGCCTGGCCTTGCTGCTATTCCAGTTTCAACTGTTCTGCCTGCGGTTACGAAACCCCTACCTGTCCCAGACCTGCTGTTTTCAACTCTTAATGATCGGCTATGAAAAGCCAACTGAGAGACCTGAGCCCTAGGACCATACGTCGGGACTACCGGCCGTGGTGACTCCTTGCTGTCCCCAGTCCGCCTGGCCTTGCTGCTATTCCAGTTTCAACTGTTCTGCCTGCGGTTATGGAACCCCTACCTGTCCCAGACCTGCTGTTTTCAACTCTTAATGATCGGCTATGAAAAGCCAACTGAGATTTATTCCTGATTATTATTTGACCATGCTTGTCACTTATGAACATTTTTGAACATCTTGGCATGGTTCTGTTATAATCTTCACCCGGCACAGCCAGAAGAGGACTGGCCACCCCTCATAGCCTGGTTCCTCTCTAGGTTTCTTCCTAGGTTTTCGCCTTTCTAGGGAGTTTTTCCTAGCCACCGTGCTTCTACACCTGCATTACTAGCTGTTTGGGGTTTTAGGCTGGGTTTCTGTACAGCACTTCGAGATATTAGCTGATGTAAGAAGGGCTATATAAAATAAAATTGATTGATTGATTGATTGTTCTTTCCCTCAGAACGATGAGATAGAACATTCAGCGTTCCCCTTCGACATCTTCTATGCCCTGACTCAGAAGATCTGCCCTCGTACTGACATCGAGGAACTCTTCAAGAAAATGTGAGTGGTCACTAACTCTACTCCCCAGATCTCTTCTGCTGTACTCTCCCCTCAATGTCTACCCTGTTCTACTCTAGCCTAGAAAGCTGGCTGCACCCTATATGCTAGTCACATTTGAGTGTGCAGTAAGTGTAGGTCTGAAATTACACAACCAGTGAGCAAAACTGGTTGAGAAGACATCTTGTCAACATCAAAACTGGTTGAAATTATGTATTTTCAACCAGTTTTGCTCACTGGTCAGGCGTTTACAGTACAACATCTATATAGCATTTTATTGCTATGTATTTGGTCTCAACAGCATGGTCTCAACAGTGATTCTTATAGTGGAGAGGTATTTAGTAACAGTTTGTGTTGATAACTGTAGTGTATACACTGTTTATGTGAATGACAGGTGTGAGAGAGAGAGAGAGAGAGAGAGAGAGACAGAGAGAGAGAGAGAGAGAGAGAGAGAGAGAGAGAGAGAAATAAAGAAATAGAGAGATAGAGAGAGAGAGAAAGAAAGAGAGAGATAGAGAGAGAGAGTGTTGTTCTACAGTGCATTTGGAAAGTAGTCCCTTTTTCAACATTTTGGATGGATATATATATTTTTTAATCCTCATCAATCTACACACAATACCCCATAATGACAAAGCGAAAACAGGTTTTTAGAAATTTTCGAAAATGTATATAAAAAATAAATAAAGGAAATACCTTATTTACATAAGTATTCAGACCCTTTGCTATGAGACTCAAAATTAAGCTCAGGTGCATCCTGTTTCCATTGATCATCCTTGAGATGTTTCTAGAACTTGATTGGAGTCCACCTGTGGATAATTCAATTGATTGGACATGATTTGGAAAGGCACACACCTGTCAATATAAGGTCCCACAGTTGACAGCGCATGTCAGAGCAAAAACCAAGCCATGAGGTCGAAGGAATTGTCCGTAGAGCTCCGAGACAGGATTGTGTCGAGGCACAGATCTGGGGAAGGGTACCAAAACATTTCTGCAGCATTGAATGTCCCCAAGAACACAGTGGCCTCCATCATTCTTAAATGTAAGAAGTTTGGAACCACCAAGACTCTTCCTAGAGCTGGCTGCCCGGCCAAACTGAGCAGTCGGGGGAGAAGGGCTTTGGTCAGGGAGGTGACCTAGAACCCGATGGCCACTCTGACAGAGCTCCAGAGTTCCTCTGTGGAGATGGGAGAACCTTCCAGAAGGACAACCAATCAGGCCTTTATGGTAGAGTGGCCAGACGGAAGCCACTCCTCAGTAAAAGGCACATGACAGCCCGCTTGGAGTTTGCCAAAAGGCACCTAAAGACTCTCAGACCATGAGAAACAAGATTCTCTGGTCTGACGAAACCAAGATTGAACTCTTTGGCCTGAATGCCAAGCGTCACGGAAACCTGGCACCATCCCTACGGTGAAGCATGGTGGTGGCAGCATCATGCTGTGAGGATGTTTTTCAGCGGCAGGGACTGGGAGACTAGTCAGGATCGATGGAAAGATGAACGGAGCAAAGTACAGAGAGATCCTTGATGAAAACCTGCTCTAGAGCGCTCAGGACCTCAGACTGGGGCGAAGGTTCACCTTCCAACAGGACAACGACCCTAAGCACACAGCCAAGACAACGCAGGAGTGGCTTCGAGACAAGTCTCTGAATGTCCTTGAGTGGCCCAGCCAGAGCCTGGACTTGAACCCAATCGAACATCTCTGGAGAGACCTGAAAATAACTGTGCAGCGACACACCCCATCCAACCTGACATAGCTTGAGAGGATCTGCAGAGAAGAATGGGAGAAACTCCCCAAATACAGGGTGTGTCAAGCTTGTAGCGTCATACCCAAGAAGACTCAAGGCTGTAATCGCTGCCAAAGGTGCTTCAACAAAGTACTGAGTAAAGGGTCTGAATGTGATATTTCCGTTTTTTTTTAATTATACATTTGCAAACATTTCTAAAAAACTGTTTTTGCTTTGTCATTATGGGGTATTGTGTGTAGATTGATGAGGATTATATATTTTTTAAATCCATTTTAGAATAAGGCTGTAACGTAACAAAATGTGGAAAAAGTCAAGGGGTCTGAATACTTTCCGAATGCACTGTATGTTGGTGTTTGGTTGCGAGATCAAATGTATTAGACAGTCTGCAGCTGCTCTACTAATAACCCCTGGACAACCTAATCTGCCTAATCAGTGACACATTAACACGTTTGTTTTAAACTAACTCAACGGTTTGTGAATGTTCGACCAGTGGTGATGTTAACATGTTCTAGAAATCTTATTATGAAAGTGTAACATGACAGTGCTCTATTTTTACTCTTTAAAAAACCCTTCTGCTTTCTAGTTACTGACTGACTGACTGAGAGGGTTTTTAAGAAACCTAACATTTTGTCTTTCTAATTAATTCCTTTGCAGCAATGGGGACAAAAGTGATTTTTTAAACGTAGACCAGTTAGTCAGCTTTCTGAATGAAGTAAGCTCTTTATCATTCATTAACTTCACTGTGTGAGTGCTTGACCCCTCCCCTCTCACCTGGCATAGGATAGAAGTTGCCCTTAGGCACAGTTCTAGGATCAGTTAACAATTGGGGGGTACAATGCAAAACTGACCTTAAATCATTGTCTAGGGATAACTTCATCCTGCCCCTCTAAACTGCACGCCCCCTTCCCCAACCTATTTCTCCCCAGCCCTGCATACTTGTGACTGATTGTGTAACCCTGGCAACCTGGGGAGGGAGGGGCTCCCTGTTCGGCCATCTTGCCTGGTCCTTGCTGCCTGTCTGCTAGTTGTCTCTGCTTTGCCTGAAAACGTACCTGCTTCTACTTCTTTCTTCTGTACGTGTGCCTGCTTCTCTTTCTCTGTGTGCAATGCTGAAGTGAATCCCCAGTAGTACAAAGACTCTGAAAAATGTGTTCCCTCCTGCTTTAGTGGCCAGTGGTGTTGTCATGATCCCTGCTGGTGTGTGAATCTCTCCCCTCTCTTCTTGTAAGACCACACACTCCCTACCTTTGGCTACACACACACCTCTTCTCCCCACCTCATTGCAGTAGCTCTGTACCAGTAACTGTGGCTTTTTGTTTTTTCATTTGAACACCCACAAATGAAAGATGTGTTTGTAGTAGATAGTACTATATCCATTGTCACTGTGTCAGTGTAAGGTGTCTACCCTCTTTTGTTTGTAAGTATCAGCTGTGTGTGTGTTTTAATTGTTGTCTCTTGTCATAATGGTCCCGATCCTAATCTGAGAAATGTAACAGAGGTGGTTCGGTGAGCAACACTCACATGATGAGTAGCTTAACCCTTGTGTATGACCTGAAAACTGGCGTTAGCTCCACTAATGCCTAAATTAGTACAGCGGGCTAAAATAGCCTTGTGGCACGCAGAAGACACCGGGTTCAAACTCATTTGGTCACGTGACTTGTGCACATACATTTTCTCGAATGTAGCCTAAAACAATAAACATGTTACTTGGAAGTTTAGCAGAAATCAGACATTAGTGTCCATGGGAGATTTGGCAGAAGTTTGAGTTACATGCACATTTCTCAAGTTAGGAATGGGTCCAATGTTCTTAGTGTGCAATGACGTGTGTGTGTGTGTGTGTGCTTGTGAGTGAGACGGTGTTGTGTATCATTACGTTCTCCAGAACCAGCGCGACCCGCGGCTAAACGAGATCCTGTTCCCCTTCTACGAACCTAAACGAGCCATGCAGATCATCGAGAAGTACGAGAGAGACCCCGACCTTAAGAAGAAAGGTGAGAGAATGGGATGGATGGATGGGGGGAGAGAGAGAGAGAGAGAGAGCGAGAGAGGAGCACTGCTGCCCTCTTCTGGTGAATAACAAAATAGCACCACCACCCTCAAACTAATGTACATTTTAGTCATTTAGCAGACGCTCTCATCCAGAGCGACATACAGTTAGTGAGTGCATAAATTTTTCATACTGGCCCCCGTGGGAATCGAACCCACAACCCTGGCCTTGCAAGCACCATGCTCTACCAACCGAGCTACAGTGTACCCACATGTGTGAGCGTTGAGGAAAAGCTAAGTCAAAGAGTGTATGTTAAACACACACTCTTAGACACCCTCTTACTCCCTCCTCCCCCTCTCCTCCTCCTCCTCCTCCTCCTCCTCCTCCTCCTCCTCTCCCACAGGCCGTATGTCCAGTGATGGCTTCTGCAGGTACCTGATGTCAGATGAGAATGCCCCGGTGTTCCTGGACTGCCTGGAGCTCTACCAGGACATGGAGCAGCCGCTGGCCCACTACTTCATCGCCTCCTCCCACAACACCTACCTGAACGGGAGGCAGTTCGGAGGGAAGTCCTCCGTGGAGATGTACAGACAGGTGCTGCTCTCCGGCTGCAGGTAGGGGGGTGGAGAGGGGGGGGGGTGTGTGTGTGGATGGGGGTGGTGGTTTACAGACGTATGTTTTATATATAGTTTGTAAACTGTTTTGTATGTGTATGATCTCAGGTGTGTAGAGCTGGACTGCTGGGATGGTAAAGGAGAAGACCAGGAGCCTATTATCACTCACGGGAAGGCCATGTGTACTGACATCCTCTTCAAGGTACATACACAGTCTCATGCACGCACACATACATACACATACATACACCGACACACACACACACACACACACACACACACACACACACACACACACACTCACTCACTCACTCACTCACTCACTCACTCACTCACTCACTCACTCACTCACTCAAAGAATGAAGACGATATGTCAGAATGTTGTATTCATTACGTATGGCAAGTCTGCCCTCTTGTGTTGATAGATTGATACTGCATCTGATTGCGACCTGCAGCTCCATTTGAAGTTACACTGTAGTTATTGATCAGATACTCATATCCAGAGAGACTTAAGGAAAATGATAAATAATGGATCCAGTGTGATTTCAACATCAATCCCCATGTTGCTGTTTCCCCCCTCAAACAGGACGTGATCTCAGCCATCAGGGAAACAGCCTTTGTGACGTCTGAGTATCCTGTGATCCTGTCATTTGAAAACCACTGCAGGTAGGATTTCACAATGATCCAGAATATTTTTGACCATTTTATACATAACAATGTTATTATTTAATCCTGTACATCTGATCGAAATGACATGTAACTATTATTGCATTTGATTTAATGACAAAAGAAGAGGTAAAAATGGGAACTAACGCTCGCACTAGTCTTTTCATACTAGCACTGACTTTGCTAATAACTATAGTAAGGAAAATATTTACTTACTATGACTGTGGTATGTGGTTGTCTCACCTAGCTACCTTAAGATGAATACACTAACTGTTAAGTCGCTCTGGATAAGAGCGTCTGCTAAATGACAAAAATGTCAATGGAAATGTCTTGATGCAATGTTTGATCATGTGTGTTTCAGTAAACCCCAGCAGTACAAGATGGCTCGGTATTGTGAGGAGATCTTTGGAGACTACCTACTGAGGCATCCTCTCGAGGGATACCCTGTGAGTCCACCTTCTAGCACACTATATATCTATACCTGTCTATTTCTGTCTACAGTGTCTACATCTGTATCTGTACTGTGTCTGATAGTTGATGATGATTGAACACAATAAGATTATGGATGTAATGTTTCCAAGCTACAAAAAATGAACCATTTACTGTAAATGTCTTCAGTCATTTGATGAAAAACGTAACGTTTGTTGTTGTTGCCAGGTTGAAGCGGGCCGCCCCTTGCCTTCTCCCAACGACCTCAAACGCAAAATCCTCATCAAAAACAAACGCTTGAAACCAGAGGTGGAACAGAGTACGTTAACAGCGACAGTCTTGTCTTTCACACGACTGTTAACTTTACGCAAGAATCATTTTATTTCCCTTAGTTTCATACAGATGTTGCTACTGCTGGACTTGCCTGTTCTGAGTCATTCTGTGTGTTGTCTTTTGATTGACACACAGTATGTTGACTTGTGTGTTCTACAGAGCAGTTAGAGTCATTTAAGAAGCACATGGAGGCAGGAGAGACCAACACACCAGCCATCTTACTGGGAGCAGAGACAGAGGAAGATGTGGAGAACGGTGAGTGTGTGTGTGCAGATGCGCGCGTGTTGATGTGTGTGTACACCTGTTCTTCTTCTTGTTCTGGTGTGTAGTCACTTTGGGTGCTGAGATATTCAGGCACTTTGAATCGGTTGAGTGGAGTAGGTGTGTGTCTTTGTGACCAGTGCTGTTTCTACACTCTTAGGGGGAAAAAAGATGCTATCTAGAAACTAAAAGTGTTCTTCGGCTGTCTCCATAGGAGAACCCTTTGAATAACCCTTTTTGGTTCCAGGTAGAACCCTTTTGGTTCCAGGTAGAAACCTTTTGGGTTGTATGTAGAACCCTTTCCACAGAGGGTTTTACATGGAACCAAAAAGGGTTGTCCTATGGAGACAGCTGAAGAACCCTTTTTTCTAAAAGTGTAGACATAAGCGACATAAGCAGCCGCTTAGGAAGTAATTCGGGGTCTCAACTTACTGTTAGTTAGGGTAGCAGAATACACAGCGTGCAGTTTCTAAATGTGGTAGTTTATCATCAGTTTTTCTCTTGTTATGTCAGTCACTGACAGTCACTCAATTAGCCCATGTCAGCTAACATTTTATAGATTGTTAGCAGTTTTTTGTAGTCTTGCCAGCTATCTAAACGTTATAGTAATCATGGTTGAATTACTGACCAGGCACGCAAGGCACGTGCCCAGTGGCCCTGACCTCCAGGGTGCCGCCATTTGATTTTGTTAGTCACTCTCATTCAGAAATCATATGAACATGGCATAAGTCATGGTAAAATGTGTAGAATTGCAGGAAATTAGCTTTAAAACTGCAAAATGTTCTCTCCATCCCATGGTAAAATGTGTAGAATTGCAGGAAATTAGCTTTAATATGGCAAAGTTTTCTCCTCCACCCCATGGCAAAATGTGTAGAATTGCAGGACACTTTTCACTTTTAAGCTTCACATTTTTCTCTCCGTCACCAAGAGGGGGGCCACTAAAATGTTTTCACCTCAAGGTGGGGGGCCCCACCAACCAAATCCCTGTTTTGGACGGTGTATGTGTTGGAGGGTAACCGTGTGTGTTCCTGCATCTGTAGCTCTAGGTGATGTGAAGGATGTGATTCCTGACTTGAAGACCAGTACCTCAGAGGAGCCTAGTGAAGAGAACAGCCTCAGCACCAGTGTTAGTATCAGTGACAGTGTCAGTGTGAACAAAGACAGAGAGGAGAAGGAGAGGGACAACAGCATCAAAAAGGTATACATTTTGTAAATAGAATTTGTGTTTTGAGCTAAGACTTAGTAACCTATGACCCAAAAAGAGTCTCTGTGTTCTTTTGTGTGTTCAGGTGGTGACAGAGATACATTATGTACATGTCATGTAGATATAGTATATTTGGTCTGTAGTACAGTGTCTTCAGAAAGTATTCACACCCCTTGATTTGACAAAGTGGGATTAACATAGATTTTATTGTAATTTTTTGTCAACGATCTACACAAAATACTCTGTAATGTCAAAGTGGAAGAAAGATTTCAACATTTGTATTTAATTAATGGGAAAATAAAACACTAATATATTTTGATTAGATAAGTATTCAACCCCCTGAGTCAATACATTGTCACGATCGTTCATTAACGAGAAGGACCAAGGCGCAGCGTGATATGTATTCATATTTATTTACGTACTGAACACACGACAAAACAACAATGAAACGTGAAGTCCAAGGTAGACAAAATAACATACCTCACACGGAACAAGATCCCACAACTGACTGGTGCCAAAAGGCTGCCAAAGTATGGTCCCCAATCAGAGACAACGAGCTACAGCTGCCTCTGATTGGGAACCACCCTGGCCAACATAGATCTAAACGATCTAGAAACTAAACATAGAAATAAACACAACACAAAATATACACACCCTGACTCAACAAATAACCGTTCCCTGAGTCAGGGCGTGACATACATGTTAGAGTCACCTTTGGCAGTGATTACAGCTGTGAGTCTTTCTGGGTTAGTCTCTAAGAGCTTTGCAAACCTATGTTGTACAATATCTGCCCATGATTCTTTTTAAATTCTTCAAGCTCTGTCAAGTTGGTTGTTGATCATTGCTAGACAGCCATTTTCAAGTCTTGCCATAGATTTTCAAGCAGATTTATGTCAAAACTGTAACTAAGCCACTTAGGAACATTCAATGTTGTCTTGGTAAGTAACTCCAGTGTATATTTGGCCTTGCATTGTAGGTTATTGTCCTGCTGAAAGGTGGATTTATCTCCCAGTGTCTGTTGGAAAGCAGACGAAACCAGTTTTTCCTCTAGGATTTTGCCTGTGCTTAGCTCAGTGACAAGCATACCCATAACATGATGCAGCCACCACCATGCTTGTATGAAGACTGGTACTCAGTGATGTGTCGGATTTGCCCCAAACATAATACTTTGTATTCAGGACAAAAGGTTAATTTCTTTGCAGTATTACTTTAGTGCCTTATTGCAAACAGGGTGCATGTTTTGGAATATTTCTATTCTGTACAGGCTTCCTTCTTTTCACTATGTAATTTAGGTTAGTATTGTGGAGTAACTACAATGTTGTTCATCCATCCTCAGTCTTCTCCTATCACAGCCATTTACAGTGGGGAGAACAAGTATTTGATACACTGCCAATTTTGCAGGTTTTCCTACTTACAAAGCATGTAGAGGTCTGTAATTTTTATCATAGGTACACTTCAACTGTGAGAGACGGAATCTAAAACAAAAATCCAGAAAATCACATTGTATGATTTTTTATTCATTAATTTGCATTTTATTGCATGACATAAGTATTTGATCACCTACCAACCAGTAAGAATTCAGGCTCTCACAGACCTGTTAGTTTTTCTTTAAGAAGCCCTCCTGTTCTCCACTCATTACCTGTATTAACTGCACCTGTTTGAACTCGTTACCTGTATAAAAGACACCTGTCCACACACTCAATCAAACAGACTCCAACCTCTCCACAATGGCCAAGACCAGAGAGCTGTGTAAGGACATCAGGGATAACATTGTAGACCTGCACAAGGCTGGGATGGGCTACAGGACAATAGGCAAGCAGCTTGGTGAGAAGGCAACAACTGTTGGCGCAATTATTAGAAAATGGAAGAAGTTCAAGATGACGGTCAATCACCCTCGGTCTGGGGCTCCATGCAAGATCTCACCTTGTGGGGCATCAATGATCATGAGGAAGGTGAGGGATCAGTCCAGAACTACACGGCAGGACCTGGTCAATTACCTGAAGAGAGCTGGGACCACAGTCTCAAAGAAAACCATTAGTAACACACTACGCCGTCATGGATTAAAATCCTGCAGTGCACGCATGGTCCCCCTGCTCAAGCCAGCGCATGTCCAGGCCCGTCTGAAGTTTGCCAATGACCATCTGGATGATCCAGAGGAGGAATGGGAGAAGGTCATGTGGTCTGATGAGACAAAAATAGAGCTTTTTGGTCTAAACTCCACTCGCCGTGTTTGGAGGAAGAATAAGGATGAGTACAACCCCAAGAACACCATCCCAACCGTGAAGCATGGAGGTGGAAACATCATTCTTTGGGGATGCTTTTCTGCAAAGGGGACAGGACGACTGCACCGTATTGAGGGGAGGATGGATGGGGCCATGTATCGCGAGATCTTGGCCAACAACCTCCTTCCCTCAGTAAGAGCATTGAAGATGGGTCGTGGCTGTGTCTTCCAGCATGACAACGACCCGAAACACACAGCCAGGGCAACTAAGGAGTGGCTCCGTAAGAAGCATCTCAAGGTCCTGGAGTGGCCTAGCCAGTCTCCAGACCTGAACCCAATAGAAAATCTTTGGAGGGAGCTGAAAGTCCGTATTGCCCAGCGACAGCCCCGAAACCTGAAGGATCTGGAGAAGGTCTGTATGGAGGAGTGGGCCAAAATCCCTGCTGCAGTGTGTGCAAACCTGGTCAAGACCTACAGGAAACGTATGATCTCTGTAATTGCAAACAAAGATTTCTGTACCAGATATTAAGTTCTGCTTTTATTATGTATCAAATACTTATGTCATGCAAGAAAATGCAAATTAATTAATAAAAAATCATACAATGTGATTTTCTGGATTTTTGTTTTAGATTCCGTCTCTCACAGTTGAAGTGTACCTATGATAAAAATTACAGACCTCTACATGCTTTGTAAGTAGGAAAACCTGCAAAATCGGCAGTGTATCAAATACTTGTTCTCCCCACTCACCCCACATGGTGAAATCCCTGAGCGGTTTCCTTCCTCTTCGTCAACTGAGTTAGGAAGGACACCTGTATCTGTGTAGTGACTGGGTGTATTAATACACCATCCAAAGTGTAATTAATAACTTCACCATGTGTCAAGGCGTCAGTGTAATGCGGTAGGACGAAGTCAGGCGCAGGACACAGAGCTAATCGGAAAAAACTTACTTTACTCGTAGGTAATAGAAAGAACAAACCTCCACGCAGGGAGGAACAAACCCGCTCACTATGACAACCAAAACATGAACAAACACGCACAACACACAGTGTGATACAGAGGGTTAAATAGGGAAGACATAACTACATGATGGGAAACAGGTGTGACCAATAAAGACAAAAGAAGTTGAACATAGAAACATGGATCTGTAGTAGCTAGTACTCTGGTGACGACGAACGCCGAACCCTGCCCGAGCAAGGAGGAGGGGCAGCCTCGGCTGAATTCGTGACACCATGCCAAAGGGATATTCAATGTGTGATTTTTAAAAACAATTTTACCCATCTACCAATAGCTGCCATTCTTTGCGAGGCATTGAAAAACCTCCCTGGTCTTTGTCATTGAATCTGTGCTTGACATTCACTGCTCGACTGAGGGACCTTACATATAATTGCATGTGTGGGATACAGAGATGGGATAGTCATTCAAAAATCATATTAAACACTATTATTGTGCACAGAGTTAATCCATGCAATTTAGTATCTGACTTGTTAAGCAAATGTTTACTCCTGAACTTATTTAGGCTTGTCTTAACAAAGGGGTTGAATACTTATTGACTCAAGACATTTCAGCCTTTCAATTGTTATTAATTTGTAAAATATTCTAAAAACGTAATTCAACTTTGACATTATGGGGTATTGTCTGTGGATCAGTGACACAACATCTAAATTTAATCACTTTTATATTCAGGCTGTAACGCAACAAAATGTGGAAAAAGTCAAGGGGATGTGAATATCTTCTGAAGGCACTCTATATTTAAGCAATAAGGCCCGAGGGGATGTGGTATATTGGCTATACCAGTGCTGTTCATATGCATGACGCAAAGTGGAGTGCCTGGATACAGCCCTTCACCGTGGTATATTGGCCATATACCACCAACCCAGAGGTGCCTTATTGCTATTATAAACAGCTTACCAACATAAACAGAACCGTAAACAAGTATTTATTCATCACCCATGGTAAACTATATTGTCTGAAATGCTATTTCAGCCTATCAGCATCCAGGACCCAAACTACCCTGTTTATAATTGACTATTGTTGTGTGTTCAGGTGGTGGAGGAGGATCCAACAGAGATGTCTGAGGCCACAGAAGCAACAGACGCCACAGACATCTCGGAGGCTTCTGAGGATAACAACAACAAAAAGGTATGAGAGTCGGTTCAGCTGCTCTTTCTCTCATTACTAACCCCTCTCTACTGTTGAGTTTGTAGCCTTTTCTCTAACCAGTAGCTCTTGTAAAGCTCTTTCTCTGAACAGGGATTGTGTATATTGATAATGAGAGTGTAACTAACTAACTTTGTGCTTTATAATTACTTTACGTGCTATTCAGACTCGAAGGCTTCTGTATGTACAGAGTGGGGACTGGGAGAGAACAGAGATGTGTGTGAAGTGTAAAACATTGTGTTTTGTGCTCCTGTGTAGACTGGCGAGACTACGGATGACGAGGAGGCTCTGATAGCCTCGTACACGTACGTAGGAGCCACCACCAACATCCACCCCTACCTCTCTGCAGGTAACTACGAAGCCTGTAAGTTTAGGCTCTCTGTAGACGTGCAGATAGGTAGCTAAGTTGGTGATGTGAACTCAGTGTTTGGCAAGTGAGGATTGGTAAGACCTGTGAAAGGGAAAACTGAGGGAGTGCAAGAGAGTAGCGACGAACAAATTGTGAATAGGTGGTTAAATACTAGAAGTGTCTTCAGAATATAAGATATCTTAAGATCTTATATAATAACTATCTCTTATTATTTTAGCTTATCTAATTATATACTCAGATTTCAAATTAATTATACTTTTTACCCTAATATTATATCAATCTATATTATATCTTAATATCTCTGACAATTACTCTATTTATTTAATTATACTAATTTAATAATCGATCTTCTTTTACTTATCTAAATATATCTTAACCTATATATTCTCTATCTACTTGATATATCTTCACTCTATAGTATCATATATCTAAATTCTATAGATTATATAAATACTATATCAATATATATCTCTAAGTAGAGAGTGAGAATCAATAATAGTCGCGGGAGAATAGAGAAAGAGAGAGATAGAGAGAGAGCGATAAAAGCTAGATAGACTTAGTATAGAAGTAGAGAGGGAGAGCACGTTAGGATACCCAGAAACGAGCTAGAGAGCGAATCGAAGAGCAAGCGCGAGAAGAAGAGCGAAGACAGGAGAAAGCGAGCGCGAGGCGAGGACAAGAGGAGACGCTCGATCGCGGCTTCGCGGAGCGAAGCCTCCAGCGATCCGCGCGGCATAGGCTAGCGCAGGCGCGCTCGCGCACGCTCTCGCTCTCTTTATATAGGATATATATATTATATATCTATATAATAATATTCACTGTTCATGGTAACTCTACTTGCTGCTCTCCCTCAGAGAGGAACATTCCCCACAACATGTCGTCATTTAACGAGTCAGTGGGTTCTGGGTTATCTGAAGACCAACGCCATCGAGTTTGTCAAGTATCCTTTGCTCCAGTGTCAACACTCACACAGCATGTGAATACACACAGACAACACAAACACAATAAAGAAACATTAAAATAAACAACCCCCAAAAAATTTAAAATAAACAATCCAAAAAATACATTTATCCAATATTTCCTGACCGATAAAGTAGTCAAGTCCATAGTCCGTCATGCTACTTTTTATAATAATGAATGACTGCCTTAAAATTAACTGACTCCTTTGATTTTCTAGACCGCAAAAAAACCAGTATCCATAGTGGGTCCCCTGGACCAGATTAAAAAAAAAATTTGTAGCAGTTGTAACAGTTTCAGGTCACCCATATATGAGCCAATGACAGGGAGGACCAGACTCTGCTGTTTCCTGTACTTAGACGTTGTTTGTTTTAAAGTCTCCATCTGTGGAAAAACTGTTCCAGTTCCTCTGGGAGAAACCGATGTGCCTTTGGAACGGGGAACACACACACATTCCAGTGGGAATGCGGGACCCAAGCTGTTACCTTCTAAAAATAGGCCTGCGGTCTGTCGACTCGCTACACACACACACACACACACACACACACACACACACACACACACACACACACACACACACACACCACTGTTTCAACTTCCAGACCTCAGGTGCTGTACCATGTAACCCTACAGAACACACACCATACATACACTCACACAACCACCCCAACTTCCACGCGCACATACACATGAACAAGCACACACACACACACTATATCTGTGTTATGTTCTGAACATTGGTGTCCAGCTACAACAAGCGTCAGATGAGTCGGATCTACCCTAAAGGAGGCAGGGTGGACTCCAGTAATTACATGCCTCAGATCTTCTGGAACGCAGGCTGCCAGATGGTCTCCCTTAACTACCAGACCCCAGGTACTGTACCGGAGCATGTTAACCCTACCGCGCATACCGGCTCATACTCTAAATACAAATGTACGTAGATTCACATGCGACACACACCCCTCTCATAACCCTATGCTACTGTAAATCTGAGGGATGAGGGATGCAACAGACATACACACACACAAACACACCCTAGGTAGTATTTGCTTCCTGTTCATGGTGAGAAATTTTACCTCCTACAACACACATGCTCTCACAGACACTCTCTCTCTCTCTCTCACTCTCTCCCTCTCTCTCTCTCTCTCTCTCTCTCTCTCTCTCTCTCTCTCTCTCTTCCCTTATCTCGCTCTTTCTCTCTCGCTCTCTCTCTCGCTTCCCTTATCTCTCGCTTTCTCCCTCTCCCTTGCCCCCTCTCTCTCTACCTCTCTCTCTCTCTCTCTCTCTCTCTCTCTCTCTGTCTCTCTCTCTCGCTTCCCTTATCTCTCTCTTTCTCCCTCTCTCTTGCCCACTCTCTCTCTACCTCTCTCTCTCTCCCTCTCTCTCTCTTTCTCTCTTGCCCCCTCTCTCTCTCTTGCTCTCTCAATTCAATTCAATTCAATAGACTTTATTGACATGGCAAGTTAAATTACTTACATTGTCAAAGTATACATATAGCAAAAATGGTGGGACCAACAGCAATAATAATAGAAGTAGTGGAAATGGGATTACCATTAACAGCAACTACAACAACAATATTAATGAGAATAACAATACATTAAAGCAATAGTAGTCGACCAGTCTCAACATGACTGAGAGGACACATGACATGGTATGAAAGCCAAAACAAAACAATAAATATTATTGATATTACATTACACTTTTCACTGGCTGTCCCTCAGGTTGTGGCAGGAGGACCAATAAATATTAGATTTTTTCTTCCTCTTTTATAGTTTCAAATTCTTTGTACTGAATGATAATTTTGGGAAAGAAAGATTCTCTTAGGTCTGAGTATTTGTCACAGTGTAATAGGAAATGCAGCTCTGTTTCTACCTCTCCCCGGGGGCAGAGTGAGCACAGCCTGTCCTCTCTGGGCAGCCAGATTTGCCTGTGACGACCGGTCTCTATAGCCAGACTGTGCTCACTGAGTCTGTACCTAGTCATTGTTTTCCTCAGTTTTCTATCAGTCACGGGGGCTATATAGTCTGCCACCATGTACTGTCTGTTTAGAGCCAAATAGCATTGAAGTTTACTTTGATTTTTTTTGGTATCTTTCCAATAGGTGATATATTTTTATTTTTGCTTTGTGATGATTTGGTTGGGCCAGATTTTCTGAGTGCTGTCTTGAGGCTCTATGAGGTTGGTTTTGGTTAGTGAACTGAGCCTCAGAACCAGCTGGCTGAGGGGACTATTCTCTTGTTTCATCTCTTGACATTGTAGAGCTGTGTGATAGAATGTTTTGGGGTCACTTGTTTTTAGATGGTTGTAAAATTTGATGGCACTTTTTTCTATTCAAATAAGGAGGGGGTATTGGCCCAATTCTGCTCTACATGCGTTATTTGGAGTTTTTCTTTGCACTTGCAATACAGTCTTGCAAAACTCTGCATGCAGTATTTCGATTGGATGTTTGTCCCATTTGGTAAATTCAGTATTAGAGAGCGGACCCCAAACTTCGCTGCCATATAGAGCAATTGGTTCTATAACTGATTGGAACATTTTGAGCCAGATTCTAATTGGAATTTCGATTTTAATATTCCTTTTAATGGCATAGAATGCTCTTCTTGCTTTGTCTCTCAGCTCATTCACAGCCATGTGAAAGCTACCTGTGTTGCTGATATTTAGTCCTAGATACGTGTCATTTTTGGTGTGTTCTAATAGAACTGTGTCCAAATATAATTTATATTTGTCATCCTGATTTCCTGACCTTTTTTGGAATATCATTATATTCGTTTTTTTTAGATTAACGGTCAGGGCCCAGGTCTGGCAGAACCTGTGCAGATTATCTAGATGCTGCTGTAACCCCCCCCCCTCTCTCTCTCTCTCTCTCTTTCTGTCTTTCCCTCTCTCACACACACACACACGCACACACACATTCAACCCTGTAGTTAGCAGATGCTGCCCCATGTCTGAGGGCAATGGGGTTGGAACATATGGCCCCCTGTGAGTGGGCATGTGTAGGGCTGGAGGGGGGTGAGTGCCAGGGGGTGAGAGAGAGGGAGGAGAGGAGAGGATGAAGAGATGTCAGTGAGGTGGAAAAACCCCATTCTCTCGTCTCTCTCCCTCTGGAATTTGCAACAGCAGCATTGCAGATTATGACTTTTAGTGGTTGAAGAAATCAACATGTCACAAATGAATTGAATCAAGCTGAAAAATGTCATCTGTGTTGGCATAATGTGTGTGTACACTTCAAGAAGAGTATGTGTGTCTGCATGTGACTGTGTGTGTCTGTGATTTCCATTGTAATAGCACCTAAACTGACTCTCCTGTCTTAGATCTGGCCATGCAGTTGAACCAGGGAAAGTATGAGTACAATGGATCCTGTGGGTAGGTGTTACTGCTGTCCCTCCCTCCCTCCCTCCTTTCTCTTTATCCTCTCTCCATCCCTCCTAGTCCTTCCATCCCTTTCTCTCCACCCTCCTCTCTGAAAGCTCATCAATTAAAGCGTGTCACATCTCATTAGTGGTTGCCGGCGGCGATCGTAACTACCGTCCTCCTCAGAGCCAATCGGATCGCAGGAGACGGCGCTCCTCTCGCTCTGCCACTATCTCACTGATGGGGCTCCCCGCTTTCCTCCTCTTATCCTTTCTATCGCTCTCTCCCTCACTCTCCCTCTCTCTCCCTCTTTCTCTCCTCTCTCTCTACCTCTGTCCTGGGGCTAGGCTTTCACCCCTCATGTCAGATATTTCATATGGGAGGAGATCAGTAATGACAGAAACACCCCTATCTCCTAATGTGCTTTTAATGTGACTCTCACCCTTAACTAATGTCACACACACACACACACACACACACACACACACACACACTCACTCACTCACACACCCCTATCTCTTAATGCGCTTCTAATGCGTCTCTCCTCCTTAACTATTGTCAGATTCATTTATACGCACACTATACATGGAATATTTGCCCTTCTCACTCTCTCAAACACACACACATACACACACACACAGTCTCTCCTAATGCGTCTCCCATCCTAACTCAACTCCCACGCACACAGGGTAGGATCACAATCATGCTAGTCATCATTAGGATTCAGGCTTACTCACTGTAACAGTGTGAGCAGTAATACAAATGATATCGCACTAATGATCATTATGTACTCATTGGTACAACCACCAATCCATTCATCTACAACACGATTTAGACTTAGCTGTTGAAAAGATCTGAAAACACTGTACAACACATTTCTAAACACTATACTAGCACGTTGCAGAAAGTGTTTAAACATAGAGTTAGAGTTTGTGTTTTGACCCTGCTCTGCCACCGTTCCTCCGCTCTCTTCCACCAGGTATCTGTTGAAGCCAGACTTCATGCGTCGCTCAGACAGGATGTTTGACCCCTTCTCAGAGACACCTGTGGATGGGGTCATTGCTGCTACCTGCAGTGTACAGGTATGAGGTTAGGGGTTCAACGTTCACAGGACAGAGAGGGAGATGGAGGTACAGTGCCTTGCAAAAGTATTCATCCCCCTTGGCGTTTTTCATATTTTGTTGCATTACAACCTATTATTTAAATTGATTTTTATTTGGATTTCATCTAATGGACATACACAAAATAGTCCAAATTGGTGAAGTGAAATAAAAAAATATATATATCGGAAAAGTGGTACGTGCATATGTATTCACCCCCTTTGCTATGAAGCCCCTAAATAAGATCTGGTGCAACCAATTACCTTCAGAAGTCACATAATTAGTTAAGTAAAGTCCACCTGTGTGCAATCTAAGTGTCACATGATCTCAGTATATATACACCTGTTCTGAAAGGCCCCAGAGTCTGCAACACCACTAAGTAAGGGGCACCACCAAGCAAGCGGCACTCTGAAGACCAAGGAGCTCTCCAAACAGGTCAGGGACAAAGTTGTGGAGAAGTACAGATCAGGGTTGGGTTATAAAAAATATCAGAAACTTTGAACATCCCACGGAGCACCATTAAATCCATTATTAAAAAATGGAAAGAATATGGCACCACAACAAACCTGCCAAGAGAGGGCCGCCCACCAAAAAGGCAAGGAGGGCATTAATCAGAGAGGCAACAAAGAGACCAAAGATAACCCTGGAGGAGCTGCAAAGCTCCACAGCGGAGATTGGAGTATCTGTCCATAGGACCACTTTAAGCCGTACACTCCACAGAGCTAGGCTTTATGGAAGAGTGGCCAGAAAAAAGCTATTGCTTAAAGAAGAAAATAAGCAAAAACTTTTGGTGTTCGTGAAAAGGCATGTGGGAGACTCCCCAAACATATGGAAGAAGGTACTCTGGTCAGATGAAACTAAAATTGAGCTTTTTGGCCATCAAGGAAAACGCTATGTCTGGCGCAAACCTAAAACACCTCTCATCACCCCGAGAACACCATCCCCACAGTGAAGCATGGTGGTGGCAGCATCATGCAGTGGGGATGTTTTTCATCGGCAGGAAATGGGAAACTGGTCAGAATTGAAGGAATGATGGATGGCGCTAAATACAGGGAAATTCTTGAAGGAAACCTGTTTCAGTCTTCCAGAGATTTGAGACTGGGACGGAGGTTCACCTTCCAGCAGGACAATGACCCTAAGCATACTGCTAAAGCAACACTTGAGTGGTTTAAGGGGAAACATTTAAATGTCTTGGAATGGCCTAGACCTCAATCCAATTGAGAATCTGTGGTATGACTTAAAGATTGCTGTCACCAGCAGAACCCATCCAACTTGAAGGAGCTGGAGCAGTTTTGCCAGTGGCTAGATGTGCCAAGCTTATAGAGACATACCCCAAGAGACTTGCAGCTGTAATTGCTGCAAAAGGTGTCTTTACAAAGTATTGACTTTGGGGGGGTGAATAGTTATGCACGCTCAAGTTTTCTGTTTTTTGTCTTATTTCTTCTTTGATTCACAAGAAAAAAATATTTTGCATCTTCAAAGTGGTAGGCATGTTGTGTAAATGAAATGATACAAACCCCCCAAAAATTCATTTTAATTCCAGGTTGTAAGGCAACAAAATAGGAAAAATGCCAAGGGGGGTGAATACTTTCGCAAGCCACTGTAGTTGCCGTTTAATGTAGTTTATCTGCACATAATCACTATATAAAGAAGAAACGAAGAGAGAAAATAGAATCTCGCTTGTGTGAAAACTTAATGGGCAAAAAAGTGAAACACATTTTTAAAGTTGTATTTTATTGTATTCTATTATATTGTTGTTTGACTGGTTGTGTATGCTCCCAGGTGTTTTCTGGTCAGTTCCTGTCTGATAAGAAGATTGGGACCTACGTGGAGGTGGACATGTACGGGTTGCCCACGGACACCATCCGCAAAGAGTTCCGCACGCGTATGGTGATGAACAATGGCCTGAACCCTGCCTACAACGAAGAACCTTTCGTCTTCAGGAAGGTACGGAGGAGGAGAGGATGGAGGGATGGGAGAGGAAAAGAGGACAGAGGGAGGGAGAAGAGAGATGGATGGGAGAGAGGAGGAGCGCAACGAGGCATGGAAGAGGAGGAAAGAGGGATTAGAGAGGAGAGAAATGCCTGAAGATAGAGAAGAAGAAAGGATAGAATATGAAAGGAAAGCTACAGGAAAGAGGGAACAGAGAACATGAGTTAGAATAGAATGGAAGAGAAAACTAGTAGTTCACACAGTGGTGCATGGCGGTTTACTGGTAGGTACTGTATTGGAGCTTAACACCTAAGGGAGGAGGGAGGAGACAGGGAGGGAGGGATGGAGGGTGGGTGAGTTGTGGTTGATCGGGGTGGAGCTGATGTCCCTGTGGTACTCAGAGCTACTCAGTGTGTCTTTACTGCAGAGAAAGAGAGGAGAAGGGGTCGAGGGAAGAAAAGGGGGAACAGAGGCATAGTATGAGGGAGAGGAGGCAAGACAAAGAGAGAGAGAAAAAAGAGAGCAAATAGAGGAAGAGAAGGTTAGGGACATACAGCACATTGGGCGACAGAATGAGGATGAACTAGAATAGAAAACAAAAGTAGGAGGTTGAAGGAGAGAACCAGAGAGAAAGAGGGGAGAAGATAGGGAGAGAGGGGAAAATAAAGGGAAGAAACTAAAGGCGAACGAAAGAATAAAGGAGAGATGGAGTAGAAAGGTAGAACATAAAAGGAGAGAGGGAAGGATGTGGAGAGAAAAGGATGGAAAGAGAAAGCGGGATGTGAGGGGGGGAGACTGGCTGGTCGTGCGCTCGCGCGCGTGTGTGATAGTGCTGCTCTCAGCAGAATAAGAAGTCTCTCAGCCGTGACTGTGACTCCAGCTCCAACACACACCATCAATCACAGCCTGCTGCCGCAGTGCTTCTGGAGACGTACACACACACACACACACACACACACACACACACACACACACACACACACACACACACACACACACTGCCATCAGGAAGGCCATCTCACACAGTGCTGGCAAAATACATTCAGAGTTGCACGCACTTATACACAGACGTTCACATGTTTAGACATGCACATACACACATAGACACACACACACACACACACACACACACACACACACATACACACACACACACGTTATACCCATCTCCTGACTGTTCTTCTCCTTTATCTCTCACCTTCTCTCTCCTTCCATTATTAATCATCCCTCTCTCTCTCTCCCCCTCTCTCTTCTCTTATCTCCAAATGCAAGGCCATTCTACACACACACAGCTCCATTCCCTGGATGTGTGTGTATGTGTGCTTGCTGATGAGTTGATGGTTCTGTAATGTCCTTGTCTATGGGCTATTTTTCTAAACAGATACAGTATAAAGCCTATATACAGTATGTTATCATCACTGCTGGGTATATGCTATTATCATCACTGTTCTGTATCCCACTGTGAATGTCTCTCACACTGTGTGTGTTCGTTCAGGTGGGTTTGTGTGTGTGTGTTCCTCTTATATAAAGTGCTGAATGAAAATCCAGTCCTCATAACATGTTTCTGCTGTACTTACTCTATTTGTATTTGTACAAATTTTTTGACCCCTTTTCCTCCCCAATTTCGATCTTGTCTCATCGCTGCAACTCCCCAACGGGCTCGGGAGGCGAAGGTTGAGTCATGCATTCTCTGAAACATGACCCGCCAAACCGCGCTTCTTAACACCCGCCTGCTTAACCCGGAAGCCAGCCGCACCAATGTGTTGGAGGAAACACCGTTCACCTGATGACCGAAGTCAGCCTGCAGGCGCCCGGCCCGCCACAAGGAGTTGCTAGAGCGCGATGAGCCAAGTAAAGCCCCCCCGGCCAAACCCTCCCCTAACCCGGACGACGCTGGGCCAATTGTGTGCCGCCCTATGGGACTCCCAATCACGGCCGGTTGTGACACAGCCTGGGATCGAACCCAGGTCTGTAGTGACGCCTCTAGCTCTGCGATGCAGAGGCCTTAGACCGCTGCGCCACTCAGGAGGCCTCTGACTGATTCTAGTGAAAAATGAATTCATCTGAACTCTCTCTCTGTCTCCCTTTCTCTCTCTCTCACACTATCTCTCTATCCCCCCTCCCTCTCTCTATCTCTCTCTCTCCCCCCTCTCTCTATCTCTCTCTCACCCCCCCCTATCTCTCTCTCTTCTCCCCTCTCTCCCTCCCTCCGTCTTGCTCTCACTATCTCTCTCTCCCTCTCTCTCTCCCCCTCCCTCTTTCCCTTCCTCCCATCCCTCTCTCTCTCTCTCTCTCTTCCTCTCTCTCCCCCCCCCTCTCTCTCCCTCCCTCCCTCCCTCTCTCCCAGGTGATTCTACCAGACCTGGCTGTGCTGCGTATAGCTGTGTATGATGACAATAATAAGCTGATAGGTCAGAGGATCCTACCATTGGAGGGTCTACAGGCAGGATACAGACACATTTCTCTACGCAATGAAGGGAACAAGCCTCTGTCTTTACCTACTGTCTTCTGTAACATAGTACTCAAGACCTACGTACCCGAAGGCTTCGGAGGTGAGGAGACACACACACTTACACACTGACACACACACTCCCTTGCTAATACACAGATATACGTTCTGTACAGAATTGTAGGTTAGGGGCAGCAGAGGCTGTATGTGTGTATGTGTGTGTGTGTGTGTGTGTGTGTGTGTGTGTGTGTGTGTGTGTGTGTGTGTGTGTGTGTGTGTGTGTGTGTGTGTGTGTGTGTGTGTGTTTGTGTGTGTGTGTGTGTGTGTGTGGGGCTTGGTTCTTCTATCCTTGTGGGGACCTAAAATCCCCCAATGCCCACACAAGGATATTCAAATAAGGACAATTCTCCCTCGTGGGAACATTTCCCACGTCCCCATGAGGACAAAGGTTATTTTAAGCTTAGGGGTTAGGTTTAGGGTTAGGGTTAAAAGTAGGGTTAGAATTAGGGTAAGGGTAAGGGGTTAGTGGTTAGCTTCAGGGTTAAGAGTTAGGTTTAGGGTTAGGGTTACGGCTTAGGGTTAAGGTTAGGGTTATGGTAAGGTTTAGTGTTAGGGGTTAGGGAAAATAGGATTTTGGAAGTTAATTTAATGAATTGTAGGTTCCCACAAGGATAGAAGAACATAACGTTTGTGTGTGTGTGAGTGAACCCCAATTGGCCTAGATACAACACAGATGTGTGCTATTGAACTTTATTGAGCTCTATATTATTCAGTCATAAACACCTGAGTATGGAGAACCTATTAGCCTATACTGAATGGGTCTCCGTGTGTGTGTGTGTGTGTGTGTGTGCTGGGAACATGAGCTTCCATTGTCCCTTCCTCAGCTGGTCCTTTGTCTATCTCTTTCATACCACACACACAAGGTCCAATTTATAACTGCATTCAATGTATTCATAGTAGATACTGAAGTGGATGCAGAAGGCTCTGGGGAGAGGGAAGGAGATGAGAGAGGGAGGACAGGAGAGGAGAGGGGTGAAGAAGGCGAATAGAGGAGAAATAGAAAAGCGAGGAAGAAGAAGAAAAAGGGAGAGGAAGAGGAGGAGAGACAGAGGGAAGGACACAAACTGGGTGTCCCTCCCTCTCTCCTTCCTTCCTTCCCTCCCTCCCCTCAGGGTGTCCTGCCCTACAGTGTATTCTACATCAGAAGTAATGACACAGAGCAAATGATGATGGTAGCAGAGCTGGTGTAATAGTCACTTATAGACAGACGCGGGCATGGAGATACACAAGATTGACTAGTCGTTAAGCCAAGTCCAGGGGCATGGTCCGGGCAATCATTATGATTATAACCCATAAGCAGTGTTGAAAGGATGTGTGAATGTTACAAATCCAAATAGTGCGAGCGTCATTCTCCGTCTTTTGCAGTAGGCTTTCATAATATCTACTCAAATATATACCTGCCCAGTTTCGTCCAATAGAATGATAGAATGTTAGACTACAGTAGAATGTTGTCATCTTTGCTTGTCTTTCTGGGTATTGACTGTCTTTAGACTTTGAATGACGACGGAACCTCATTGGCGTTGTCAGACATATTCAAGAACATCAACTTAGACATGACAACACATTACATTGAAGTCTTTTCCAGTGTAGTCTAGGTCTGTGACGATACCAGTATCGCAATATTTTTTCTAATGGCAGAAATGAAAACACGAAGCAGACCAAACTCTTTGGTCCTTTAAAAACCTGTTGTATGTAACATATTGTGTGCTATAGCTTGGAAAATAAATTAATGTGACTCTGGATGACAACATAAAGATATTAAATCCGCTTTGTGTTTTGTTTCCTTGCCACGATACTAACAAGTATCGCGATACTGGTATCATCCCCGGCCTAGTCCAGTGTATTGATGAATCTGTCGTCTCTCTAGCCATCGTGGATGCCCTGTCAGACCCAAAGAAGTTCCTGTCCATAGCAGAGAAGAGAGCGGACCAGATGAGAGCTCTGGGGATTGAAACGGTACCAACACCTGTTTGATCAATCAATGTTGGTTTTGTTAGGCTTGCACTGTATACTGTGCATTCTGAAAGTATTCAGACCCCTTGACTTTTTCCACATTTTGTAACGTTACAGGCTTATTCTAAAATGGATCAAATAAAACATTTTCCTCATCAACCTACACACAATACCCCAAAATGACAAAGCGAAAACGTTTGCAAATGTATTAAAAATAAAATAAAAAAATACCTTATTTACATAGGTATTCAGACCCTTTGCTATGAGACTCGAAATTCAGCTCAGGTGCATCCTGTTTCCATTGATCATCCTTGAGATGTTTCTACAACTTGATTGGAGTCCACCTGTGGTAACTTCAATTGATTGGACATGATTTGGAAAGGCACACACCTGTCTAGATAAGGTCCCACAGTTGACAGTGCATGTCAGAGCAAGGATTGTGTCGAGGCACAGATCTGGGGAAGGGTACCAAAAGATGTCTGCAGCATTGAATGTCCCCAAGAACACAGTGGCCTCCATCATTCTTAAATGGAAGAAGTTTGGAACCACCAAGACTCTTCCTAGAGCTCGCCGCCCGGACAAACTGAGCAATCAGGGGAGAAGGGTCTAGGTCAGGGAGGTCACTCTGACAGAGCTCCAGAGTTCCTCTGTGGAGATGGGAGAACCTTCCATAAGGACAACCATCTCTGCAGCACTCCACCAATCAGGCCTTTATGGTAGATTGGCGAGACGGAAGCCACTCCTCAGTAAAATACATATGACAGCCCGCTGGGTGTTTGCTAAAAGGCACCTAAAGACTCTCAGACCACGACATTTACATTTTAGTCATTTAGCAGACGCTCTTATCCAGAGCGACTTACAGTTAGTGAGTGCATACATTTTCATACTGGCCCCCTTGTGGGACTCGAACCCACAACTCTGGCATTGCAAGCACCATGCTCTACCAACTGAGCTGTGGTCTGATGAAACCAAGATTGAAATCTTTGGCCTGAATGCAAAGTGTCACGTCTGTAGGAAACCTGGCACCATCCCTACGGTGAAGCATGGTGGTGGCAGCATCATACTGTGGGGATGTTTTTCAGTGGCAGGGACTGGGAGACTAGTCAGGATCGAGGGAAAGATGAACGGAGCAAAGTACAGAGAGATCCTTGATGAAAACCTGCTCCAGAGTGCTCAGGACCTCAGACTGGGGCAAATGTTCACCTTCCAACAGGACAACGACCCTAAGCACACAGCCAAGACAACGCAGGAGTGGCTTCGGGACAAGTCTCTGAATGTCCTTGAGTGGCCCAGCCATAGCCCAGATTGAACCCGATCGAACACCTCTGGAGAGACCTGAAAATAGCTGTGCAGCGACGCTCCCCATCCAACCTGACAGAGCTTGAGATGATCTGCAGAGAAGAATGTGAGAAACTCCCCAAATACAGGGTGTGCCAAGCTTGAAGCGTCATACCCAAGAAGACTTGAGGCTGTAATCGCTGCCAAAGGTGCTTCAACAAAGGACAGAGTAAAGGGTCTGAATATTTATGTAAATGTGTGTTTTTTCCCCAATAAATTTGAAAAAAGAAAAGAAAATCCTGTTTTTACTTTGTAATTATGGGGTATTGTGTGTAGATTGATGAGGGGGGAAAAAAACAATTTAATCAATTTAACAAAATGTGGAAAAAGTATAGGGCTCTGAATCCTTTCCGAATGCACTGTAGCTGCTTAACTGTTCTATTGTTGGCTACAGCACGTACAGTATATAATCACTGTATGGGATAAGTCTTATGTTGGCTTATGTTGAATTTCTTTGGCTACTGGTTTAGTAGTCTTAGGAGCTACCTAGCTTTGTCACTAGTCAAGTCCCTGGATAATAAAATGTTCTTAGGGTGGGGTAGGTGAAAAGGAAAAATATCACTCAATCTCTCCATCTATATGGAAATGCGATAATGACTTTGTTTTTGCAAAGTGCGTGAGAAAGAATTCCATCCTTAGTCGCCCTCTCTCTCACCCCCTCCCTCTCTCCAGAGTGACATAGCAGATGTGCCAAACGAGAGTTCGAAGAACGACAAGAAAGGGAAGGTGAACGCCAACGTGAAGGCCAACGTCACGCCACAGACCAGCTCGGACCCGGCTCAGTCCTCTAAGTCTGCCCAGAACAACACCACAGAGACCAAGAAGGGTACGACACACACACACACACACACAAACACAATCTGAGACCTAGCATTGGTACAATTGAGACGTTTTCCATTTCTCTCTTTGTAGATACAAATACCCTCGTGCCTCATGTGAACATTGATGACTTGAAACAGATGAAGGTGAGAGACTAGCCCCTGAAAACTAGCGAATCTCTAACCATAACCTTCACATTTCCTATGGTTTCCAAAACACTTTTCCCAGTGGTTCTGCAGTTTGTTCATTTCTCATCAGGTCTGTTTATTCACTTACATCAGTCAGATAGATCCTGCAGGAGAAACAGAGGGGAGAAATGCAGCACCGTCATTCCTCACACAGTCTGTCTCTTTTTAACTCGCTGTCCTTTGATTTAGTCAATTAAATCTGGTTTCAATAATCCGTTTTTCCTCTCCTAAGACGTACCTTAAACAGATTAAGAAGCAGCAGAAAGAGCTGAACTCTTTAAAGAAGAAGCATGCAAAGGTGGGTTGATGTTTTAGACTGCTCTTATATTAACAGGTCCCAGAGCAGACCAGGACAGATAATTAATTCTGAGGTCCACACATTGATCGAGAGAGAGAGGCGAGAGAGAGGTCTTTCCATTCGTCATCCACTGTTGTCTGACCCCTGCCCCACACACACACACAGCATCATGTAACCTAAGATGGACAGTGTTTCTCTTTGATCTCACCAGAGACTTGCTAAGATGACCACCCTCTCACACACACACACACACACACACACACACACTAGCTAGACTTCAATCACTAATACATCTGTCCTTATGAAATCCTGTCTTATGCAACAGCCTGTGTGTTTTTGAAAAAGAAATAGGTTTGTACACAAAAGAGATGGACTCTTGTAAGGTTTACCATAGCAACCAGTCTGCCCTCTTTGCCTGTTCTGTTGCATAACAGTTATGACACTCAGACTGATGTTTTAAACAGATGTAGCCTTTAGTTTAATATGTTCTACTGATGTTTTATTGGTGTTAGTCCTCAGCTATATGGCTGACTGTAATGCTGAATTACTTGATTAAGAAAGGTTGGACCAAGCTATCTCCCTTCTGCAATTGTATCTCACCGTAGATCAATTCTGACTTGATATCGTCATTCATATGTCTTGTTTTGTCTCAGGACCGCACCATCATGCAGAAGTCCCACTGCACCCAGGTGGACAAGATGATCGCTCAGCACGACAAGGAGAAGCTGACACAGGAGAAACTGTTGGAGAAGGCCATCAAGAAACGAGGGTAAATATCAGGACCTAAAGGATCAGTCAATCAGCCAATCAATCAATCAATCAATCAATCAATCAATGATAATGAAAAGCTGAAAGAAACATTGAACTTAAACATTCATTCTGGGATATCTAGCACCTGCACAAAGCCATTAGGTGTGAATTAATCTCTCGTGGACAGACTACGTAAATTGAGCAGCGGACCAAATTACGCAAGATTTTAGTTCTGGGTTAACCAAGAAACGGTGTGAATATGTTCTACCATGTCTCACCTAGCTAACAAGTACCTTTCTGTCGTCCCCACAGAGAAAGCAACTGTCTGGAGTTGAAGAAGGAGACTGAGAGTAAAGTGGAGAGCCTGACCACTGACCACAAGGCTAAGGTAACCCTGCAATGTCCGTCATACAAACATCTCTGAGAGCAGTGGAAAATGTTTAGTTTGACTCTAGTTCTCCCTCATTGGAATGTACTGGTTTGTACTGCTGGGTTTAGGTTATTGACATCACAGTGTAGCGCACGAAGGAATGTGTAGTGTTAAAGTAACGTGTTTATTACAGGTGAAGGATATTACAACCCAGCACACTAAGGAGTGGTCAGAGGAAATATAGTATTTAAGTGTTTAGGGTGTAAGTGTATATCCTGTGCCCTACAGGTGAAGGATATTACAGCCCAACACACTAAGGAGTGGTCAGAGATGATCAACTCCCACAGCAGTGTTGAGCAGGATATGAAGGACATCCACGTGGTCCAACAGTGTGAACACCTCAAGAAACTACTGAGCGGAGTCCAGGAACAACAGACTCTATCGCTCAAACTGATCCACGAACGGTGAGAGATAGAGACGCGCACTCACATGTGCAAGGCGCACAAAGTAAACCCTACATCTCAAACTCATCCACGAACTGTAGCACACAGCCAGAACAACTGACACTACTGCTCAAACCGGGAAATTCTGAGATTTTGCATTGGGACAACACACATGCATGATGTATTTTCTAGGTATGATGTCCCTGAATGTCCTTGAATGTCTAATTATCTGACATGTGAACCCATCTTGGGCACTTTGAGCTGTGAGTTTGTCCTGTCAGGTATATGCGTACTTGATAAGGTTCCTTACCAGACTTTGTTGTTGTCCCCTCTCAGCCAGAGCAAGGATATGCGGGCCAACCAGGCCAAGACGTCCATGGAGAACAGCAAGGCCATCAGTCAGGACAAGACCATCAAGAACAAAGCCGAGAGGGAGAGGTGGGTCACACTGCCGGGCCCACAAATCACTAACTGAATTATACTGCATGGAGAATATACAGGTAACTGCCAAAATAAAGGAAACACCAACATAAAGTGTCTTAATAGAGCGTTGGGCCACCACGAGCCAGAACAGCTTCAATGCACCTTGGCATAGATTCTACAAGTGTCTGGAACTCTATTGGAGGGATTCCATTATTTTGTGTTTTGTTGATGGTGGTGGAAAACGCTGTCTCAGGCGCCGCTCCAGAATCTCCCATAAGTGTTCAATTGGGTTGAGATCAGGTGACTGAGACGGCCATGGCATATTGTTTACATCGTTTTCCTGCTCATCAAACCATTCAGTGACCACTCGTGCCCTGTGGATGGGGGCATTGTCATCCTATGGGGGCATAGCCATGGTAGCCAAAATAATGGCATGCCCAGCATTTTTATACATGACCCTAAGCATGATGGGATATTAATTGCTTAATTAACTCTGGAACCACACCTGTGTGAAAGCACCTGCTTTCAATATATACTGAACCAAAATATAAATGCAACATGTAAAGTGTTGGTCCCGTGTTTCATGAGCTGAAATTGAAATCCATACGCACAGAAAGCTTATTTCTTTCTAATTTTGTGCACAAATTTGTTTACATCCCTGTTAGTGAGCGTTTCTCCTTTGCCAATATAATCCATCCACCTGACAGGTGTGGCATGTCAAGAAGCTGATTAAACAGCATGATCATTAGACAGGTGCACAATAAAAGGACACTTTAAAATGTGCAGTTTTGTCACACAACACAATGCCACAGATGTATCAAGAGGGAGCGTGCAATTGGCATGCTGACTGCAGGAATGTCCACCAGAGCTGTTGCCAGATAATTTAATGTTAATTTCTCTACCATAAGCCGCCTTCAACGTCGTTTTAGAGAATTTGGCAGTATGTCCAACCGGCCTCACAACCGCAGACCACATGTAACCACGCCAGCCCAGGACCTTCATATCCGGCTTCTTCACCTGCCGGATCGTCTTAAGGGGGAGGGGGGTGCTGAGGAGTATTTCTGTCTGTAATAAAGCCCTTTTGTAGGGAAATACTAATTCTGATTGGCTGGGCCTGGCTCCCCAGTGGGTGGGCCCCTGCCCAGTCATGTGAAATCCTAATTTATTTATTTCAATTGACTGATATCCTTATATGAACTGTAACTCAGTAAAATCTTTGACATTGTTGCATGTTGCGTTTATATTTTTGTTCAGTATACTTTGTATCCCTCATTTACTCAAGTTTTTCCATTATTTTGGCAATTACCTGTAGGTTATGTCAGGATGAAAATAGACTGTGTAGGTCTTATGCATCCCCTATGAACACCCCTTAAAGATGGAATCCTTAATGGTGAAACTGCCACGTCCTTTTGTGATATTACAACAACAAAGAACCCAACGAACACAGTTTTTTCCCTCTTATGCAGAGCGACTTACAGAATGCCAAGAGTGTGCAAAGCTGTCATCAAGGCAAAGTGTGGCTATTTGAAGAATCTCAAATATAAAATATATTTTGATTTGTTTAACTCTTTTTGGTTACTACATGATTCCATATGTGTTATTTCATAGTTTTGATGTCTTCACTATTATTCTACCATGTAAAAAATAGTAAAAATAAAGTGTTGTGTCCAAACTTTTGACTGGTACTGTACATCACAGAAGACTGAAATATAACAAAACCGTTTGACATAGAAATACAATTATGAGAAATATTAATAACATTCCACCCATGAAGCCACTAGAGGGCAATTTGGTCATTTGACTGCAGGAAAGGGCTACACTGTAAAAAATCTTATAATCTCACTCTCGTTCTCTTCACAGGAGAGTTAGAGAGTTGAACAGCAGCAACACCAAAAAGTTCCTTGAGGAGAGGAAAAGGGTTGGTGTTCTATCTTCTACTAATTCTAAAGATGTGACACTGTTGAGGTGAATCAACTAAGGCCTTAGCCTTGTAATGGTTTGCTTAGCCGATACATGTTGGTGTTGATGTAAATTACTCTTAGTCCTTCCTCCATCTTTCTCCTCTCTCCATCTTTCTCCTCTCTCCATCTTTCTCCTCTCTCCATCTCTTGCTCCACAACCTTCCAACATACCTAATTTCCCTGTTGAAATATAAAAATATGAGATACCAAACCCGTTCGCAGGGTTGGTTAACTCTTGAGGTCCCGCTTGTCTCTGCAAAGTTTGGTAAATCTGCCTTTAGTTTTAATGCACCACAGTTATGGAATACCTTACAAAACAAATTACACCTGGATTCCCTGGTGCCGATAAGGCAGTTTAAAACTCAGTTGTTAAATGAGTTCACTGAAGTGTGTTATTGTTTCAATTGACTATTACTTGTAATAACCTGATGTAATATATTTATAGCCGTCTTGTAGTTTTTATTTCTGTTGTTGCTGTATTGATGTAATTTGTGTCTTCAGGGCACCATTGTAAATGAGACACTGGTCTCAATTGGGTTCCCCTGAATAAATAAAAGTGAGTAAAATAATACAATAAAATCTTTCTCCTCCCTCCATCTCCCTTCCTCCCTCCCTCCATCTCTAGTTGGCTATGAAGCATCAGAAGGAGATGGAGACACTGGAGAAGTCACAGAAAGAACAGCTAGAGGAACTGGACAAGTTCAATGAGCAGGTATCTAACCGCTGATCTAGGATCAGATTAGCACACTAATAAATCATAGTTGCATTGTTTGTTGTCATTCCATCATGGCCTGTACATGTATGTTACATGTATGTTCTCTCTCATCCCTTTTATAATATGATTTGCTTGTTTTTGCACCACAGCTTTTGAAATCACATCATGCCAATAAACAGTGTCAAGGTAGGCGCATCCATCCGTCCCATCTTCCTAACCCCTGACCCCTCTCTCTCTTCTTCTCCTTCCCTTTTTCAATCCACCATCCCTCTCAATGTACCCATCTCGAATCAAGCACTAACACCCTGCTCCAATACTGATAATGCTTCCTTCCTTACGACCTTTCTTGAAGTGAACACAGATCTACCTGTGCGTGTCATTGGATATTCCCAGTCCCTCTCTGTCCCCCCCTTTGATTGGTCAACTTTTCCAACTCCAGTTTTCCTATTTCTGTTCATTCTGTTTGAATCTTCTGTTATCTGCTCTGTTTAGTCCAAGTGGATTCACTATAGGTCCTTTCTACCTGTTAGAGTAGACTGTATGTTATTCTATGAGAGAGAGAGAGAGAGAGAGAGAGAGAGAGAGAGAGAGAAGAGAGAGAGAGAGAGAGAGAGGAGAGAGAGAGAGAGAGAGAGAGTCTTTGTTTTATTAAACTACATGGCAACCTTTTAATATGCTGCGCTCAGGGTGTCAGCAGTCAGTCCTGTCTACATGAGTCATTGATCATTATGATGAGTCATGGGAGCATTACTAAGCGCAACGACCCAGGAGACGTTCTATTGCTGCTTCACTGAGAGTCTTCCTGACACCTGGATATCATGTCACATTATGCTGCAACACTGGGACAGGACAGGAAGGGTTCGTTTGGGCCAGCCTAGTTTAGGTAGTTGTACTGTTACTGTAGTTTAAATCAGTGTAGAATTCTGTACCTGTCTCTGGTAGGAGTGTGTGTGGATTCTTGCATTGGGAGGTGTGTGTGTGTAACAGTGTGTGTGTGTGTTGGTTCCCTCCAGGCCAAGGACATCCAGCAGATGGTGAAGCTGGAGGAGGAGATGGACCGCAGACCAGCCACAGTGGTCTGAACACCCCCACCAACACCTGAGACACACACACACACACACACACTAACCCCCTCAAACAACTGACACAGAGACCCAGACACACTCACACACCCCACTACACACACACCCTAGATTCCGCCTTTCATCCTCACCCTGCAATATTGTCATAGTTCATATTCTCTATCCCTGTATATCTCCCTCTGCAATGAACCACTCCCACACAGTCTGTCCTCCCATCTCTGACCACTCTCTCAGTTACAGAGTTATCCCATGTGCTATTCCTAAACCCTTCACTCCAACCACTCCTCCACTCAAAACCCTACGCTGAGAACACCCCCAATGCCCCTGTGCTGCGGAGCCATTGGTGCAGACCAGTGATTGACAGTAAGACGAGCGACTGCGGTTGGAAGGTGGGCGGGACGTCCGAAACATTGAGAGACACAACCCACCTCCACCTTTCCATCTCTCCACCACTCTACCACACCCGGATCAGCTTTTTATACACATTCCATCCATCTTTTTTATCTATTTTTAATGGAAGCAATGTTTGCAGATATTATCAATAGTCACTGCACACATACACAAAGATACAGACACACATACACACTTATTATCACATCTGTTCTTTCTGTTGTCATGACGGCTCAAGTCGAAGGTAACAGATCATGTGTTCTGTTGAAACTCTTTGAAGACTTTTCTTTTGTATTTTTAATGGTACCAGGTATCAATAACAGCACCAGAATATGGACGGGGAAAATACGTATATATTAGTTAGGAATTTTATGTCAGCACAAAATATGTGAATTATACTGTATGCTACACACGAGTTGAAGTAATGTCCTGAGCACTTTATATGTGGTAGGCCATCATAACTGAATTGGAAAATGTAACAGTGCACTAGGTTTCTCTGTGTTTTGATAAGAATGTAAGACAAACGTTGGATGAACGCTGTTCGGAGAAAACGTACCCAACGTCAGGTAGTCCTAAACACTGCAGTTTGTCCTTCACGCACACTTTTATTTTAATCAAAATATTTATTATATGATTTTATCCCCCCCCCCCCCCTGCTTTGATTCTTTCACACCGCCAGAAGTGTATGCAGGAGGTATGGCTGTATAGACCAGTGATCTTTCACTGGCCTCTCTAGCTACTTCAGAAATAACCAGTTAATGTATTGTACGTGTCAATGGCAAACGTAATAAGCACCCTATAAAGTATGGTCTTCATAAATCTTCTTAAACTCCAATGTGGATCCATTTTCAACAATATATACAGTACAATGTGTTTTCATAGACCCTTGAATCCCTATAAGTACCTCAGCCTAATGTAAGTGAAACACCCAGCTAGCTCTGCTTATTTCTCAGTAATTCAAACATTGTTCAAATGATGTGCTCTCTGAGAAGCTCTTCTGACTGTACCTCAGCTGTAATATAATCCCTGTACTGTTCTCGCCTGTCCCATAGCCAAGAAATTAGGTATGGTAGTAATAGGCTTATTACAACCTTATTACACGGTTATTACATGGTTTTTACATGCTTATTAATATCCCTTTACTGGCCTCTGGTCCAGCTGACAACACGTCGCTTAGCAGCTCAGAACAGTATGTTGTGCGGACGTTTCTAGTTGATTTAATTTAAAACCAGATATTCCTCAGCTGTGTTATCAGTGACGAAGCAAAACTGTGTAGAATACCACTTAATTGGCTATTGGTGTGAATATCAAAACAAACCATGTCAGGACAGGAAGTACTAATTTGTTGTTGTTGTTTCTGGGTTTGTAGAGACAGTAAGGATGGACTTAACAGAGGTTCATAGCTCGCTGTGTCTCAGCCATAATGACACAGTGGAGTTGGATGGAGTTGTCCCTAACATCTGGTCTAGGGTCAGATATAATTTCATCCCACTTATGGTGAAGGTTAGATCTGGGTAAAGGGTAGCCTAACCTGTGGCAGTGACAGAATTGGAAAGGCGGCCATTTTAGTGAGATATGCATTGTGGGAGTGTTGTTATGAAGTAATCATGGGTACTGTAGTTTGTGTGCATATACTGTGTACACAAACAGACAACTGTGTGGTCAGGCGTTCATACTGCATGGCATTACACTCACAAAGATTGACCAAAACAGATATTACACAAAATACACAATAAGTGACAACAACCCCTACCGATTTGTGTACTTTTAAACTTTATTTCTGCTGTATAATTCTGCTGTAGTTTACTCAAATGGTATAGAGAGAGTGTTGTATATATTGGAATGTATGTAGTTAATTACTTTTGACTAAAATGTGTTCACTGGTGACCCTGTCAATCAAGGGCTGGGGAATAGTGCACTTCTGTTGGTTTCTGGGAAAGACAATTATCAACCACTGAGTCTTCTTTCTTTTCCTTTCTTCTTTTCTCTTTTTTCTGTTTCACTCCAGTTCATTATCTCTCTGTCTAGCACCCCACACTACATGAACGAACACTCTCACCACATATCTAGTGCAGAATTATGAGTTAAGAAAAGTGCTTTTACATTTTATTCCATTGCGTTCAAATGTGCCACTCAATGTCTGCTAGGACGTTTAAATTATTTTACGAATGATAAATGCCAAAATAAGGGGTTATTTATATAAAGGTATATAAATATATATATTATATATTAAATATAGTGTGTAGTTTAAGACTATATTATGTTTGTTAGAGCCTTTTTTGCACTAGTTGAATGTTTCTGTTATGTGCGACTAGTACTACATGTAAACTTTTGCTCTCTAGTTTGTTGAGAAAGCAGATTATTTTTGCAGAACAATGTCGCTTTTGATTTCCTTTCCGATTTGTATATCCTCTTTTTTGTTTTCTATTTTGACTGTAGCTTGTCGGCATACAGACCATCCTGTGAGTGTTTTTGTATTTATATTGTAGGCCTACTGTCGAACTTATAGCAATGAAAATACTGTTGTTACCCTGCTCCTTTAATACTGTTTTATAGTATGTGTACCAATAAACTATCCAGGTGTAAAATGAAACCTGTCCTCTTGGCTCTTTATTTACTGGATTGATGGACTTCGCTCAAATTCAACATATTATGGAATAACGTCTATTTTTGATTCATTCATTCCACATGGTTTCAGGGTTAATGCCGCCTGGTTACAAGGTAAAACAGAAACAACTCAAAGGGTTAAATGTAGGTATTAATTCTGAGTGGTTAAGGTTAGTGTTATGGATTGGGGAAGGCTTAAAACAAAATAATTAAAACAGACTTGCTATTACCATCAGGTGTCATCAGTATTCGCAGTATTCTCGAGGCTTGTGAACTGCATAGTGCATGGTCTAAGCAGCGTTCTGTGACTATGAGCATCATGAGTTGGCTCTCAGTGCTGGGAAATCATTTTTAATTTTTTGGGGTGAGTGCTGAGGAAGGCATATATCGACGTTCTGAGAACCTTTTCAAACGTCCAAAAGAGGTAGAATGTATCTATTTTTGTCCTTATTTTTGTGTGATTTTAGTTCATTGTGATTGTTGTTCCTCTCGCTGTCACAAGTGACAGAAAATGTACTTTGTGCACCTTTTCGCCACCAAACTCTGTACAGGCCTTGAATTCAGACTGACTTTCTATGTTTGGCACAAGTAATTCACTCAAATCGTTTCAGTAAACAGGTGGTTTGGAGTGTTCAAAAGTGTAAGACCTATGGTTCCTTTTTAACGGTGTGAAACTCTCCCAATAATATCCCTGTGAATGTAAACCGTGATATGATGTTATGAAATTGTAAAATAAACAAAACCTATCTTGGTTCTTGCCTTATGAAAGGATGACAACTGAAGATTAATTATGTGTCATTGAAGGCTAAGAGGGGTGGGGGACGCCCACGTGTCTATCCCTTAACAATTAACCCTGGCAGGAGCGACGGGTAGAATACTGTTCGTGTTCCAGTTTCAATAATCACATTCAACAAGCGCTAAATTAATTCACAGTCCCCCAGACCCCTACATACAAACAGGCGGTGCAGCATCTGAAGCACCTTATTCATAATTAAGCTATTAGTGTTTCCATTCGAAAACAGAAAAGGTAATGTAATGAGTTAGCATTGTCCTGGCAACTCCATGACTTTTCGTGACTATAAAACAGCTTTGAGGGGCGGTATGTTTTTGCGGTGCGCATCAGGTTGGGAGAGAGAGGTTACACCAAACGTGCTCCTCCTGACAGGGAATGCCTTTTCTCCAACATATCCCTACATTACACGGTTATTCTATCAGTTTAATCATCATGTTGAAACTTCCGGAGAAGTCCAACGGACAAACAAGCACCAGAATCCTCCTTCGAGGCCATGTCGAAGGATAAGGTCCACTTGGTGAGGTTCATTCTCGACGGACTAGATGGTAAAATAATCGACTCCAAAACGGAGGGGGCGCAGACCCCCCTCATCTCCTCTGTTCTGCTCCCCGACTGTAAGACCAGGTCCAAACCAGGTCCAGAGATGCTTCTCCATAGAGGCGCCAGCGTCAATTGTCAAGACAAGAGTGGCCGCACAGTGCGCTCAGTTACGCGTGTGATAAAGGTTACCTCGAGGCGGTGAAGATTTGGGTTAGAAACAATGCAGATCCAGAGATGGTTGACGCGTGGGGGAACACTGCGCTAACGTACGCGGCAGTGACAGGTCACTCACCGGTCGTTGCGTTTTTGGTGAGAGCCTTCAAGAGACTGGGGCTTCAGATAGAGCGACAGAATAAAGTTGGTAACTCGGCGGTGGAGGTGTCAAAGTTTCTCGGCCACACAGACTGTTTTTATGCGCTCACCAGTACCTCAAAGAAAACTCATGAAAACGGCGTTGGGGGTCAGAAAGATGGTCCTTCCAACGTCAGCTCGGATTGTAACGTAAATGAGGAGAAGTTGGAGTGAAAGTTATTGGATCCCATTAAGAGACCAGACGTTCTTCAGGCGTGTCTCCAAAGCGACAGCTCCACAGCAGTGGACGGGACATGGCTCCCTAGGGCATCGGGTTGCAGAATAAATTATCTGAGTCGATTACTGTCAATTGATTCCATTGAGGAGTTTGAGAGAGAGTTTGACAGCCCTACATCCCCACAGGGGCTGTTTTTCTCGGTTGTCCATGACCCAAACCCCCTCCTCGATCTAACAACCTGACCTGTCCGAAAAACGTCTCTAAGGTCACCAAACCTGGGGGCAAGTTGACCAGCTGACAATCCCCTGCCTCCTCTTACCAGAGGATCTGATCACATATCGGTTCTCTATTCGACCTGGCCGGCCAAAAACACCCTGAAAACAACCAAAAGATGTGCGTCAATATCTGAGCCGACTGCCTCTCGTCTTGGTATCCTACTAACTCCTATCACAGGCAACAAAGGCAAAGACGAATCGGATAAGGACAAACTGTAAACAGCACCTGACTTTAATATGAGGGGATTTGATGATAGTTATTACCAGAAAAGGTGCAGTTTGCCCACAAGTATCAGTCCTGTGCCACCTGACCGTTCGAAAATGCCTTTACGAAAAACCAAAACCACCAACTGCCAACACCGACATTGCAGATTTTACACTGCCTGTTGCCAGCTCCTCAACGACTTTAACAGTTTTGGGCAACAAACTGTTACGGAGATTTACTTTCCCCGCGTTTAAACAGAGCGGGAAGGAGGCGCCGGAGGGCGCGTGTGGAGGAGATCCCGCCTCAGGTTCATCGCGAGGAATGCCGTGTTCAGAGACGTTTCCGCTGTGTACGAAACACCCTCAGGTTGGTAGCAAGCCCAACATAGACAGCATAAGCGCCGTGAAGTGCGAGTTGACTTCAATTTAAAACGACCCATTCTTCTTAAACCGTATGTCTCTGTGCGTCATGGGTAATAGCCAAATGTCCCACTGGAGAGCTGCAGTATTTGAAGGCTTTTGTTCCCACTACTTTTATTCCAGCACTAGGCCTACTAACACACCTGATTAAACTAACGTAATCGTGATTTTAGATTGAGGACTATGAGATCAGTTGAATCAGGTGTGTTAGTCATGTCTTGGGCTGGAACAAAAACCTGTACACACTGCGGCTATTCAGGAGCCCCCTTGTACAGTGTTGGGAAGGGAGTGGGAAAACGCAAAGGCATATCCACGGGGAATCCTCATGCACAAAGAGGGTTCCTGTGCTACTGTAAAGATTATGTACATTTACTTTGAATAGCAAACGCCATCACTTGCATAGCTATTCATAACGGTTGTGAAATATCAATAGACATGACATTTCTTTAAATATTTTTCATGGACTGCGTTTCTAATTCTAATTATTATATTCTTAAATTGTGAAATATTAAGATGAATGAATAAATAAATATTTGTTTGTATTTCAAAATGGTAAGGGTTTGTGTTCTTTGGAGGAGAGAGTGTGTGAGTGTGTGTTTCCTCAATGTCAAGCTCCTTGGTAAGTTATGAACCCTTCACATAACCTTGACTTTAGAATACTGGGTCATTCTGTAAAGTATACTAAGAATGCTATCACATTTACAGTGCATTATAGGAATATTTTTTCACTGTATGATGCATATTTTATTGTTGCCTATGTTTGTGAAGTGGAACGGGGGGTAGAGGTGACTTGAGTATAGAGTTGTCACAACTGTCACAGCTGAAACGGTTGACACAGTTTTGACATGGTCAGCTATTATTTTCTGAGTCAGTGGCATTTACGGACAATGTCCATTATTGCCAGATTACAAGAGATATAGCCTAACATCATCTGACACATCACACATATTCATTCGTGTCGACTCGTATGTTTAGTGACGTTTATAAATTTTTTAATCATACACACAGAGTAGTCAAGGGTATGTATTTACGCTGTATATTATGAACAAATGTCTTTGACAAAGGTGTGAGAGGAGGACACTGCGCGGTGTCCTCACGCCTGAGTTCACACACACTAAGCGGTGTGTGAGAGAGAGCTCGTTGCCAGACTGCAATCCACGCACGCACACACACCACAGCAGCTGCAATCTAGCTCAGAAGCAGAGAGGAGGGGGTAGCAACGATCCCCCGCACACACACACTCTCTCTCTCTCACACACACACACACCTCAGCTGCAATCACAGTGATGGAAACAGCAGCATTGCGGGACTAGCTGCGGTTGCTGCGGCGAAGCTTTTTGGAAGAAACAAACTTCGGGAGAGAAACTGAACTTCCTCCCCCGGTGAATCACGTGAGTCACGCAGAGCGTCGTTACCGGCTCACTGTCTGTCTGTTGGTATGTACAGGGGAAACTCTGCATTGCCGCAAGTGACACTCACCTAAAGCTCTCTCACCGACTGAATTCAGAGAGAGGAGAGAGTCTAGAGCAGTACAAGGCGTTCAGAAAGCGGTATCTGAACAACCGTGGCATTTTAATGCGCAGCAAACCGGATGCTATCTCTCTCACGTCCACCTGGAGATTTGCTGCATTCGTGATGATATGAGCATGACTAACGGACGCTGAGCAGCGGAATCCCTCATCGCTCTCTTTCTTTCTCTTTCTCGCTCTCTCTTTTTATTTCTCCTCTCGCTTCTCTCTCGTCTTCTTCCTCCTCCTCTCTCAATCCCTCCTCTCTCTCTCTCTCTCCTCCTCTCATCTCTCTCTCTCTCTCTCTCCTCTCCTCTCTCTTCTCTCGTCCGTTCGATCTCTCTCTCTCTTCTCTCTCTCCCCTCTCTCTCTCTCTATAATCTCCCTCTCTCTCTCTCTCTCTCTTTGTGGGTTCACTACACAGGCTACCCGCAAGTTAGCTGTTTCAGCACCTGGAACCAGGACAATGGAGCGGCTCAGATTCAGCACCTTGGACAGTGCAGGAGTTCTGCTACGTTTGTTCGGTAAGCGGCGTCTGTGTGTGTGTGTGTGTGTGTGTGTGTGTGTGTGTGTTGTGTGTGTGTGTGTGCGTGTGGGTGTACGTGTGTGTTGCATGCGATATTTCGGTCGTGACTGCACAAAGCAGCCTGCGTGTCTGGCTGTCTTTGTGTTTGTGTGCGTGTCTGTGTGTGCGTCATGGTGTGTGTGTGTGTTTGGTGTGTGTGTGTGTGTGTGTGTGTGTGGAGAGAGGAGCAGAGCTATCGAGAGAGAGAGGCGGAAGAGCGAAAACGAGTCTACGAGAATCGCTCGACCGCGACCGACGCGCGCGAGAGCGAGTCCTCGTCTCTCCTTCTGATGCTTGTGTGTGTAGTAACACATCCCCTACCTGTATTCAACGTCAGTGCAGTGAAAAGCTCTTTGTGAGAAAAATACTAAAATGCAAGGTCATTATTAGAACAATGTGTATTAGACTCACCGGTATGGGCATCCCCTATGTGCTGTCAATTGATCTAGCTTAAGCATGCAGTGAGATTGAAGAGGTATCCTACATCCGTGTCATGTAGCTGGGTATTGTTACATCTAAGTGGCAAATATACTCAAGCGAAGCTATATGGTCCTTATTCATTGCTCCCAACAGTTTTCTTTCGAAAGACAAGAAGTCCCTTTGAGTCTTCGGGCTGCCTGGTTTTGCTGATCATGCATGTTTGCATGGCATGCACTCATAGTCCAGTCTGTAAGATCATTGACAGTAAAACACATTCCTATCAACCATCTTTCATTATACTATTTTCTACAGATAATATTGTATTATATTCATTCTGCAGACCTCACGTTTTAAGCATATTCATTGCAACATCGTTGACGCAAAAACAAACATATAAACTGTCATGTATTTGCCACTGCTGACATGACCCTTATACAGTACCTCCCCATTTTCAGGGATCCTGGCCCGGTTGACGGTGACGGCTGAGCAGGAGGGAGAGAATCTCTCCGGTCTGTCCACCAACCCAGACAAAGACATCTTCGTGGTCCGGGAGAACGGGACCACCTGCCTCATGGTCGAGTTTGCTGTCCGCTTCACGGTCCCCTTTGACGTCCTCGCGATCAACGGGATAGACGTAAGACACAACTCCGATATTTCAAGGCTCAGCGTAGTTATATGTTACTTTTACTTTGAATGTGTTCAAGTCAAGATTTAATATACAACTGTGAAGATAATACAGTTAGTTTAGCACTACTTTTTATGGCACTTACCAATTGGACCGCATCCTCACTATAGTAGCCTGGTATACTGATGGGTGGACACAGCCTGTCAAACTTCGACTGTCAACTTAGACTGACACTGACATACTGTCAAATTTCTGTATGTAAGAATTTGCTCTCATTTAGACACACATGGGGGCACACATTCCACGGTATTACGCGCGGTGGGCTGTGCGTAAAATTATGTGAAACAAGTCCATATTATCATCATAGAAGACTAGTCTATTGAGAAACACATGTGATCATCACAATCAATCACACACTGGTGTTTGTTGCTTTTCTGTTCTCTACAGCTGATCACGGAGAATGCGTATCTGGCTCTGCCTAGCGGGGCAGACATTGAAGGGAAATGCGGGAGCCAGGACGCCGATATACACATCTCGTGGAAGGATAAGGCCTACACACTCCGCATCAACTTCGTCAAGGTTTGTCCCCTATGAAACAGTCAGTAGGCGAGCCGCGTCTAATTACAATTACCCAAAATCATTAAGAGCGTTTATCCCGCGTGGGATTCTTGTAAAAATATGTTCAGATAACAACGCCTACACATAACAGTCGCGCATAATGTTCTGCTGCTGGTGATGACCGTGTGTGTGTGTGTGTGTGTGTGGCAGGAAACCCGTGACAAGGGAGATGAGGTGTGGAAAATTAGCAAGGTGCAGTTCGTTTATGACACCTCTGAGAAAACGCATTTCATCAACCCATACAACCGTGAGTAGCATTTCTATCTCATTCAGCAATTTCTGAGTATGTTTTGCGATATGGTTTCATTGAATAATTATTTCACATTTGCACTAAACGTGTGCAATAAAGAAAGGCAATTCACAAACGTCTTAGGCCTTTGGATATTTCGGAGATTATTTGTATTTATTTTTATTCCACAAAACATTATTATTATTATTATTATTATTATTATTATTATTATTATTATCGTTATTATGTTCCTTTTTTATAGTTTTTTTCGTAACTTTGGATTTATTTAAGTAATTTCGATTAGACATATGATAAGCTAATGTTGAAATTCACGTAGCCTACCCCAACATCACAGTTTTTGGATTCAATATTAATACACATTTTAAAACTCTTGACGGGACAGCCGGAAGTTGAAAGCGGAATTATTGAAAGAAAACGGTGACTTTTTTGCTGGATAAAAAACACGTTTTGATCATAGGTCGCCACTTTTCTGGACAAGCTATTGGTGTGCATCTGCCGCAGTGGCCGTGTTACGTGTCTGTAGAAACAAAGTGATTCCTATAGCCCTTAGATGTTTTATACTTAGAAGTTGTTAAATTTCGATATTTGTTCCTAATTATTTCCTAAATATTAATATGAATACTCTATTATTCCACATTTATTTCAATATTTTGTAGCCATTTATTTTACTTATTTGTGTTTCTCTGTATGAAATGCATGCATGCCTGTGTGTGTGCGTCCTTGCTTGCCTGTTTGTGTCCGCACGTCTGTCTGTGTCAGTGTCTGTGCTTTTCTTTTTGGACCTACCTACTCATATTGTGTTTCCTCATGTACTGCATCCTCCTATCCCATCTCTCAATCTAGCTGGGAGGCACACAGCCAGCTCCCACGGTCTGTCAGCGTTAGTGACCCCTGCTGGCCGCTCGTATGTCTGCGAGGCTAAGCAGACACTCACCCTCATCTCCAGTGACCACCAAAAGGGAGTGACTGTCGCCATGAGTGACATTCAGATCCAGCCCTTCGACATCAGCTCAGACTTCATGTTTAGTGAAGGTACAGGATCTAACCGTAACATCATACAGCCATGTTCAGTGAAGGTATAGAATAGCAACCCACAGTAGTACTCCCCTCATTGCAAATGTTGCAAAATCAGCAAATGTCCCACACATGTCAAATGTACAGCCCGGTATAATAAAGGTTGTCATCTTGAGGAGAGATCTGACACTAGTGAGGATGATGATGATGATGGTGATGGTGATGAGCGGTTACCGTGCAGTAGTATTGGAGAACTTATCTCACAACCCCTACAAACTGCATTTCCACCACCCCTCCCTTCTTCACCCTCTCCCTCACCCTCCTTCTCTCTCTCACAGGGGGGGCTGGTTGCTGCAGTTTGAAGAGCAGAGCTGCAGAGAGCGGGAGGGAGGGAGGAAGAGAGTAGGAGAGAGATAGAGGGGAAAGTGAGAGAGGTCATTAGGACTTGATGGCTGTAGTTATAGCCCTGTCCTCAATGCAGACTTTACGACTGTAGTTAGGTATATACTGTCAGTCACTGTGTCCTCTAAAGGCCATCATGCTTCTCTCTCTGGACTGCAGTAAACTAGAGTGTGTTTTGCTACAGTGCCCTTCAACTATAGTGTTTATTAACCCTTGGTATACTGAGGCCTTTCATCTGGTAGTTACATACTGTATTAACCTTTAAAGCCACATTCTCGAAGATCTGCACCGGAGTGGGCCACCAACGAAAACATCAACTATGAAGCAAATACATCCCATGATACAGGACATCAGAAGGCTATAGTACATGTAAACAGTACTAATATGAGCCAAACTAGTTTAAAGCCCTGACTGTTGTCCATAAATATGACATTTTCTAATTTAGAGACCAGTGAGACCTTTGACCTGATACTAATCAGTGAGGTCATGTTAAGGCTCTCTCACATAGAGGAGAATCTTCTCACTGTAGGCATGGGAAAAACTAAAGGGACCTGACTGACCGGTGAACTGATTTTGAATTTCCTAATTGGTTAAAGTTAGGTTAGTGTAATGGTTAGGGTTTAGGGTTTAGGGTTAGGGTTAAGGTTAGGATTAGGGTTGCAGGCCAATCATGTAGCTTAGTTGCACACCCATAGATAGAACTGTGTGTGTGTGTGTGTGTCTGTGTATGTGTGTGGGTAACATCAGTGACAGTTGATTTAATGCAAAGCTTTGGAACGTAATTCACACACACGCACACATGCACACATATGGACAGACAGACAGACACACACACACACACACACACACGCACACACACACACACACACACACACACACACACACACACACACACACACACACACACACACACACACACACACACACACACACACAGAGAGAGAGTTCTATTCACACATGAATGTGTTCTGTGTGTGTGTGTGTTTCTCCCTGCAGCATATAAGTGCATCACGGACCAGCGGGAACAGCTGGAGGAGACTCTTCCTCTGATCCTGGGTTTCATCCTGGGCCTCATCATTGTTATCACGCTGTCCGTCTACCACTTCCACCTCAAACTGACCACTGCCACCCAGCCACAGCTGCCCCGCGACCGGTCCATGTACAAAAACATGTAAGGAACTGGACATTAAAACAACCATTATACGACAACTCTCCATGGTCAAGGATAGTACAGTAGAACAACATTCCAAGACTCCCCATGTTCAAGAGCATGCAAGGAATCAAACATTAGATCAACATCAATATAACGACTCTCCATGTACAAGGTAATAGGACATTGAAACAAGCACAAAATGATGTTCAAGACATGTAAGGAATCAGACAGTACAATAACTATGACTCTCCGTGTTCAAGGATATAGGACATTAAAAACAAGACAACATGACTACTCTCCATTCAAGGATATTAGACAAATGGTAATAGACTACGATTATAACCACAACGCTCCTGCCTCTCCAAAGTCAAACCAATGTGACTTCCCCTGCTCTGAACTTCACCATACATTGGAGAGTAGGCCATAACTTTATGGAGGCCTAACTTGCGATATGGCTAACTTGAGATACGTGTGCGTAATTTGGAGCGTTCTCGTAAAATCCTGCATTGAAGTAATTTGAAGACTTGCGCAACATTCGATTTACGCACACAGATTTTTCTGTTAGCATTCCACCCCTGTCTGTTCTGTTGTTTATATGTCCAGAAACCGCCGTTTTTGTCGAGAAGCCTGCGCTTTGTTATCGTCCCCCCCCCATCACTTGTCTCTGTCTTTTCTGTGAACGCGCTGCAAAAGAAACCTCGCAGGTAGCAGGTCCAGAGTTGATGTTCAGCTGAAATGTTTACTTTCCTAACTCCAGTTTTTACTTTTTGTTTTAGAATGCAATCATAGTGGTGAAAGTGGAAAGTGTTGTGGTGTGTACACTGTACAGGTGTTTCAATGAACTTCAGAAATCATGAAAAATAAATAATGGCAGTAATAATTTTGGTATGACGGATCCTTTTCCAGATCCGACTTTATGGAATTATATCAAGAAAAAATATGAAACCTGTAAATAAAACAAAGAAAACATGGTCTGTAAAAACGTGCAAAAAATAACATTTAATAATTTATCTCATATCAGAATGTCAGAAGAAGAAAGTTTATCATTGTGAAAGAAATGTGCAAAGATATTTAAGATTTAAAAATAATAAATGTACAATATTTTCAGAATGACTATGCATAGAAAACTATGCTGATGCTACTTTAATGTTCACTTAAATAAATTTCACAGGAGATATCCTAAGCCTACGCAAATCTGTTTTGTATGTGTTTTTGGTGTATGCTCACTATCAAACTTGTTGGCTACAACCTTTGGACAGCTTTCATTCGCTCAGATTGTTGGATTGGTATTGTAAAATATGTTTTAGTAGCATGTTTTTTAGATACTACAGTTGCCCTATATTTCAGAACATGAGAACAAAACATAAAACATTGTCGCACTAAATGGACTTAAAAACTGAACGAGATGGGTAACATTCGTAATACTCATCAAAGTCTTAACCATGAGTCCTCCAGGGGAGTGGCTGAGAGCTGCGACTGAACATGGGTGATCGATGCTCCTGTCGGTTGTGGCATGACCAAGGCGTCAAGGCGTAGATGGAGTATTGATCTCGCCATAATAAATGGAGCATGCGTGACATCCACAACTCTTTGTTTGAACACCACAGACATCATTAATCATATCGCCTTTAACACACGTCATCAAACTCAGCGATGTTGCCTGGTGTCCGTTTCTCTCTGAAGTCCCATACATCTATCATTAGTTTGGCACTATGCACAAACTGCTAAAAGTACGTTAGGCCTTCCCTGTTTAGCAGTGGGAAACAAACAAAGCCTATAAAGAATCCATTCTCTTTCTACTGTTTTATGGGTGAGTTGAAGGGTGAACAGGGTAGGGGGGTAACTGATTACATGTCATCTGATTACAAAAAACTGTAACTATACATTACCAGATTACAGATACTTATGAAAAACGAGTTCACTTCTTGGATTACTTTTTTATAATTTAGAAAGAATGTTTGTGAAAAAATATATTATGAGACCTTTCTGTTTTCTCAATGACATTCAATTCAGCGTTGAAAAAAGGAGCAAGTTTAAGTTTGTTCCACCTGAGCGAGACTGACCACAAGTCAGAGACCACTATGAAGACCCACTATGAAGACCCACTATGAAGATGGATCCTTTTGGTCTTCTTCTAATGCCTCTTAAGGGGAAAAAAATCCCAAAGTAACTGAAAGTTATCTGATTACATTACTGAGTTTGGGTAATCCAAAAACTGCATTACCTGTCTTCCTTTTAAGGTTTCTTCCTGTGAAAGAGGAATTTTATAATCCTGGGTCAAACCATAGAGAATGATAGAGGCCTCTAGTGGCCAAAAGGCTATTTTAGCATGGGCACCACCATTTAGGGCTTCCACCATGCTTCTGCCATTTTAAAGTAGTCAAAGTAGTCAACTGGGTGGGGATCCCTATGGGTTGTCGCCTCAATGGCGCTGCCCATGCTGTCACAGACGCAATAATGGCACAGATATAAAGACGAGTCCTCTATCTATCTCTATGGGTCAAACAAAGTCAATATCCTATTATACAGTGCCTTGCAAAAGTATTCATCCCCCTTGGCTTATTTCCTATTTTGTTGCATTACAACCTGTAATTTAAATGGATTTTTATTTGGATTTCATGTAATGGACACACACAAAATAGTCCAAATTGGTGAAGTGAAATGAAAAAAAGAACTTGTTTAAAAAAATGATACAAAATAAATAACGGAAAAGTGGAGCGTGCATATGAATTCAATCCTTGCTATGAAGCCCCTAAATAAGATATGGTGAAACCAATTACCTTCAGAAGTCACATAATTAATTAAATAAAGTCCACCTGTGTGCAATCTAAGTGTCATATGATCTGTCACATGATCTCAGTATATATACACCTGTTCTGAAAGGCCCCAGAGTCTGCAACACCACTAAGCAAGGGGCACCACCAAGCAAGCGGCTCCATGAAGACCAAGGAGCTCTCCAAACAGGTCAGGGACAAAGTTGTGGAGAAGTACAGACACTTTGAACATCCCAAAGAGCACCATTAAATCCATTATTAAAAAATGGAAAGAATATGGCACCACAACAAGCCCACCAAAACTCACGGACCAAGCAAGGAGGGCATTAATCAGAGAGGCAACAAAGAGACCAAAAATAACCCTGAAGAAGCTGCAAAGCTCCACAGCGGAGATTGCAGTATCTGTCCATAGGATCACTTTAAGCCGTATACTCCACAGAGCTGGGCTTCATGGAAGAGTGGCCAGAAAAAAGCCATTACTTAAAGAAAAAAATAAGCAAACACGTTTGGTGTTCACCAAAAGGCATGTGGGAGACTCCCCAAACATATAGAAGAAGGTACTCTGGTCAGATGAGACTAAATGTGAGCTTTTTGGCCATCAAGGAAACGCTTTGTCTGGCGCAAACCCAACACCTCTCATCACCCCGAGAACACCACCCCCACAGTGAAGCATGGTGGTGGCAGCATCATGCTGTGGGGATGTTTTTCATCGGCAGGGACTGGGAAACTGATCAGAATTGAAGGAATGATGGATGGCGCTAAATACAGGGAAATTATTGAGGGAAACCTATTTCAGTCTTCCAGAGATTTGAGACTGGGACAGAGGTTCACCTTCCAGCAGGAAAATGACCCTAAGCATACTGCTAAAGCAACACTTGAGTGGTTTAAGGGGAAACATTTAAATGTCTTGGAATGGCCTAGTCAAAGCCCAGACCTCAATCCAATTGAGAATCTGTGGTATGACTTAAAGATTGCTGTACACCAGCGGAACCCATCCAACTTGAAGGAGCTGGAGCAGTTTTGCCTTGAAGAATGGGCAAAAATCCCAGTGGCTAGATGTGCCAAGCTTACAGAGACATACCCCAAGAGACTTGCAGCTGTAATTGCTGCAAAAGGTGGCTCTACAAAGTATTGACTTTGGGCGGGTGAATAGTTATGCACACTCAAGTTTTCTGTTTTCTCATCTTATTTCTTGTTTGTTTCACAACAAAAAATATTTTGCATCTTCAAAGTGGTAGGGATATTGTGTAAATCAAATGATGCAAACCCCCCAAAAATCCATTTTAATTCCAGGTTGTAAGGCAACAAAATAGGAAAATTGCCAAGGGGGGTGAATACTTTCACAAGCCACAGTAGTTCCTTCCACACAGGAACAGAGCTAGGAGGGGGAAAAAGCAATGGCCTCCTATATTGTCTAGTCATGTGATGCATGTATCTATCTATTGGTCCTCTAGTTGTTTCAGCTACAGAGGAAAGGCTATTTTGGAGACACACCAGTGTCCGCTGAAGTGCCCCGCTAAATATTATTACATTATTATGTATGTTTAGGGGCATATTCAATTAAAACCCATGGTTTAGTATTGGTATCAGGGATGGACAAAAACATAATTCTTGGTAATCTATAGTGCTATGTGGACAAGGTTGGATATAGCTTAAACAACAAGCAACTAGCGGCAATGGGAGATATCAGCACCATGGACAGCAGTGAACTGGCAACCTCACGATCTGACATTCAGAACCACAGGACAGTGGTCAGCGGTGGTCTCAAGTGCAGCTGCAACGCCACTGGCCACTGGGAAAGCCCTAAACAGGAAGCAATAGGCCTGCAGGGCAAGACTCCCACACCAACATCCATATTTAATTTAAACCATACACCTTTAGAATTGTGAATTATAAGGATTACATGTGCGATTATTTGAAATTAGTTGAAGTATTCTTGATTCTTTGAACTATACATCAACATGCAGGAATCTGTAAATATCTGATTGTGGGTTTAAAGGCCCTCATATTGACCCTGGGTTTGTACAGATGAGAGTGTGGAAAAACACATGCTACACTTGTCAATGTTTTAATGGGCTTTTTTTAATTGAAACCAGCTTCACTGATAACAAACATGCAATATCACTGTACAAGCAACACCATGGATAGTAGTACTCATTCAAGTCCCGAAACGTTCGTCAAAGATAAGCCAGCTCACATACACAAACGCACACACATACACACACACACACACACACACACACACATTCACGCATACACATGCTTACACACACGTTCATATTTACATATCACAGTGAATGATGGGTTAAAAACGAAATGGGGTTACACTTTCCAATTAGAACTGATAATCAGATCGCAGCACAGTCCCAGTTTGTGTGTGTGCGTTTGTTGTGTGTGTGTGTGTGTGTGTGTGTGTGTGTGTGTGTGTGTGTGTGTGTGTGTGTGTGTGTGTGTGTGTGTGTGTGTGTGTGTGTAGGACAAGGAACAGATGACAGCCAGGATGTGTGAGAGTAGAAAATCAGACCTTTTATCACTGTGTGTGTGTCAAACTGAGAAGCTCAGATATTGCTATAGGAGTCTTGTATGAGTGTCCATTGAATTTATAGGAGTGTGATGATGGGTAAAGAAAAATGTATATTTTTCAAATAAACTGATATCTTCTCTCATCCAATCCACTCAAACAGTGCTACGTGGGATTTGTAAAGTTACAATTTTATAAAGATTAATACATGGGTGATGATGGATATGTTCGGGGTATTGCTTGTATGATATAACCAATATCACTGTTTGTCTGGCTGTTGATATTTATAAACGCAAAACAAAAAGAAAGGCCACATTACCAAAAAATAAACCTTCAATTCAAAAGAATTAATAAATACTTTAAAACAGCATACAAAATTCTGGCATTACCCTTTTTTCCACACTCAATGGAGGTTCTGTCTATAAATGTGGGATAATAAATATATTCAGGTTCATTTTTATAACAGTTAGGTGTTTGTTTATTTGGGATATCTCTTAAATTCTTAATGAAAAAATGGATTATTATTATAAACAGTAGGAAAGATCTTCGCAGAAACTCTGAATTCTATGTAATACTGTCCATTACACAATGGTCACGACACAATAAAATACTGCAAATTATCAAAACTGTACAGAAAAACGTACATATTTCTCTAAAATACATTTTCACTGTTAGTGTGAGAAGAGAGAAGTGAAGAGAGCGATGTTTTATTCCACCAATAGGAGAACAGCCTGTCTTCTAGCCAGACTAAGACACACCCACACTGCTCCCACTCAGACATCACCAAATGCTCGTCAACACCAAATGCTGCTTCCTGATTGCTCTGAGATCTACTGCTCATGTCTGGGGCGGTGGGCGTGTCTCATAGGTCCCTCAACATGGCTGCCAGCCAGGCAGTGTCAGCTGATCACTGCACACCGTCTACGCTCTAGTCGATGGCTACTACAGTATAACTCTACAGGACTCACGGACAGCCTAGTAAGAGAGGAAACTGCACTGGGATGACCCACCCTATAGATCTCTGCTGGTCTAACAGCCTAGTGAAGCCAAAGAGTACGAACCAAGAGGCTATCATTTGTTAGCATTTGGCACCTGGATAAGCAACAAGCCTGCCACAGAAGACTGAAGAAGATACTCCTACAGTACAGTCCCCTATACTCCAGTGTTGAACTTTATATAGTATTTTTCAAAATAGAAGATATCACGTTTTTCTTTAATCTTTTCTTTGTAAATAATTCCTCTAGCTAAACTACTTCTTGGTTACAGGTGTGAGTGTTTGTTTTAGTGGCGTAGTCTCTCAGGTTAGGTGGGTGTTTGTTTGGCAGGGTGTGTGGTGCCGCCCTGTTTGCGGGAGGTCAGGTCAGCGGTGGCGGTAGTGCCTCATTAGGGGGACGATGCAAGAGGGGGGGCCCGAGAGCTTGAGGAAGGAGTGCTGGAGCAGCTCCTGGGCTGTGGCTCGCTGAGACGGCTCTCTAACCAACATCAGGTCCAGGAAGGCCCTCAGAACCGATGATACCTGACGGAGAGAAAAGGAACATATTACTATTTATTTGACTTAGGAGAATAACTGACATTAATAAACATTTCTGTAAATGTGCCAATTTAGATTATAATGAAATAAATGAACCCTGCTGACCTTGTGTGACTCCTTTAGCCGTGGGGGCAGGTTGTCTCGTATCCTCCTCATGGCCTGTAGAGGGGGTTCGTTAAAGTATGGGGGTTCCCCATCTATCATCTCTATCACCATGATGCCCAACGACCAGATATCCACCTAGCAGGCAGTGTGAATGGTGTTATTGTCTTTTTTCACAGATCACTATATACAACATTATACAACGGGTGTGTCTAATCCTGAATGGTGATTGATTAAAACCGCATTCCAGCCGGTGTTTATTCCACAAGTTACCCCCGGCTAAATCTATGACGTAAAAATTCCTATTTACTCTGTTCCATCTGACTGAGCAATCCACTGTCTCATCAGCCAAGCCAGGCAAGTTTTAAACTTGATCTCCACTATAAAAGCATCCAGACATTATCTCACATTTCTTTTAGACTAACATTTAGTTTTCAATCACAGAGATTTGTATAAACCTTGCTGTCTGTCTCTCCGACATTTGCAACATTGTTTCAATATAAACATTTGATCTCCAGCTGTCCCATAGTTATGAACGTGTAGGAGTCGGGACGAGACAGACAGGCAGAAATCATGAATCAACTGGCATCATTTTTATGGATATATACAAAGAAATGTCAATTGAAAAAAGGTAAAACGAAACGAAGTGCAGCTAGTTTACAGTCTTTACAACTTCAGTTTGAAGTGATTGTGTTAGCTGTGCTGTTGGCTAGCCCCTCTAAACAACAGTGTCCTGATGAGAGAGCACATTTTCTATGCCAGGCGTAATTGCGCCTCATTAGCTCATTGTTGTGGATGTATCCTAATAAATGTCACTAGAAAACAGTTTAAACAAATGCAAATGCTACTGTTGTTATTCTTTTTGACGTTTGATGTGACTGTAAGTTAGCCGTAGTTGGCTATCTAGCAAGCAAGGGATAAGAACGTTGCCAGCCAGTATGGCAATGGAACATTTAGAACAAACTACTAGGTGCAGAACAAAAAGAGGGAACGACGGTCGCACTTCTGGCAACCAAACCAATAGAACGAATGACCAGCAGGCTTGGGTAGCAACTCCTAGATTTGTGTTGGGACTATATCTTACAGAAGGATGAAATAGTATGAATAAATTCATTAAAATAACGTTTTTATGAAAATATGTAAACCATTAATTGAATATGTTGGTAACCCATTGTATAAAAGTGATAATACCCTCGAAGCAGGTGTTTGGACGATACGGTGCATTCGGAAAGTATTCAGACCCCTTCCCTTTTTCCACATTTTGTTACATTACAGCCTTATTCCAAATCTTTCCTCATCAATCTACACACAATACCCCATAATAACAAAGCGAAAACTGTTTTTTATAAATTTGTATATATGTCTCACTTTGCTATGAGACTCGAAATTGAGCTCAAGGTACATCCTGTTTCCATTGATCTTCTTGAGATGTTTCTACAACTTGATTGGAGTCCACCTGTGGTAAATGCAATTGATTGGACATGATTTGGAAAGGCACACACCTGTCTATATAATGTCACACAGTTGACAGTGCATGTCAAAGTGAAAACCAAGCCATGAGGTCGAAGGAATTGTCTGTAGAGCTCCGAGACAGGATTGTGTCGAGGCACAGATCTGGGGAATGATACCAAAAAATGTCTGCAGCATTGAAGGTCCCCAAAAACACAGTGGCCTCCAGCATTCTTAAATGGAAGAAGTTTTGATCCACCAAGGCTCTTCCTAGAGCTGGCCGCCCGGCCAAACTGAGCAATCGGGGGAGAAGGGCCTTGGTCAGGGAGGTGACCAAGAACCTGATGGTCACTGACAGTGCTCCAGAGTTCTACTATGGAGATGGGAGAATATTCCAGAAGGACAACCATCTCTGCAGCACTACACCAATCAGGCCTTTACAGTAGAGTGGCCAGACGGAAGCCACTCCTCAGTAAAAGGCACATGACAGCCCGCTTGAAGTTTTCCAAAAGGCACCTAAAGGACTATCAGACCATGAGAAACAAGATTCTCTGGTCTAATGAAACCATGATCGAACTCTTTGGCATGATTGCCAAGCGTCACGTCTGTAGGAAACCTGCCACCATCCTTACAGTGAAGCATGGTGGAGGCAGCATCATACTGTGGGGATGTTTTTCAGCGGCAGGGACTGGGAGTCTAGTCAGGATCGAGGGAAAGATGAACGGAGCAAAGTACAGAGAGATCCTTGATGAAAACCTGCTCCAGAGCGCTCAGGACCTCAGACTAGTGCGAATGTTCACGTTCCAACAGGACAATGACCCTAAGCACACATCCAAGACAACGCAGGAGTGGCTTAAGGACAAGTCTATGAATATCCTTGAGTGGCCCAGCCAGAGCCCGGACTTTAACCTGATCGAACATCTCTGGAGAGACCTGAGCTTGAGAGGATCTGCAGAGAAGAATGGAAGAAACTCCCCAAATACAGGTGTGCCAAGCTTGTAGTGTCATACCCAAGAAGACTCGAGGCTGTAATCGCTGGTGAAGGTGCTTCAACAAAGTACTGAGTAAAGGGTCTGAATACTTACACTACCAGTCAAAAGTTTTGACAAACCTACTCATTCAAGGGTTTTTCTTTATCTTTACTATTTTTTACATTGTAGAATAATAGTGAAGACATCAAAGTTATGAAATAACACATATGGAATCATGTAGTAACCAAAAATGTGTTAAACAAATTTTATATTTGAGATTCTTCAAATAGCCACCCTTTGCCTTGATAACAGCTTTGCACACTCTTGGCATTCTCTCAACCAGCTTCATGAGGTAGTAACCTGGAATGCATTTTCATTAAAAGGTGTGCCTTCTTAAAAGTTAATTTGTGGAATTTATTTCCTTCTTAATGCCAATCAGTTGAGCTAAGACAAGGTAGGGGGGTATACAGAAGATAGACCTATTTGGTAAAAGACCAAGTCCATATTATGGCAAGAACAGCTCAAATAAGCAAAGAGAAACAACAGTCCATCATTACTTTAAGACATGAACGTCAGTCAATATGCAACATTTCAAGAGAGCGAGAGTTGCACCCTTTCTCAAAAAACCAACACTCGATCCCTCTGATGTCAACAACTACAGACCAGTATCCCTTCTTTCTTTTCTCTCCAAAACTCTTGAGCGTGCCGTCTCTAGCCAACTCTCTTGCTATCTCTCTCAGAATTACCTTCTTGATCCAAACCAGTCAGGTTTCAAGACTGGTCATTCAACTGAGACTGCTCTTCTCTGTGTCACGGAGGCTCTCCGCACTGCTAAAGCTAACTCTCTCTCCTCTGCTCTTGTCCTTCTAGACCTGTCTGCTGCCTTTGATACTGTGAACCATCAGATCCTCCTCTCCACCCTCTCCGAGTTGGGTATCTCTGGCGCGGCTCACTCTTGAATTGCGTCCTACCTGACCGGTCGCTCCTACCAAGTGGCGTGGCGAGAATCTGTCTCCGCACCACGTGCTCTCACCACTGGTGTCCCTCAGGGCTCAGTTCTAGGCCCTCTCCTATTCTCGCTATACACCAAGTCACTTGGCTCTGTCATATCCTCACATGGCCTCTCCTATCATTGCTACGCAGACGACACACAACTAATCTTCTCCTTTCCCCCTTCTGATAACCAGGTGGCGAATCGCATCTCTGCATGTCTGGCAGACATATCAGTGTGGATGACGGATCACCACCTCAAGCTGAACCTCGGCAAGACGGAGCTGCTCTTCCTCCAGGGGAAGGACTGCCCGTTCCATGATCTCGCCATCATGGTTGACAACTCTGTTGTGTCCTCCTCCCAGAGTGCGAAGAGCCTTGGCGTGACCCTGGACAACACCCTGTCGTTCTGACCCGATCCTGTAGGTTCATGCTCTACAACATTCGGAGAGTACGACCCTGCCTTACACAGGAAGTGGCACAGGTCCTAATCCAGGCACTTGTCATCTCCCGTCTGGATTACTGCAACTCGCTGTTGGCTGGGCTCCCTGCCTGTGCCATTAAACCCCTACAACTCATCCAGAATGCCGCAGCCCGTCTGGTGTTCAACCTTCCCAAGTTCTCTCACATCACCCCTGCTCCTCCGCACACTCCACTGGCTTCCAGTTGAACCTCGCATCTGCTACAAGACCATGGTGCTTGCCTACGGAGCTGTGAGGGGAACGGCACCTCCGTACCTTCAGGCTCTGATCAGTTCCTACACCCAAACGAGAGCATTGCGTTCATCCACATCTGGCCTGCTGGCCCCCCTACCTCTGCGGAAGCACAGTTCCCGCTCAGCCCAGTCAAAACTGTTTGCTGCTCTGGCACCCCAATGGTGGAACAAGCTCCCTCACGACACTAGGACAGCGGAGTCACAGCACCACCTTCCGGAGACACTTGAAACCCCACCTCTTTAAGGAATACCTGGGATAGGATAAAGTAATCCTTCTACCCCCCCTTACCCCCCCCCCCAAAAAAAAAATAAAAAAAATAATAATAATAATAAATAAAATAAAAACATATTGTAAAGTGGTTATCCCACTGGCTATAAGGTGAATGCACCAATTTGTAAGTCACTCTGGATAAGAGCGTCTGCTAAATGACGTAAATGTAAATGTAAAGGACACCAATAAGAAGAAGAGACCTGCTTGGGCCAAGAAACACGAGCAATGAACATTAGACCGGAGGAAATGTGTTCTTTGGTCTGGAGTCCAAATTTGAGATTTTTGGTTAAAACCGCTGTGTCTTTGTGAGACACGGTGTGGGTGAACGGATGATCACCACATGTGTAGTTCCACCGTAAAGCATGGAGGAGGAGGTGTTATGGTGTGGGGGTGCTTTGTTGGTGACACTGTCAGTGATTTATTTAGAATTCAATGTACACTTAACCAGCATGGTTTGGGCTTAGTGGGACTATCATTTGTTTTTCAACAAGACAATGACCCAACACACCTCCAGGCTGTGTAAGAGCTATTTTACCAAGAAGGAGAGTGATGGAGTGCTGCATCAGATGACCTGGCCTCCACAATCCCCCGACCTCAACCCAATTGAGATGGTTTGGGATGAGTCGGACGGCAGAGTGAAGGAAAAGCAGCCAACAAGTGCTCAGCATATGTGGGAACTCCTTCAAGACTGTTAGAAAATCATTCCAGGTGAAGCTGGTTGAGAGAATGCCAAGAGTGTGCAAAGCTGTCATCAAGGCAAAGGGTGGCTATTTGAAGAATCTCAAATATAAAATATATTTTGATTTGTTTAACACTTTTTTGGCTACTACATGATTCCATATGTGTTATTTCATAGTTTTGATGTCTTCACTATTATTCTACAATGTAGAAAATAGTAAAAATAAAGAAAAACCCTTGAATGAGTAGGTGTGTCCAAACTTTTGACTGGTACTATATGTAAATGTAGTATTTCACTTTTATCAATCTTTTATACATTTGCACCAAAAAAAAACGGTTTTTGCTTTGTCATTATGGGGTATTGCGTGTAGATCTACCCCCCAATTTAATCAATTTTAGAATAAGGCTGTAAAATGTGGAAAACGTAAAGGGGTCTGAATACTTTTAGTCTTGGGCCTAACAACACCCTTACCAACATATCTTCCAAACACACACTTATTCAGACATTTGAATGTGTTATTTGGCAACGTGTGTTCTTACCTCCGTGCCGTAGGGTAACCGTGAGATGACCTCCGGTGCCATCCAGTAGGGTGTGCCCACCAGAGACTTCCTCTTGGGTACCTCTTTGGACACTTGGGCGCAGAAGCCAAAGTCTGACAGCTTGATCTGTAGGAACAAAACATATTTGGTTGATAATCTCAATGTGTTATCTATAGGAATTTTCTGAGCACTTTCGTACATGGGGACACAAAAATCCCATATAAAATTTGAGTTATTTTGTTTCCTAATTTATTTTACTAGTATACATTATGGAAGTGTGCTGCCTTTTTCAGAAAATATATTTAGGTATGAATATTAACTTTTTTTCAATCAAAAACCCTCTATAATGGTTTTACCATTATAAGGAACATTGACCTCTTGGGATGAAGAGGTTTTCATATAAGCCACTCTAATCCTGGTTCTATTATCCCTTAATTAGCCATCCATCACATTCCAGCAGCTCGTTAAGAGGCATTAGGCAAGCTTTAATTAATAAGGACTGGGTGCTAATTGATTATGATCTCCTCTCCTCTTGTACTGCATCACTGGCACTAGCACAGAGGTAGGTTACTGTGTGTGTAGGGCAGAGTTTCAAGTAACATTGTATCATTTGACATTATGTGAGAAACTGGGTGTCAGGGTCAGTTGTGTGTATTCATGGATGCCAAAGACAGCCAGGCTTCCCCAAAGTTTTTTTTAAAATTAGTTTTTTTTACAAAATATATATATATATTTTGTCTCTCTGTGTTTCATAATTTTCCTTCAATTCGCAAGAGGCTGGAATGTATCTCACCAGAGAAGACATCCGAGCAAGCAAAACAGCGCTCCTCTGTCTCTGTATGTGTAGGCCAAAAGAGTATGACATTGTTGCTGCCTGTAGCATTGAATGCAAGGGAAGCCAGTGAGCATTTGGCCTCCCTTGATAAAAAAGAAATAAAAGAATAGCCAATCAGTGTTGAGCTAAACTAAGTGAGCTCAACTGTGAATGGTTCTGGCGCACCCAAAAAAAGTGTAAAGGGAAGCCAGTTTGGATTTGGCTTCACTCCAATCACATCGCATCGAGAGCATACGTCATTGACAGAAACTCGTTGTGCATCTTGTTGTGTTGTTGTCCTCCGGTGGCTAGCTAACTACCTAAAATTGGCCCTTTCCTAAATTATCCATGGATGGAGATAGGGATTTGGACTTGTGGTTTCACTTAATTCTCCGTACTGGCCAATGATTATAACAGCAATTCTGATCCAACCATAAATTAATTCATTGTGCCCCTGGCCTGAGAGGATGGAAGTTCAAAATGTAGCTAGATGTAGAAGGCTAATGTTAACTTGATAATGTTGCACATTAAGGAAGTTAGGCTAGTGAGCAAGTTTTTTAGCCAGGTAGCCTAGAACAACAAAAAATGAAAGCGTGTACTGTATGACAGAGTGATAGACCGTTTCTTCAACATGAAAGAGGAGGATGGCATTGGCGTTTCTCTACAAGTAGGGTGAGTCAACATGCTTTTTCTACTTGCATGAACGCACATGCACACGCACACACACACAGAAATCAGCCACATCATATTTAGCATACAATGATTGGACTAAATCGTTTTTAGTAAGTATAGGTGATTTGATGATGTCGGAAACATTAACTTGCTTGACCATGCTGTACAGTCGTGGTCAAAAGTTTTGAGAATGACACAAATAGTAATTTTCACAAAGTCTGCTGCCTCAGTTTTGATGATGGCAATTTGCCATGAAGAGTGATCAGATGAATTGCAATTAATTGCAAAGTCCCTCTTTGCCATGAAAATGAACTTAATCCCCCAAAAACATTTCCACTGCATTTCAGCCCTGCCACAAAAGGACCAGCTGCCATCATGTCAGTGATTCTCTCGTTAACACAGGTGAGAGTGTTGACGAGGACAAGGCTGGAGATGACTCTGTCATGCTGATTGAGTTAGAATAACAGACTGGAAGCTTTAAAAGGAGGGTGGTGCTTGAAATCATTGTTCTTCCTCTGTTAACCATGGTTACCTGCAAGGAAACACATGCCGTCATCATTGCTTTGTACAAAAAGGGCTTCACAGGCAAGGATATTGCTGCTAGTAAGATTGCCCCTAAATCAACCATTTATCGGATCATCAAGAACTTCAAGGAGAGAGGTTCAATTGTTGTGAAGAAGGCGTCAGTGTGCCCAAGAAAGTCCAGCAAGCACCAGGACCGTCTCCTAAAGTTGATTCAGCTGCGGGATCGGGGCACCACCAGTGCAGAGCTTGCTCAGGAATGGCAGCAGGCAGGTGTGAGTACATCTGCACGCACAGTGAGGCAAATACTTTTGGAGGATGGCCTGGTGTCAAGAAGGGCAGCAAAGAAGCCACTTCTCTCCAGGAAAAACATCAGGGACAGACTGATATTCTGCAAAAGGTACAGGGATTGGACTGCTGAGGACTGGGGTAAAGTCATTTTCTCTGATGAATCCCCTTTCTGATTGTTTGGGGCATCCAGAAAACACGTTGTCCGGAGAAGACAAGGTGAGCGCTACCATCAGTCCTGTGTCATGCCAACAGTAAAGCATCCTGAGACCATTCATGTGTGGGGTTGCTTCTCAGCCAAGGGAGTGGGCTCACTCACATTTTTGCCTAAGAACACAGCCATGAATAAAGAATGGTACCAACACATCCTCCGAGAGCAACTTCTCCCAACCATCCAAGAACAGTCTGGTGATGACCAATGCCTTTTCCAGCATGATGGAGCACCTTGCCATAAGGCAAAAGTGATAACTCAGTGGCTCGGGGAACAAAACATCGAAATGTTGGGTCCATGGCCAGGAATCTCCCCAGACCTTAATCCCATTGAGAACTTGTGGTCGATCCTCAAGAGGCGGGTGGAAAAACAAAACCCCACAAATTCTGACAAACTCCAAGCATTGATTATGCAAGAATGGGCTGCCATCAGTCAGGATGTGGCCCAGAAGTTAATTGACAGCATGCCAGAGCAGATTGCAGAGGTCTTGAAAAAGAAGGGTCAACACTGCAAATATTGACTCTTTGCATAAACTTAATGTAATTTTCAATAAATGCATTTGACACTTATGGAATGCTTGTAATTATACTTCAGTATACCATAGTAATACCATAGTAACATCTGACAAAAATATCTCAACACTGAAGCAGCCAACTTTGTGAAGACCAATACTTGTGTCATTCTCAAAACTTTTGACCACGACTGTAGGTCATGTAACCGTTTGTTACATGCAATATGCTTTGTGGCCTTCACCGGACAGAGGTTACTCTCCGGTTTTGTGAGGAAACAAAGGTGTGGATGAATGTATTCTGTCACTGTGTCTTCTTACTGTCTTGGCCTTAGGCCTATATTCCACGATCACAAGGCATATGAACTAACAGGTTATAAAGCAAACAACACAATTATCACAACACATAGGTTGTAATATGGCTTTTACTTCTGGCTTGGCTGCCCCAGTGATTTTACCCATGCACCGCTGCTGGTCAGGGTTACTCTACTATGGATAAACCCATGTTTCTAACCACAGTACGTGCTTTAGCTGTGACCCAACAGGTACTGGCCACAACCCACCAGTCAAGCCAACATCTGGAAAACACTCTAGAGTCCTACAGTGTTACAAGTTACTTCTGTACATTCTTTATGAGTCCAGAATCCACGTGGTCTTACCCGTCCATCGCTGGTGAGGAGGATAGAATCACTCTTGATGTCTCTGTGGATGACTCCCTGTGTGTGGAGGTAGGACAGAGCCCTCAACACCGACACACACACTGTGGCTATCTGCTCCTCATTCATCCTGAAACAAACACGTGGGTTAAGATGGAGGTAGGACACCGACAAACACACACACTATAGCAAATGTGTTCTTTCACAAGGTCCCTATGAACTTAAAAAAAATATATATATATACTAGGAAGATTAGAACATCGTAGGAACATGAAATTCATGGTAACCATGTAATGTGCACTAAGCTTAACAGTCGTGTGTGTGGTCCCATATAGGATGGGGGTAAACAGTACGTCTGGCTGATTCCACATAACTCCACTGAACATTAACATGAGGCCCCAGCTGGCGAGAACCTCCCCCATCATCACACACACATATGCACGCACGCACACACAGACACAGACACAGACGACACACACACACACACATACACACACACATACACACTGACATTCTCACACAAAACACAGACACACTCATACCAACACAACACAAACACACATACACACATACACACATACACACACACTAATACACACACACTTTTACACTCATCATATGCTGCTCCTACTCTGTTTTTTATTTTACTTGAATTATTATCTATCCTGATGCCGTCACTTTACCCTGCCTTCATGTACATATCTACCTCAAATACCTCGTACCCCTGCACATTGATCTGGTACTGGTACTCCCTGTATATAGCTCCACATTGATCTGGTACTGGTACTCCCTGTATATAGCTCCACATTGATCTGGTACTGGTACTCCCTGTATATAGCTCCACATTGATCTGGTACTGGTACTCCCTGTATATAGCACCACATTGATCTGGTACTGGTACTTCCTGTATATAGCTCCACATTGATCTGGTACTGGTACTCCCTGTATATAGGTCCACATTGATCTGGTACTGGTACTCCCTGTATATAGCTTCATTCTTGTGTATTTTATTCCTCTTGTGTTACTATTTTTATTCGTATAATTTCTTTAAAACTCTGCATCGTTGGGAAGGGCTCGTAAGCCACGGTAAAGTCTACACCCATTGTATTTGGCTCGTGACAAATCATTAAAAAAATTAAAATAATAATTCACACACACAGCTCTCATCTGCAGCCCCTGCAGCACTCTCCTCCCTGTACCGTCTCACTCCATAGGAATCCATTGTCTTAGCAAGGAACAACTCGCAACACACACACACATAGACACCCCTCCCATCGTAGAATGTACCAGGTATTTTGGTAACACATGTTTGTATTGAGAATTGCAAAACAATCTAGAAAATGGGAGGTTGATGTGTAGACAAAGGAGATTCAATGCTTCACACACATATACCCACACACATACATACACAAAAACACGTCCACAAACAAAGACACCTGCACAAATGATTGCCGAGATAGTACATTATTTTAAACAGGGAATGAAAAAGAAAGTGTATTGTTTAATGAGGCTGTCAAAGTTGCCAAGGGCATCACACACACACACACCCACACACACACACACACACACACACACTGTAGCGCCATCAGCTGATTCTGTGTAAAGTACAGTACATCCACGACACATCCTCGTGAGGTTAATTGAACTTTGTTGCTAATTGAAATGGCTGAGGAACATGAACACGACACAGAGACAGGCCATTCTGGCATTGTAACACTGTGTGTGTTGGCAGACACCCAGGGAAAGAAGTGGGGGGGGGGGGAGAGAGAGAGAGAGAGAGAAGAGAGAGAGAGAGAGAGAGAGAGAGAGAGAGAGAGAGAGAGAGAGATCTATAGATAGAATCTAGCTCTCTCCTAGTCTCTAGTCTTCACAAGTGTATATCTTACACTCTCAGTCCATCTCTTAACTCTGTCTGGTTATGCCCTCTTATAGTCCTCTCAATCGCGGATAATTATGGATAGAGCAGATATAGAGGTGAGGGGAGTACTCACCTGCAGTGGGACTGTTTGTGTGCGTGTTCTCCTATTCAGCTCTACACAGTGAGCAGTCATTTACGCAACAAAAGAGTAGACTGAAATAGATTTGTATAATTCACCTGACCTAACAGATGTGAATTCTATGACTGAAACGTGTTGCTGATAGTCCTTTGATGGCTATTAATTGTGTTAATGACACAAATACACGTGCCTCTTTGAACTAAGTGCAATAAACTGTAAGAGATATGGTTGTTCCTACACATGAACTACAATATCTAATTTCTAATCCCCCTCTGGTTAAAAAATATATCAGGATTTGTTTGTGTTAGTAAGTAGATTGAATATATTCCAATTGCCCACATCTTCCTATTATCGACACAATTCCTTAGTAAATGGGACACACCCAACAAAAATTATCAAAACAGCTGTGTCGGAGAGAAGGATGAGACAGGGAGGTGAAAGAGGGATTCACATCTCCTCACACAACTAATGAAGACTCTTCTCTCCATCTCACGACTTCACGCTGACAGGGACGCCACTGCGTCCTCACGCAACCGTGTTATTAGCACCCGAGACGGCAGCACACAACACTGACACACGCCAGGCAAATGACTGTAATTAAAAGACTAAGGACACAATGGATGTTAATCTAAACTACGAGGCGTTGAGAGGTTTAGGAGAAGACACCGAAACAACAAGGAAAGAAAGAGATATAAGTTTGAGAACTCCTGAAACCAGATCCGATGGGGGTTATTGAGGAAGTTTGTTGCGCATCTGCTTAGCTTATTCACTTCCTGAAATTAATTAGTGAGACAACGATCCAAATACTCTTTGTTCAGACACAGTGAATTGAAGACTCATGTTAGCGCCACAAGCTAATGCTTAGGTAGCCATTAGGAGAGAGGTGAACGGACTAGTGGCAGATGATTGGTTACCTCGTGTGAGTGACAATGTCTGTCAGGGCCCCGCCCTCCAGGAACTCCATAACGACCCAGAGCTCGTCTCCAACAAGGTAGCTGTTGTACATGTCAACCACGTTCTCATGGTGATAGTCCCTCATGATCACCACCTAGAAACAAACAAAACAACAAACACAGGTTACATCACAGATAGACAATATACCAGTAGTGTGACAAAGCTGACCGTACTGTGCATCAGAGCATTAAAACCAAAAGGACTGGTTATTTCCAAAAATGTATGATATGTATTTAAGAACAGAGGTTAAACGGGGATGCTAAAAGTAGACAATGCTAAAAACGTTTTAAAATGCAATAAAAAACCTTTCTACGAAACGGACAGCATGGCTACCTTACTTGTGGCATTCCCACACACCAGTCTGCTCTACACAGCCTATACAGTACCTACCTGAGTACCAAACAATCAAGAACAGGTGTGGCCAATCAATTCAAAATGTCTGCCACCAACCCTGCAGAATAAGGTGTGATTGGCAAATGTCTTTACTGAGTGGATATGATTATGAATCATGCAATGAAACTGGGCCCGGGTAGAACAGTGAAACATACAACATTGAAATACTAAAACAGTTTGGAGGATTATAAGTGTCCAGTGAAGATGTCATCCTCAAGAAGACAGGAATTCGAGTTCGAATTGTTTCGCAAACCATTTGACCTAGGACCAGCTCTGATAAGCTAGCTCAAACTTGCTCGTTTCACAATGGTGTTGATTGCCTGCCTAATGTCCTAGAAGAAAACTAACGATGCTAAACTAGCTAGCTAACTCAACCACAGTTTGCCTAGCCTGCTTCATGTTCAGCTTTACCTAGATATATTCCCGTCTATTGATGAATTGGTAACTGGCTACTGATGAAGCTTGAAAGCAAACTTCTCCTCCTGATGTAGGCTACAGTGCCCTCCAAGTATTGAACACAGATCAGTTGTTATTTTTGCAATAGGCTATTCCAAAAACGTGGATTTGAGATTCAATTTCAATGAATGAGGATAGTACATTATTATTATTTTGGGGTACTTGTAACCATATTTTTTTACATTCTAGTCCTAACCTCAGATTTAGGTCGAATCTAAATGTCAATGTCTACATTGTATGATGGAATTCATTAAAGAGAAAAATAGCAAGTAGCCTATATCACAAATTAAATAAATAAATGTATTAGCAATCTTCTTTTCTAATTTGGATGTTGCTATGGAAGCTTAATGAAAAGGGATTAGATTGGGGCCTAAATAGGATAACATGAAGCTTCAAAATAGCACGCCCACACGAGCACGCACACACACATAGACACACACACACACACAGACACACACACACTATTATTATTATTATTAATCATCGATGTGGGTGCGAAAATATGTAAGGACAAGATACTTGATGTCTCTTGTTAATATATTGTAAGTCATGCCACCCACTTCATTCAAACAGAAATCTCTTCATGACAGAAATACTGTGGCTGACTACTGAGTAACAGCTCTATGGTCTTGCTACATAGAAGGCAGGAATGGTACAGTAGGGTAGAGATAAAAAACTTGGCTCACCTCTTTCCAGAACCAAAATAACATTAGCTTGTTGCCTTGGCAACATCTAAATCAGATTCACTAACATACTGCTCTGATCAAAACATCTGAAGTACAGAAAATACTCGTATGTGAGGTAGCCTAATCTCAGAGACTAAAAACGTGCTTTATAATTTCACTCTGTATGAAATTGTTGACTGTTGAAATTAGAGGCCTACACTTCCTTACCTGAAACTTTGAGGCTGTTAAAGAAAAATAATACAGTACCAAAATCGCTTGGTCTCCATTGGGACAAACAACCCTTGACCCCTAACACCTGACCTCTCACCTCGTTGAAGAGCAGTTCTCTCCTCTGCTGTTTCCTCAAGTCCATTTTCTTGACGGCTACCTGCTTGCCACTATGTTTCTCGCTGGCGATGCACACGATGCCCGTCGAGCCCTCGCCAATCTTTATGAAACTCTCCAGGTACTCTCTGGGGTCACCTGGGGTCAGACACAGACAGAGGCTGATCAATGTTTGCTGCTCCCAGCAAGATACTTTATCTACGAAGCTTCTGTTCATTATCTACAAACTAGCAGAATAACTTTTCTACCTGTATATTTTAACTCCTGTGATTTGGGATGTACTTGTATTTCTTTCTTAGGACTTCTCTGTATTTACCTGGGTTGACGACGAGCTGCAGGGCAGCCCTGAACTGTTCGTGGGAGACCCTGGAGGGCTGGGTGTCTGAACTGGATCCCCAGGAAGGAGGGGGGTAGGCCCCCGGTGGGATGTAGGGGGACGATGGCTGGGAGTATGCCCCCTGGAGGAGGGAGGAGAGAACCGGTTAATACCTCTACTGCACTGTCGGTGATGATCTTTGCAGTGACACACCTGCATCTCTGAGAGTCATATGTAATTGTAGATCATGATCTCTTTAGATCTTAAAAAAAGATACGCATGCACATACGCATGCAGTCATGTAAACACGCACGCACGCTTGCACACACGCACACACGCATGTACGCACAAATACACACGGTAGACCCACCTGTGGAGTGTATGGCGGGCTGGGCTGTGATGGTGGGTGATGGTAGGGGGAGGGTTTGTAGTGGTGGAACACAGGGGGGTACTGGAGTCCAGGGGGGTAGCCAGAGGGCTTACTGTGGCTTTGAGGTAGTTTGAGGGGCCCGCGGGGGTATGTGTCAGACCCTGGGACCTGGGGACTCCCGTCTCGAGATGACTGGTCGTAATCACCCTGCAAGAGATGGAAGACAGACAGAGACAGTGTTAGAAAGATAGCTAATACCCTGAAAACATAAGCTATTTAAGCTAGATTAACTAATATTAAAATAATACGCTTATAAGATGATAGCCAAAAGTGTGATTTGTATAAGTGCAAACCCTGTTTAAGCTTGGTCGCCATACAAACACATAGGAAAGAAAACCTCACCAAACAACAGAGAGTCTCCTTACTTGCATTATGAATATAAAACTATCAGAGATATTTCTCTCCCTCATCAGTTTCTGTATTAATTGTGAAATATCAGCTCCTGTCCCTGTGACCTGAGTAGGTACATTAACCCTGGACAGGTGTAACAGAAGGTGTTTAGTCGAAGGGACAGGGGCTATACTTTATCATTAATATCCCTCCCACACAGACCCAAACACTGTTCCTCCAATACCCCATCCATCATACAACTGCTGTTAGACCAGGGAACCTCCATATCTGGGGCAATGCTCCACATCGTTTCTCTCCTTAGTCTCGTTTACAGTACCTGTTAGATTATATTCCTACAGTAGACTATATTGGAGGGTGGGCTGTGTTACCAAGTGTGGTTGCAGGGTTTTGCTCCAACCACGCAGTAACAATCAAGACTTTGAGTAGAAGAATCAGCTGCAGCAAAACCTGATTGTCCATCCTTGCTCTATTCTCTCTCTCTCTCTCTCTCTCTCTCTCTCTCTCTCTCTCTCTCTCTCTCTCTCTCTCTCTCTCTCTCTCTCTCTCTCTCTCTCTCTCTCTCTCTCTCTCGCTCTCTCTTTCCCTCTCTTTCCCTCTCTCTCAAATTCAAATTCAGATTGCTTTAGTGGCATGAAATACAATTTGTAGATATTACCAAAGCAGTATAGTGGTACATCATTTCAGTAAATACAGTACAATGCAATGGGGATAATGAAATACAGTTAATTTCAGTAGGAATAATAATAATAATAGTACATATAATCGTGCCATACTGCTGTTGTATTGCGTAATCTTCGGTCGATACATTTAATTAAATACAAATAAGATTATACAAATAAAGAATGGCTAATAAATAAAAAACAACAACATGTACATGGACGATGGTTACACTATGCATTACTTGTAAGTTATATACAATGTAAATACTGTACTTCAGGGAATTAATGGTCATGGGATGTCCCTCAGGCTATGGCAATCATATACATATCTGGCAGTAATATTTGCGGTTTCTCCCTCACCCAGAATAATTCCAGCTTTATGTCATTAGTAAATGCACAGAAGTTGGGAATTGATTTAGATATATATATAAAAAAAATACAAAAATTATTATCTTATTTGGGAGTATTTCTCACAGTAGAGGAAAACGTGTATCCCTGTCTCTCCCTCTCCCTCTCCCTCTCTCTCTCTCTCTCTCGCTCTCTCTCTCTGTGCTGGGGTGGTTTAAAGCTGTTTCTCCATGTCCTAGGTGGGTGGCGATGAGTCATAAGTCTAGCTCAGAGAGAGGTGACAAAGGGACACTTCTCTCCCTGACACTAAACTTTATGCATTGTGAGTGGGACCTTGCATTATGCCTTCTGCATGAGAGGAATCCCAAACAGAAAGCAAGAGTATGGTGTGTGTGTGTGTATGTGTGTGTGTCAGTCACCGAGTCCCCTTCTCCTTGGTCCAGCCCTTACTACTCTACCAGGTAGTACATCTAGAGGTGTTTTATGGCATCACAACTCACCAGTGACCCTGTATAAATGTGATTAAGGTGCTGTGAACTGGTTATACAGGGTATTTACAGTGTTATTAACTAAGAATACAGCAGAGCCAAACATATATGACTTGAATTAAAAAAAGGATTTCGGAAGGTAACATTGTATGATTCTGATTATAATATAGGTTGACTCTTAATATTATGTTGCACAAATACCCTTTTATTTTATTTTGTATTTTTTAAAACATATTTATCTTTAGACTTATTTTGAAGCCTCATTTAATAATAATGATGTTATTTTATTAGGTACGTTATCAGAGAAGAACTCCAAATACTGTCTTTGCCTAAATGGATTTTTAAAAGTACACTGAATTATAGCTGTGAACTGCCCCTGGTCATACTGCATAATACAGGGCTGAGGCTGTGATATATAATATCTAGACTAATAATCAATCTGGTGAAGACGAGCTGCCTCCAGTACTGAGGAGATGATGCTCTGACTCCCAGAGTTAATGAAATTACCTCCCCGAACACACACTCCCCCCAAACATACACTCTGAAAGGACACACAAACACCCCTCAAACACACACTCCCCTAAGAACACACTCCGAACACACACTCTAACCGGACATGAATAGTCTCCTAATAAAAACTTGACGACAAGAAAGAGGCAGGGTAGGAGGAGGAAGGGGGAAACCTCAACATTAAAATCTCTCTCTCTCTCACACACAAACACGCACACACGAGTAAGAGGAAGGTTGGGTCGATGTGTGGGGATGGTGGTATAATTATGTGGCGTGGACTCGTTTAATCAATCACTGTGAGGCGGCGGTGCTCCTCGCGGCCCTCAGGAGGGACGGGGCTACTCTCCAGACCCCCTATCATTGGTGGGCACCGGCGGCTGGTTGTCAGCCAAGGGTCTCCTGATCCATGTTGGTTAAACGTGCATTAATCTGAATTTGGCAGGGTAATCAACAACCCAACTGAACTGTGAAATTGAATTCCGCGCTGGAACATCGTTGGGCCGTTTTTATGCGAAGGCTGCAGAAAGGAGAAAGTGCAGCAACACCAATTTGTCACCGAGAGCTGCTGCTGCGGCAGTGGAGGAGAAGCTGTGTGTGTGTGTGTGTGTGTGTGTGTGTGTGTCTGTGTGTGTGGCTAAGTCCCCGTGCTGTCTACTGTTATACCCCCGCCGGCTCACAACAAAAAGGGGGATTTTGTTCAATGACTGAATTGAAAGAGAAAGAGAGAGAGAGGAGAGGAGAGATGAGAGAGAGAGGAAAGAGAGAGAGAGAGAGAGAGAGAGAGAGAGAGAGAGAGAGAGAGAGAGAGAGAGAGAGAATAACAGAGAGACAGATAGAGCGAGAGAGACCATAAGATAGAGAATAGAGAGAGAGGGAGAGAGAAGAGAGGAAGATATAGGACAGAGAGAGAGAGGAGAGGGAGAAAGAGGAGAGAAGAGAGAGGGGGGGAGAGAGAGAGGAGAGGGAGAGAGAGGAGAGAGAGGAGAGAGAGAGAGAGGAGAGGTGGGTTTATTACAAGGTCCATGAGGCAGGAAGAATGGTGCTTCATAAGCTGCCAGATCACTTACAACACGCTTTAGTTTTTTTAACTGTTATTATACCGATGTTAGTAATCTCCTACACGCGTCACGACACATATTTTGTGACTGTTTTTTCCAATACCTCTCTAAGATCTCCTACATCTTCTTCAGATGGAACTAAACAGCGTGTCATGTAGTGAATTCTGTTTCAATTATAGGCATTATAGGCCTTTCTTAACGTGTATAAAGTATAGTCAGGTACAGTAGTTTCCTATCTTGCTCAATCACAAGCAAGTTCATTGTAACAAAAAAAAACTCTCACCACAAAAACACTATTTCTGTTTCTACCTCCGTGTGCATTTATTTTCCCAGAGTGTATGTTTACTGAGGCATTGGAGGTTAAGTGGTTTTCATAAGGCCACCCTTAACATTAGGAACTGCTACTTCCATGGCACAGGCTGACCAGGTGAATCCAGGTGAAAACTATGATCCCTTATTGATGTCACTGTTAAAGCCACTTCAATCAGTGTAGATGAAGGGGAAGAGACAGGTTAAAGAAAGATTTTCAAGCCTTAAGATAATTGAGACATGGATTGTGTATGTGTGCCATTCAGAGGGTGAATGGGCAAGACAAAATATTTAAGTGCCTTTGAATGTTGTGTGGTAGTAGGTGCCAGGCGCACCGATTTATGCCAAGAACCGCAACGCTGCTGAGTTTTTCACGCTCAACAGTTTCCCGTGTGTATCAAGAATGGTCCATCACCCAAAGGACACCCAGCCAACTTGACCCAACTGTGGGAAGCATTGGAGTCAACATGGCCCAGCATCCCTGTGGAACGCTTTCGACACTTTGTAGAGTCCATGACCCGACGAATTTAGGCTGTTCTGAGGGCAAAAGTGGGTGCAACTCAATAGGAAGGTGTTCCTAATGTTTTGTACACTCAGTGTTACCCTCGGTTTGTTGTAATTTGTGTTCTGAATATCGTACATGGTTCGACAAAGGTAATAGATAGATAAATAGCTATCATGTTTGTGCATAATAGGCTAGTGTAGTAGGCGCAGCATATAGGAACTCCTACACAGAATGAGGAGGGGGAGAGTCGTGACAGGGAGATAGGGACGATACATCTGACTGATCATTCTGCTCTGCACAGTTCAATGAAAGGTCATTGTTTCAGCGCTGGGATGTCAGCGCGCTATTCACCTTCAGATTATCACACAGGCGTTTGTCAAGCAGAGGCAACAAATGATACATGAACTGCACATGCACAACTCTAACAGTGTTCTTCAACCCTGCTCCTGGAGAGTGATCGTGTGCACACTTTTGTTTTAGCCCAGCACTAACACACCTGATTTAACAAATCATCAAGCCTTTTTTTTTTTGCTGAAAGAGTGGTGTTAGTCCTGGTTTGATCAAAACCCTGCATACATACGCTACTGCAGCTCTCTAGGTCCAGGACTAGCAGGAGTGAAGAACACTGCAGTAGAATGTTGATTACTATGGCATCTCCATGGGGTCTAGGCCTGCAAGTCACCTTTCCAGATCTCCATGTGCCGCTCCACTGGCGCATAACTGAAGCTGATATATGGGACTGCAATTGCAGAGTGGTATTTATTTGCTTGGGCCTCGCACTGTCACGATCGTCTTCAAAAGGAGTAGACCAATACGCAGCGTGTTGAGCGAACATGATTTACTTTATTATATTAAAGTGCAAAAACCAAAACAATAGACGATTCGTGAAGTCCACAGTAACAATGACCGTAAAGGAACAAAAACCCACCAACACAAAGTGAAACACAGACAGTTAAATATGGCTCCCAATCAGAGACAACCAGCACACAGCTGACACTCGTTGCCTCTGATTGGGAGTCATTCATTCAAACATAGAAATGAACCCAACAGAAATACCAACATAGAAATACACCCAATGAATGAACACACCCTGGCTCAACATACAGAGTCCCGGAGCCAGAGCGTGACAGTACCCCCCCCTAAAGGTGCGGACTGCGACCGCGCCTCAATAAGGGCTAAACAAGGGAGGGCTGGGCGGGCATACCTCCTCGGCGGCGGTTCTGGCCCCGGCCTTGCCCACCACCCTCCAAACAACCCCCCATAGCGCCCCTGGTCCGGTCTGACCCCGCTGGCTGGATCTGGACTGGACATTGACGGAGCGGATTGCTTACGCTCCGTTGTGGAGCAGCTGACCGGTCTTACCAGGCTGACGACTCGCACCCCGGGCTTGGTGCGAGTAGCAGGAACGGGCTGAACCAGGCTGACGACTCGCACCCCTGGCTTGGTGCGAGTGGCAGGAACGGGCTGGACCAGGCTGACGACTCGCACCCCTGGCTTGGTGCGTGGAGCAGGGACAGGCCGGACAGGGCTGGCGACGCACACCGTAGGCTTGGTGCGTGGAGCAGGAACAGGCCGGGCAGGGCTGTCGACGCACACCGTAGGCTTGGTGCGTGGAGCAGGGACAGGCCAGGCAGGGCTGTCGACGCACACCGTAGGCTTGGTGCGTGGAGCAGGGACAGGCCGGGCTGGGCTGACGACGCATACCGTAGGCTTGGTGCGTGGAGCAGGAACAGGCCGGACAGGGCTGGCGACGCACCCCGTAGGCTTGGTGCGTGGAGCAGGGACAGGCCGGGCTGGGCTGTCGACGCACACCGTAGGCTTGGTGCGTGGAGCAGGAACAGGCCGGGCAGGGCTGTCGACGCACACCGTAGACTTGGTGCGTGGAACAGGAACAGGCCGGGCAGGGCTGTCGACGCACACGTAGGTTTGGTGCGTGGAGCAGGAACAGGCCGGGCAGGGCTGTCGACGCACACCGTAGACTTGGTGCGTGGAGCAGGAACAGGCCGGGCAGGGCTGTCGACGCACACCGTAGGTTTGGTGCGTGGAGCAGGAACAGGCCGGGCAGGGCTGTCGACGCACACCGTAGACTTGGTGCGTGGAGCAGGGACAGGCCGGGCTGGGCTGGCGACGCACACCGTAGGCTTGGTGCGTGGAGCAGGGACAGGCCGGACTGGGCTATGGAGACGGATAGGAGACCTGGAGTGAAGAGCTGCCACAACCCGTCCTGGCTGAATGCCTACCTTCACACACTCTGTGTGAGGCATCAGCACAGGACGTACAGGGCTGTGTACCCGTACTGGCATAACAGCACGTGATACTGGCGCAGGATATCCGGGACCGAGGAGAGGCACTGGAGGCCCCGAGCGCTGAGCCGGCACACTCCATCCTGGCTGCATGCCCACCTTCGCACAACACGTGCGGGGTGCTCGCACAGGACGTACCGGACTATGCCGGACCACTCGTGGCACAGTGCGCAGCTCCGCATACCGCGGAACCTGCCCAGTCTCATGCTGCCATGCCTGAGTACGGGGAGTTGGCTCTGCTCTCCATCCAGGCTCCGCCAACCTGCCTTCTGGCCCCCAAAACCCGGTGGCCTTCTCCCTTCATCTCCTATTTCGCCCTGTGGCAGCCTCCTGCTGCCCAGTCGCCCATGCCGTGTTCCCCCCCCTAAAAAATTATTGGGGGTGCCTCTCGTCCATCCGACGATGGCACTGCTGACGCCGCTGCTCCTCTCCTGCCTGGGTCTTTCCCCTTCATAGCCCTCCGGTACCGGACGGCCTCCTCCTCGGTAATCTGCCCCCAACCGAGGAGGCCATCCACCAGAGTCACCTCCTGCGTGTGTTCCTGGACACGCTGCTTGGTCGTTGTATGGTGGGTTTTTCTGTCACGATCGTCTTCAAAAGGAGTAGACCAATACGCAGCGTGTTGAGCGAACATGATTGACTTTATTATATTAAAGTGCAAAAACCAAAACAATAGACGATTCGTGAAGTCCACAGTAACAATGACCGTAAAGGAACAAAAACCCACCAACACAAAGTGAAACACAGACAGTTAAATATGGCTCCCAATCAGAGACAACCAGCACACAGCTGACACTCGTTGCCTCTGATTGGGAGTCATTCATTCAAACATAGAAATGAACCCAACAGAAATACCAACATAGAAATACACCCAATGAATGAACACACCCTGGCTCAACATACAGAGTCCCGGAGCCAGAGCGTGACACGCACGCTTCACATATACACATATGCTCTCTAGATGTCCTCAGAAGTTTGTATTTTCTTCTAGAACACAAAAGAAATCAATGAAACCTTTTGTTTTCCAGTTACTTTGAAAGAGACGCTCCTGATTCTAATTCCACTCCACGCAGCTCTTCTCTAATCTATAGGAATGTGGCTGCAGTATATCTGTAGTCATAGGTCAAAGAGTAAGAAGTGATGGCACAACATAGTATTTCGCTCAATAGAAGACTTCTCTCTCTCCCCTCTCCCCTGACCCCTCTCTTTCACTCTGTCTCCTTCATGTCCTTCTCTCTCAGTCCCCCTCACTCCCTTGCTTCCTCTGTCCTCCCCCTACCCTCTCTCTCAGCTGAACTGTGGTATTAGACTGATGGCCAGTATATCTTCTTCCTCCTCCCCCTCTCCTCCAAATATTTCCCCTTCCCTCTCCCACCCCCTTTTGAACTGTGTTATCGGCTTGATGGCCAGTGTTGTAGCGTTAATTGATTCTAGCGCGGCTTGCAATTCTGTGTCTGTGGCAGAGCCTTCCTCCGCTGGGGAACAGTAGATTAACTACTGACACTAGATCCATCACACAGAGGTGAGGAGGAGAGGAGAGAGGGAGGAGAAATGGAGAGGAAGGAAAGGAGAGGAGAGGGGTAGAAGAGAACAGGAGGGGGCGAGGAGAGGAAAGGGAGAAATATAGAGGGGGAGAGGAGGGGAGGGGAGAGGAGGGGAGGAACGTAGACTGGGAAGAAGAGAGGAGCAAGGGGAAGAGGAGAAAGGAGAGATGCAACTGGGGAGATAACACTGCATCCTCTCTTTAAACCCGGAAGGGGTGGGATACATGGGAGGATAATAATCTGTGTTGTGGAAAAAGGTGTTCCCTGGTTGGCTACGATAGCTCAGTGTATGCACATTCAACATTTGCACCTTACAGTTTAGTAGGTACTTCATAGAGAAATGCAGCCTAGTTCTTATATCACCTGATCCAAATTATTACCAAAACTAGACTATTTGGAAAAGTATTTTGATAATAGTAGAAAATAACACACTGCTAACATACAAGACGTGTCTTTCCTTGGCAATAACATTTTCCGACACAGATTACAGAGTAAATCAACACACCAGCCCAGACGTACCTTGGCCATGGCCTGTGAGTTGTTGAGAGTCTCTGAAAGGCGTGGGTAGGTGTAGGAGCTGTAGGGGTGTGCCTGAGGGGGACTCTTAAAGGCCCCGCTGGCCCCGTAGGGCACGTTGGGCTCCTGGAGGCCGGACCCCGACCTGGAGCGCTGTCTGACGGCCGGCGTGGGGCTGGTCTGCATCACGTACGACGACTTGGGCCTCTTCTCGTACTCACCTCTGGAAACGCCGCTGTGGCTCCACTCGCTGTCTGGGTAGTTGATTTGCTCGCTGTGCAGCGAGGTGCGAGACGGCGTCCCCACCATTGACGCGTCCCGGTATTCCTGACTGGACGAGCCGCCTACGGACGCCCGGTAGTACCCCCCTGTAGTGGACCCGGCAGACCCCCCTCCGCTGCCCACCCCGGACCCAGAGCCCACCTCGTCGGCCAAGCGCGCCCCCGCCACCTTGCTCTCCAAGTACGTGTGGTAGTCCGGAGGCAGCTTGGCGTAATCGGTCTTCTGAGGCATGGCATCGGGGTAGAAGGGAACGCGGGTGGCGTGGGTGAGGTGGCCATTCTGTTTGGGGAAGCGGTAGTGTCTCCCCACGGCCCAGTCCCCATCTAGAGCGAAGCCTTTACCGTCCTTCCCGTAGGGCTCCAGTGAGAAGTCCCTGCTGGAGGTGTCCAGGTCACAGGAGTAGCGGGAATAATAGTGGCTGAAGCCGTTCTCCTCAGGGGCGTTGGGGTGGGGGTGTGGAGGGTGGTGGGAGGGGGGTTTGGGGGCCCCGGACCCGGCCTGGTGGGGGCCCGTAAGGCTCTCTTTACGCAGGGAGTTGGAACGTGTCACAGAGATGCTGTCGAACTCCTCCAGGAGACCATTGATGGACGTGTCCTTCGGGGGCCGGTTCCCTCGAACGATGGTCTGGGGAACAGACAGTAAATACACAGTTAACTTACTGTCGCTACGCATCGCAGTGAGGGAACCATAGAAATAGAATGGAACAGGAAGATCCATTCTAGTAATTATATTTATATGAAAGTAACTACTTGCCCATGCACAGTAGATGGAAACAGTTAACTTACTGTAGCTACGCATCGCAGTGAGGGAACCATAGAAATAGAATGGAATAGGAAGGTCCATTCTAGTAATTATATTTCTATGAAAGGAACTACCTGCCCATGCACAGTAGATGGATAACAAGTAGCCATGATGATACACTCCTGTCTTCAAATGAAATATCTGTACTATCAATGGAAATATGAATAGTAATTTTTCCATTGAGTAACATTCCACTGAGGTGCTGTGTATATTTTCTGTGATAAAATGAAAATGAGAGAAGTGAATGCCTACTTCTCTTATAGCAACAATAGGCATCTCCACACTGCCTGGTCTCATAGATTAGACATAACATAGTAAACATAAATCCAGGACACACAAAGGAGTATGATATGTTACATTTGGTATGGTTCCATAAGACAGAAGGTTACTTAAGGCAAAAATGAAATTAGGGTGGTTAGTTGGGGTGGATGGATGAGCATATAATGCGAACGTCTAGAAATTCAAAGGTTGGGTGCTCGATTCGCATCGCGGACAACTTTAGCATTTTAACTAATTAGCAACTTTGCAACTACCTACTACTTTTTAGCTACTTTGCAACTACTTAGCATGTTAGCGAACCTTCCCCTAACCCTAACCTTAACCCTTTAACTTAACTCCTAACCCTAACCTTAACCTTAACCCTAACCTTAACCCTAACCTTAAACCCTAACCTTAATCCCTAGCCTAGCTAACGTTAGACACCTAGCTAACGTTAGTGTTAGCCACCTAGCCACCTAGCTAATGTTAGCCACAACCAATTGGAATTTGTAACATTTCATATGTTTTTCAAATTCGTAACATATTGTACTAATTGGAGTGTCCCGGATGTACATGTACTATGTTACGTCTACCCCTTGAGTCCAAGTTGCTCTACAACCCCCAGTGTGAGTTTTTTAATACAGTCAGAATGGATGGAGAAAGGATGAAAAGAGCTACCCTGAAATGTGAGAAGAGGAGAAAGCAAAAGGTACACGTACACACACGCACACGCACACACACACACACACACACACCACACACTGCTGCTTAAAACCCCTAATGCAGCTGAAACAACAGCAGCATTGCTCATCCCATCCTACCCACGGTAAGCTCTTTACACGGCTGAGTCAGAGAGGGCTGTGTGTGGGGTGTGTGCGGTCGCAGTGTGTGTATGTGTGTACACAAAACAGATCTCTGTGAGGGGAATCAAAGCCCTGTGTGTCTCTGCCTTCAGAGGATCAAAACAATGTGAGGTAAAAACATGAGGGTTAGGGCGACAGAGGATGACACAGCTATTCTCTCTCTCTCTCTCTCTCTCTCTCTCTCTCTCTCTCTCTCTCTCTCTCTCTCTCTCTCTCTCTCTCTCTCTCTCTCTCTCTCCTCCCTACTTGGCTTTTGAAGGAGATGTAAAAGGACAATGCTTCAGGATGTCCAAACATGATGCTCTATATTCTATAGTTAATGCATTGTGCCTTGTTCATTTAACCGTTTTCAGAGGTTTATACATCTAACGGTGTAGCATCAGCACATCAACAGACACACAGGACAACCCACTCCCCTGTCTGTCACCTAATTGCTACATAGTACACACTGTATGTCATCAACTGTCACATGCAGTGCTGTGAAAAAGTATTTACACCCTTTCTGATTTTCTTTATTTTTGCATATTCTTTATACTGAATGTTTTCACATCTTCAACCAAAACCTCATATTAGATAAAGGGAACCTGAGTTTACAAATAACAAAAAAATTGCCCTCTTACACTCAATAACTGGTTGTGCCACCTTTAGCTGCAATGACGCCAACCAAACTTGGGTGTTACATAACTTTGCTTATAAAATAAATGAAATAAGTATGTAATTGTTGTGTTATTTGTTCACTCAGGTTCCCTTGATCTAATATTAGGTTTTGGTTGCGGATCTGATAACATTCAGTATCAAAAATATGCAAAAGTAGAGAAAATTAGAAAGGGGTCAAATACTTTTGCATAGCACTTTACGTCCCAGACTGTAGGGGTTGTGTCTGGACAGTACTGTTAGAAATCTATCATGTTTTGGACAGAAACTTTAGAATCAATTTGTTTTCAATTCAAGAGATGAATTGTAATTCAAATTCAGGAATTCAAATGTGTCATTTTTTTGGGAAGGCTAAAGTTAAACATGAACACTCACTAATTCAATTGGCAGGGAGCACTGGAGAGTGTCAATTATTTAATAAAACATTAACCTTGTTTGGTTGAAAATCAATAACCTGCGTATAGGAGACAGAGAGAGGGAGAGGAAAGAGAGAGGGCGAGAGAGAGTGAGAGAGAGAAAGCGAGAGAGAGACACGCGCAAGGTTAATTGTGTGCCAAATCACTGTCAACATCACGTAAAGTCGGTGCTGGAAATCTTCCCATTATTTTGAATTAAGGGCTGATAGTTTGGAGTACCTAGCTCTCTCTCTCCCTCTCTCTCTCCCTTCTTATTGCCTTCGGAGCGGTGGTTATTCGCAATGTCTCGTGGCGGTGGTGACAGCAGCCATATTTCAGCGCGCTGAGTCTCTGTCCCATCCGCCGGTGATAAGCTGTAATAGATCACCTGGATTCACCTGGTCAGTCTGTGTTATGGAAAGAGCATTGGAAATGTTTTGTACACTCAGTGTATTTCTGTTTGCTCAATGTACGCACTGGGAGAGAGGAGTGAGGAGAAGGTAGGGCAGGGGGAAAGGGAAGGAGGAAGAGGAAAAGGGAGGAGAGAAGTGGAGGCAAGACAATGAGGGGAGAGGAGCGGGCAGGACAGGGAGACAGGGGAGCCCGAGAGTGGTGTGGTGGTGAGGGGAGGACAGGGAGACAGGGGAGCCCGAGAGCGGTGTGGAGGTGAGGGGAGGACAGGGAGACAGGGGAGCCCGAGAGTGGTGTGGTGGTGAGGGGAGGACAGGGAGACAGGGGAGCCCGAGAGTGGTGTGGTGGTGAGGGGAGGACAGGGAGACAGGAGAGCCCGAGAGCGGTGTGGTGGTGAGGGCAGGACAGGGAGACAGGGGAGCCCGAGAGTGGTGTGGTGGTGAGGGGAGGACAGGGGATGGGGGTATGAAAAATGAGGCTCATTGGGAGATAAGGGGGATTAACCTTGGATGTAATGAAGGAGGGGAGAGAGGGAAGAGAGGAGAAGGAGGGAGAAATGGAGGGATGAGGGGGGGGGGGGGGGGGTTAATGAGGTTGCCCTCTGGGTAACTCTTGGCTATAACCCTGTTTGAGAGCCTACGGTTCACTGGCCACAGCCCTGCGACCATCACACACACACACACACACACACCACCCTCCTCTCCAAGCCGTTCCTCTCAACCATTCTTTATTTCATTCTTCATCTCAATGGGAGCTCCTGGTTGCATACAAATTGGGGTCATGTAATTCTTGTCATATACTGGATTCTTGTCATACTGTATATTCCTAGTGGGTACATACTGACACAGGTGTGTCTCATCCTCCGCCCCCTCGTCTCCGTTTGTCACACACTGATGCACTGCACCTACAGTACACACACTGTCCCCAACATCTCCTCCACAACCGTCTCACACACCCTCACCCCCTCACACTCAACACACTGTACCTCAGGGGCCACTGGAAAACAACACTAAAACACAATTTGGACATGTTTTGTTGGTTTGATCCTAATTATGATGACGCAAATTACTCATATGAGGCGTATTACTCATATAAAACTCTCTTCCAATATCTCAAAGCCCTCCTCCCTCCTTCCCTCCTCCCTCCTCCCTCCCTACTTCCTCCCTCCTTCTTCCCTCCTCCCTCCTTCCTCCCTCCCTCCTCCCTCCCTCCTCCCTCCCTCCCTCCTCCCTCCTTCCTCCCTCATCTTTGTCTTTCTCTCTTTCTCACTGAGGGCTTTTTTCTGTCACGACTTACACAGCAGAGAATACACACACACAGACACACACACAGACACACACACAGGCACACACACAGTGTAGTAGCGTATCAGTAAACAATCTCTGGACTGTAGTGTATTCGTTGCATTGTTTGTGAGATAATGTCAAAAGGCCCTTGAGACCCGGGACAAATAACCCTCTTACGACTCTCCTTCATGGCTTCCTACTGTATCATTGATCTAACGAGGGACAAATTATGCTGCAAATTATGCTTTAAAGGAACTTTTGCATAACTAGAGAACAAGTGATGTTGACACAAAAATAGTATTTGATAGGAGCAGGACACCTTTTGATCACATTATGTACAAGTTCCCTTCATTTAGAATCGTGTAGCTCAGTTGGTAGAGCATGGCGCTTGCAATGCCAGGTTTGTGGGATCGTTTCCCACAGGGGGCCAGTATGAAAAAGTATGAAAATGTATGCACTCACTAACTGTAAGTCGCTCTGGATAAGAGCGTCTGCTAAATGACTAAAATGTAAATGTAAAAAATGTGCTTATAAGGTTTGACAAACCTTTCTCCCAAAGTATTTTTCAAACATAATAAAGCATACGTAATGGTGCTTCAGGCCTTTGTGTTATTGTAATGCTATGTTAGTAAGTAGTGTAATTCAACCCCTGTATGTCACACCATTCTGTATGCTTGCTCAACATCTTCCTCTACTCTTCTGTACAGTAGCCTGAGGACGTTTACTCCTCTAGCTCCCTCTACAGGTCATTGGTGGTAACAAGAATTGTCTGACTGACTGACTGTCCAGGACAGGGTACAGGGCCAGGACAAGATCACGGTGTGTGCTATGGATGAGTCCTACCAGATGACCCGGGAGAGGATTTCTCCGGTGGAGAAGGAGATCTGGAGCCACTCGGCCATCAAGATTAAATCAGGGGACACATATAAGGGTAAGACTAACTCCAGGGGCCACATAAGGGTAAGACTAATTCCAGGGGCCACATAACGCAGTAAGACTAAGGA